GCACTGGACCTTTTGTAGAAGTGGACTGCATTAATATCTTCCAAATTGTTTAGTATTTTAAAAGTCTGGTTAGATCAGCCTCGTCGTGTCTGGTTTGTAGTGACAGTGATATAGCGATCTCTTAGGTCTTGTACTTTCCACACTCGGTTACATAGTAACGTAAGGTATATGAACTTATTAAATTTGAAACAGGGAACGTAAGTTGTAATACTGGTACATGGCAGAGCGAACAATTAATTACACGGGAGACTTACTAGCAGTCAACGCAGAACATCACCGTCACCTTGGAGGTGCAGGCAACATTACCCGCGCTCACACACAGGTGCAATTACGAGGTATTAATAACACGCCATCACCCACGGGTGACCGTGTCGACATCCGCCGCCCACACTGTAAACAAAGACAGGAAGCCTCACCCACCACAACATTATCCACAATAAATAAATAAATAAATAAGAACCACAACACTCTGATAATAATGTAACTAAATCGAACATGAAATATCCTGCAGTTTCAAACACTATTCTTTTCAAGTTCGAACTGTTTCTTTATCCAGGTACAGTTTGTATGTCATGATAATATGATTCTTGGATATGATTTTATACGTGGTCCGGAACACGGGTTGGAAGGTGACCTTGATATCCCCGTCTCACACTACAAGCGTCAAAAGAAGTACCACAAGCGTATGAACAAGCACCACAATCACCTAAAATACCAACAATCATAATAACCATTATGCGTCAGTGATAACAATGTGATGAGACACAACTACAATCAAAGGGGAAATATGTATATATCAGGCTTAACTGCAGCCGTAAGTCTCCTTCAGTACTGTTGATATTAGTTATCACCATACCAACAACCACAGCCTCCTCCAACAATCACTGTGTGTGAGAGAGAGAGAGAGAGAGAGAGAGAGAGAGAGAGAGAGAGAGAGAGAGAGAGAGAGAGAGAGAGAGAGAGAGAGAGAGAGAGAGAGAGAGAGAGAGAGAGAGAGAGAGAGAGAGAGATAGAACAGAAAACAGAAGAGACAAAGATCGACAGACAGGTGTGAGTGTGAGCACTGAAGGTCACGGGCTGAGTGAGGGTGTTCCCCACCAGAAATTCTCCTACTTCAGAATATACCGACAGTTCTTCACGCCATCTTAACCCCTAACCAGGAGTTTGCGTCCTCTGAAAATATCAACAACCTTGTCGTCCTGCTTCCTGGGCACTGATCTTGCAGCTTTTGTTTCCTATAGTCGTGGGGGACAAAAAGTCAACTAGACTTATCCAGGTCCAGATGCTAATGTTCTCCAGGATGCAACCCACAACAGTTTCCTATCTCCCAAGTACCTATTTGCTTGTGAGTGGACAGAGGCATCGGGTGACAGGAAATGTTAACCGAATCGGGTGGAAGGAAATGTCTTACCGCGGGAATGGGACTCCGGACCATTTGGCTTTGACCCCGATTTTCATGACCTAAATGTAATACGATTTAGAAGAAATTTACACAACATTTACATAGCGTCTGAGTTACACAAAACAGCATGGCGTCCACATAAAAAGATACTTGCAAGACGACAATGAAAATTAAACTTTGGCATAATGAGGTTCCAAGGTTAGCCTGGTGCATCTTCACTTGGAACACAGCCTGGTGCGTCTTCACTTGGAACACATAGCCTGGTGCGTCTCCGGAACACATAGCCAGGTGCGTCTTCACTTGGAACACATAGCCTGGTGCGTCTTCACTTGGAACACATAGCCTGGTGCGTCTTCACTTGGAACACATAGCCTGGTGCGTCTTCACTTGGAACACATAGCCTGGTGCGTCTTCACTTGGAACACATAGCCTGGTGCGTCTCCGGAACACATAGCCAGGTGCGTCTTCACTTGGAACACATAGCCTGGTGCGTCTTCACTTGGAACACATAGCCTGGTGCGTCTTCACTTGGAACACATAGCCTGGTGCGTCTCCGGAACACATAGCCAGGTGCGTCTTCACTTGGAACACATAGCCTGGTGCATCTTCACTTGGAACACATAGCCTGATGCGTCTTCACTTGGAACACATAGCCTGGTGCATCTTCACTTGGAACACAGCCTGGTGCGTCTTCACTTGGAACACATAGCCTGGTGCATCTTCACTTGGAACACATAGCCTGATGCGTCTTCACTTGGAACACATAGCCTGGTGCATCTTCACTTGGAACACATAGCCTGGTGCATCTTCACTTGGAACACATAGCCTGATGCGTCTTCACTTGGAACACATAGCCTGGTGCATCTTCACTTGGAACACATAGCCTGGTGCATCTTCACTTGGAACACATAGCCTGATGCGTCTCCACTTGGAACACATAGCCTGGTGCATCTTCACTTGGAACACAGCCTGGTGCGTCTTCACTTGGAACACATAGCCTGGTGCATCTTCACTTGGAACACATAGCCTGATGCGTCTTCACTTGGAACACATAGCCTGGTGCATCTTCACTTGGAACACATAGCCTGGTGCATCTTCACTTGGAACACATAGCCTGATGCGTCTTCACTTGGAACACATAGCCTGGTGCATCTTCACTTGGAACACATAGCCTGGTGCATCTTCACTTGGAACACATAGCCTGATGCGTCTTCACTTGGAACACATAGCCTGGTGCATCTTCACTTGGAACACATAGCCTGGTGCATCTTCACTTGGAACACATAGCCTGATGCGTCTCCACTTGGAACACATAGCCTGGTGCATCTTCACTTGGAACACAGCCTGGTGCGTCTTCACTTGGAACACATAGCCTGGTGCATCTTCACTTGGAACACATAGCCTGATGCGTCTTCACTTGGAACACATAGCCTGGTGCATCTTCACTTGGAACACTATAGCCTGGTGCATCTTCACTTGGAACACATAGCCTGATGCGTCTTCACTTGGAACACATAGCCTGGTGCATCTTCACTTGGAACACATAGCCTGGTGCATCTTCACTTGGAACACATAGCCTGATGCGTCTTCACTTGGAACACATAGCCTGGTGCATCTTCACTTCGAACACATAGACTGGTGCGTCTCCACTTGGAACACATAGCCTGGTGCGTCTCCACTTGGAACACATAGCCTGGTGCGTCTCCACTTGGAACACATAGCCTGGTGCGTCTCCACTTGGAACACATAGCCTGGTGCGTCTTCACTTTGAACACATAGCCTGGTGCGTCTTCACTTTGAACACATAGCCTGGTGCGTCTTCACTTGGAACACATAGCCTGGTGCGTCTCCACTTGGAACACATAGCCTGGTGCGTCTCCACTTGGAACACATAGCCTGGTGCGTCTTCACTTGGAACACATAGCCTGGTGCGTCTTCACTTGGAACACATAGCCTGGTGCGTCTTCACTTGGAACACATAGCCTGGTGCGTCTCCACTTGGAACACATAGCCTGGTGCGTTTTCACTTGGAACACATAGCCTGGTGCATCTTCACTTGGAACACATAGCCTGGTGCGTCTTCACTTGGAACACATAGCCTGGTGCGTCTTCACTTGGAACACATAGCCTGGTGCATCTTCACTTGGAACACATAGCCTGGTGCGTCTTCACTTGGAACACATAGCCTGGTGCGTCTCCACTTGGAACACATAGCCTGGTGCGTCTTCACTTGGAACACATAGCCTGGTGCATCTTCACTTGGAACACATAGCCTGGTGCATCTTCACTTGGAACACATAGCCTGATGCGTCTTCACTTGGAACACATAGCCTGGTGCATCTTCACTTCGAACACATAGCCTGGTGCGTCTCCACTTGGAACACATAGCCTGGTGCGTCTCCACTTGGAACACATAGCCTGGTGCGTCTTCACTTTGAACACATAGCCTGGTGCGTCTTCACTTGGAACACATAGCCTGGTGCGTCTCCACTTGGAACACATAGCCTGGTGCGTCTCCACTTGGAACACATAGCCTGGTGCGTCTTCACTTGGAACACATAGCCTGGTGCGTCTCCGGAACACATAGCCTGGTGCGTCTCCACTTGGAACACATAGCCTGATGCGTCTCCACTTGGAACACACCGCGTGACTGGGAGGCGACTAACTAGATTTATATTGCTTGTCAACAAGCCATTTCTTTGGGACAATGATTCCCTAATAATATCAAGGTAAGGTAATTATCAGGAGAAAGCACTAAACAATTACCACTATATAGGATTTGAACGGGATACAATCTCCATCAATCATTAGGATTTCGAAGGGAAGGCAGGAATAGTGTCCAGCCACTTGGACGGTCGGGGATTGAACGCCGACCTGCAACAAGGAAGTCCATCGCCCAATCGTCCAGCCCAAGCGCTGGGCTAATAATGCTATCTAGCTGAGGTTAGATACCCAGCTGCCTAGTTCTTTTATTCTGTCCTGTAGGCCTGCTACACCACTATCCTGTAGGCCTGCAAAACCATTCTATATATGACACATTCTTAAGCTATATCGTCTTACAAACCAGTTCATATATCAGGTACATCGTACAGTGAATGTGTTCGTTAATCACGAAGGATGGAGCGAATTATCAGAAAGCGCCAAGTCATTACGAATATATAGCACTGGGAAGGGGTCAGGATAAGGGTTTGGGATCGGACAGGGGGATAGGAATGGTCCCCAACCACTTGGACGGTCGGGGATTGAACGCCGACCTGCATGAAGCGAAACCGTCGCTCTCCTGTCCAGCCCAAGTGAGTGGGTAGTCACAAACTGAAGGAACTTCTGTTGAAAGTACACTCCTCATTGTCAACTAAGAAACACATTCGGGTGCGAGAAGTGATGTAGGATGTCGAGTGAGGGATTTCCACGAGTTTTTGTGGCTTGAACAGTGGGTACCGTCCCCGGAGACCTCCCCCAACCCTCCCACCCAACTCCACAAACACCTTAATATCTCGAGGGAATTTCCCTTCCATCCTCCCCCTGATTCTCCTCCCTGACCCTCCATCTCCTCCCCCCAGACCGTCCCTCCCTCCCTCGACAACCTCCGACAACCCTCCCCTCCCCCACAACCCAGCTGGAATATAAGAGGCGCACCAGTTATACCGGTCTCATTATTCCCCCCTGAACGTCCGTCATGGTAAGACACTCTGGTTATCTACGCCGTGTTACTGGGATGGAGGCAGCCTACTCCAACAGTGATGTTACTAAAGTGTACTTAGTGATTGTTAAGAAAGTTCTAGTGTGGCCTTAATAACCCTCCGCAGGGTGATAGGCTTCAAGCCCAACACAGAACCAGGCCTATTCCTATAACTGAGTTAAAACCCCTTGGACTACCCTTCGAAGTCGTAAAAGACCAAAACACTGCTTCAATTCAAGATCCAGCTTTATAAAATCATCAAAACAAATTGGGGGACATTTGACAAGCCGACGACTTCCTGTCCTCGTCGAGACCACTGCAGAGATTAGTGGCCTACAGATAAATTCCGATAAAACTGTCAGTACGTATGATCAAATCGTACAAAAGACAGACGAAGCACATTTTCTGATTGGCAAACCCGAATATATCATTAGGCTAGGCTGTGTGAGGCACGGTTTCGTTGGGTCAGCATAGATTGGATAAGGTTAAGCCTTATCCAATCTATGCCTTAACCTTATCCATAGATTGGGTAAGGATAAATAAGTTTTAAAATCCGTTTGCGAACTGTCATGTGTTGGATGTGGCGAATCCCACAGCACTGGGAGCTCGTAGAGGAAGCACGAATCAATCTCCTCAGAACCTCTCTAATGAAAATCAAAGACAGAGTACAGAGAAGTGTAATGAGAGTAGAAATAGCCTAAGCTACTCTATCCTTCTGAGATGTATTTTATTATCTCGATAAACTTACTTTGACTTGAAGAGGCACAAATTGTTTCCTTATAATGTGTGAACAGCTTTTCCTCCGTCGTCGGGGAAACACGCCGACTACTGACTGGCTGGCTGCCAGCGTCCCCTGAACATGGAAAAATGTCATTATTGACCATATGACGTCAAATATTACTATTAAACCTTCGTAGAATAAACTTGGATATAGCTGTGTGTACATGAGAAACTTGGCTATAGCTGTCTATACCTGAGAAACTTGGCTATAGCTGTCTATACCTGAGAAACTTGGCTATAGCTGTCTATACCTGAGAAACTTGGCTATTGCTGTCTATACCTGAGAAACTTAGCTTTAGCTGTCTATACCTGAGAAACTTGGCTATAGCTGTCTATACCTGAGAAACTTGGCTATAGCTGTCTATACCTGAGAAACTTGGCTTAAGCTGTACCTGAGAAACTTGGCTTAAGCTGTACCTGAGAAACTTGGCTTAAGCTGTACCTGAGAAACTTTGCTTTAGCTGTACCTGAGAAACTTTATTGTGGCTCTTCACAAGTCCCCCCCCCCCCTCCCCCACTCACAAATACTTAGAGGTTGTTGCTTGAAAGGCGACGACGATCGAGGGATTGGATGCGCCCGGGATTGACAGGGTGGAAACAAGAAATGTTTACAATGAATAACAATAGAACAAGGGGGGGGGCACAGATAGAAGCTTGAGACTCACTTGTGTCATAGAGATCTTAGAAAGTTTTCTTTTAGCGTAAGGGCAGTGAGTAAATGGAATGACCTAATGGAGCAGATTGTAGAGGCTAACGTCATTCATAACTTTAAAAGCATGTATGATAGGAAATAGATTAGGGATCATTGCATTAGACAACCAATGGCTAGAAAAGCAGGGTCCAAGAGCTAGAGCTCGATCCTGCAGGCATAAATAAGTGAGTATACATACACACACATTGACAGGGTAGCTAAACATAAACTCTTCAGCATGGGTGGAACACGCACAAGGGGACACAGGTGGAAACTGAGTACCCAAATTAGCCACAGAGACGTTAGAAAGAACTTTGACACTGTCAGAGTAAAAGCATGGAATGCATTAGGCAGTGATGTGGTGGAGGTAGACTCCATACACAGTCTCAAATGTAGATATGATAGAGCCCAGTAGGCTCAGGAACCTGTACACCAGTTGATTGACGGTTGAGAGGCGGGACCAAAGAGCCGAAGCTCAACCCACGCAAGCACAACTAGTTTAGTACACACACACCACGTAGTGCAGGGTGGGACTAGTACTGCTCTAAAACTTGTCCTCGATCCACACACTTGCCCCAACATTTTTTTTTTTATTTTTTTTAAGAGGGGTTAAAGAGGTGGACATTTGTAGGTGGTAACATTTCCTTGAAGGATTTTTAAGTATTGCCGCATGGCAATGTGTGTGTGCATGTTTATGTATATAATGTATACATGCATTCATACATATGCATACTGCCGGTTGTATTTTCATGCAAATTTGGATGAGGGTGGTTGTAACACTACTGTAGCCTCGCCTCACTACAGTTGCCAGCCGGGCTGCCCAATGCATGACGCCTTGCAAAGCGAAACAATTATGTTCACTTCAGATAAACTTCAGTCAAGAACGTATTGCACTTTTATCATGGTTACGAAAGTGACGAGTGGTGGTAACACTCCCGTGTTTGTGTCTGGCCATCCTGGCTTAGCAATTTCTCTTGATAATTACCTAACCGGAGAGATTAGGTATCAGGAAGGAGAGGGAAAATTGTCGTTGTATCAGTGAGGTAGAACACAGATGTGGTGAACTAGATTAAATCAGAGAACCAGTTGGAGGCTTGAGGAATTTTTGCCAGTGTAGGCTATTGAACATATGACCCTGTATGACTAACCATCCTGTGAGATGGGGACTTTTAGTATTACTGCTACATTATTCACTCTTGTGTTGATGATATCCTCATAATGCACCCTGAGTCTGTCAGTGCAGACTACTTATCACATGCCTCTGTATGACTAACCATCCTGTGTGATGGGGATTTTTTTAGCACCACGTAACTAGGTTTATGACGCACTGTATTCCCCTTCATATAGTCTAGGGTAGCGGCACAAATACAGATGTACCTAAATGTGTTAATAAAAAAAATGCATAGAATATGAGTAGAAAAAGAAACACAAACACGAGCATTTCCATTTTCGCAGAAGACGAATAAGTACAGACGACAACTGGGAGACAACGTGAAGACTTTGATAACCGTCAAAGATGGTCGGAGAAATGGTTGCAAGAAATCAACCCAAATATTTGCAAGGTTATCATGATAAGAACAGGGATGCGAGGGTAAACGAGAGACTAGACCTCTCCAGCCTTTACTCCCGCCATCCTTATTAAACAAATTAAGCCCACGCTAGGTGTGAACTAGTGTAATTACATTAGTTAAGGCACATAACTGTGTTGCAGATGCGTGGAAGCGGCGTGGTTGCTGGAGTGGTGGTGTTAATGGTGACTTTGGCAGTGGTAACCTCGCAGAATGTAGGTGGTGGCAACCAAGGGTGCCGCTACTTCTGCAGGACGCCCACCAACGCTCTCTACTGCTGCGAGGACGAGCGTTCCCCAATCAATCGGCCTACAGGTAAGTCTTTCCAAGTCTCCCTGGGCCATGGCGGCAATACCAACATCTGTGGTATTGGTCATCTTGACCAACAGGTCGGGTGTGGCCCTTGACCAGGTCGGGTGTGGCCCTTGACCAGGTCGGGTGTGGCCCTTGACCAGGTCGGGTGTAACCCTTGACCAGGTTGGACGTGACCTTGATCAGGTCGGGTGTGGCCCCAAGGTTTGATGTATCGTAAACAAAAATCGTCTCTTCTCCTCTACACCAACACCTGAAGGTAGAATAATCAAGGTACATTAGTTTGTAAAAAATAGAGAGCGTATTTTGATGATTAGGTGCCACATTATTACAAAGTAACTCACTTGCATAGCGTGCCCGCCTACCCCAGAACTTAACTAACCTGTGTCGTCCTCCACAGTGAAACCCTTGCTGTGCCCTGCAGTTGGGACAAGGTGCAACCCTTCCAGCTTCGCCATCCCCTGCAGCAACGACGGCGCCTGTCCCGGCAACAACAAATGCTGCTACGATGTGTGCAGGCGGAGACACATCTGCAGCCCTCCTTCCTTTACCTAACTTGTACTCCTCGTACTGGTAACATCGACGTACCCCTCTGACTTGCCAGTACGGTCATTCGTCTGCTATTCTACTGATGTGCAATGGACGTTTTTGTGAAGAAATCTATGAGTATCTATAGAGTTTGGACAATCTATGAGTATTTAGAGAGCTTGGACAATCTATGAGTATTTATAGAGCTTGTACAGTCTATTAGTATCTATGGAGCTTGTACAATCTATGAGTGTCTATAGAGCTTGAATTTAAGCACAGAACGGAAAATTGTACAGATAAATACTTGGTTCAAATATGCAAGTTTATAATCTCTTTCAAAATAAATATATATTTATTCATTTTAACCACGATTAACTATACTCTTTAAGCACGTTTCGAAACTATATGATGACAAAATTACAGTCTAGTGTATAAATTTTATAAATTAGAAATAAAAACTACGAAAATGGCAATTGTTTTTCTCCATATTTTGAAGCCTATCAATTAAATCTACAAAATAAATTACAAATCAATTATTATTTTTTTTTACAAAGTATGTTCATGTGTATTATGAAAATGTAAAATATAACCACACCTGTAGTACAATTTTAAGCATGTAAAGGATGAATAGCCATGAGTATTGTGAATAAATATTGAATGTTTTCAATAACTATATGTATACAGCATTTGCAAAAATTTATTTTAAAGAAAACAAATAGAAAATAAATGACTAATAATTCTACCGGCCAATTATTCATAAGACTTACATAATACTCACCCACTTGATACACTTTGGGGCCACGAAAGCCTGGTGGATAGCGCGCAGGACTCGTAATTCTGTGGCTCGGGTTCGATTCCCACACGAGGCAGAAACAAATGGGCAAAGTTTCTTTCACCCTGAATGTCCCTGTTACCTAGCAGTAAATAGGTACTCAGGAGTTAGTCAGCTGTCACGGGCTGCTTCCTGGGGGTGGAGGCCTGGTCGAGGACCGGGCCGCGGGGACACTAAAAAGCCCCGAAATCATCTCAAGATAACTAAAGATGACTTTCATAACTTTTTAAACCCTGAATATATATACCTATATCTTACCTGAAGAGGGTCTCGGGAGTTCTTCTACTCCCCGAGCTTGTGTTAACTTGGTCCAACAGGCTGTTGTTTGCAGCTGCCCGTAGCTGCAACATATCTACTACAGCTCAGTTGGTTCAGCACGCCTTGCAAGAACTTATCTAATTGGTTCTTGTATATATGACAAAATTAATTACAATTTTGCCTAATCTGAGTAATTCAATTAGGTCTTATTAGAGTGAAGATGATGCTGTTATCAAGGTTTTAAGTTTTTAAAGTTTAAGTCTAAAGTTTTAAAGGTATTAAAGATTAAAGTTTCCAGCTTTAGGATCAAGGGGTAAAGCAAATAGGAATGGTTGCAGATGGTACCAGTTTCTGGAGGAACATGAAGATGTTCAACTGCTGGGCGAGCCCTCTCCTACTCATCTGAGGGGAGGGAGATTAGATTATGCTTGTTTGTTAAATGCTGAGGGCATAGAGGGGAATTGTCTTACTGTGGATGAAGTGCTAAGTGATCATTTTGCATTACAAATACAGCTTAAACTAGATAAAAAGAATGCCTGCTTTCAGAGGAAAATGTTAGAGTTTAATGAGGGAGAATTAGGGGGTCTTGTTGGTCATATTAAGTCTTGGTATGATACTTATAAGCCAGTTTCGGCAGAAGCATTTTATGAAGATCTAATTAAGATGTGTAGAGTTAGCGCTGACGAGCGTCGTTCTTATGAAGCCCGGATTATGTCCATCACATCACTCAACTTCATTTAATAGCTGCATGACTGTTATGTAGAAGATTTTAACTGTTAATAGCATTATATTGTGGTTTTAATATTGACCAGTCATATATATATATATACGAAACGTACAAATTTGGGTAAAAATATGGTAAAAATATGTATGTAGCATATAAAAAGTATAAAAATTTATGCCCGAAACGCTTTGCGTAATAGTGGCTTTAGGCATTGTATGTACTAGCTCTACCTATAAGTCTACCAATCCTTGTAAAAATTTATTGTATGTATGTACCTTACCTAAATAAAATTGTATTGTATTGTTGTATTGTATTGTGTGAAATATACGAGTGTGATCCGGTTTCTGCAGCAAGTGACTAGTATCCGGGTTGACGGGGTGCACTGAGCCCTGTGCTGTAGCCGCCCCGAACCCTACAACCACAACAACAACAGGCCGCCGCTGGCTGCCAGACGCTACGACGATGAATTCTTCCACATCTTCCTTAGACAGTGTTTATCAGATTGGTAATCTACTTTCTGGATCATGGGAACTTACCCAGGTATGATAAATATAACGAAACTTGCCATTCATGCTTCTATAGTTAGTTCTAAGTGACGGTGTAACGTTTTATTGTTGCGTTAGTTTTGGTGATAGAAAGACAGTATAATAATTACATATTCAGACCCTGATTCATTGCTTTGAAAAGATTAGTTTTATAATACAGTATGTATAGTGCAGTTTAAATATACAGTATGTAATTGTTTCCATGTTTCCTTTAATGAAACAGTGAAATCAGATTGTTAATTACTGCTCAAGTTAACATCACTGAATAACTAACATATTGCTGTATTTTGTATTGAAAGTACTTTATGTACTCACATTTATGTGCTCACATTTTAATAGAGTTTTGCTATTAATTTTTCCCCTAGAAAATTTTTGAAAACCTCAGTTACCGAGAGGTATCAAGACTTCGGTGTGTGTGCCGGATTTGGGCAGATGTTGGATCCAAAATTCTGGAAAAGCGTCGGAAGATTCATTACTTGACTATACATCCACACAGCATACCCACAACAGAAGGCAAGGTGAGTTTATTAGAGGAAACTAGCGAAATAAAGCAAAAGATGTACTGTACATTACACATCACTATATTATCTAGTGATATAATTATGGTGCACATTTGCAGCTTGTACACTGTTATAATTATTACAGTAATTATTTATTTTAATTTGATGTATTAATTCCCTAAAAAACTATGAATTTTATGTAGAATTCTAATCAAGCTTGTGTATCCCAACCATTGTAACATTATTATATCTTCACAGGTGGCACTGGGAGAAGCATCACCAAGATGTCTGTTCGAGGGTTTCTTTGAACATATTGTAAGCAAGCCAAGATATTGCATTGCGTTTTGCAGTGAAGACTGGTTAAGCAAACCAGATGTGTTCAACATAAAGGAGAAAGATGGTAAGAAATTTATGGGGAATACTTTGTATGGACCTTCCATATATCACTTGAGACTTGTATCCTCGTTTTGACAATAGTGAGTCTTAACTCAAGCTACCACCAAGAGCAGTAGCTTACTGTAATACAAACAATGAATCATGACCCAAACTGTCTCTGCAAGTGAATATTACAAATATCAAGACCTTAATTGTCAATCTGCAAACCCCCTATTTGTAGACGAAAGGCTACACTGCCTGCCACCAGGTGACTCCACTGTCACCATAACAGGGCTGGAATAGCTGTCTATCCTCATAATTAGTCCTTTTGTCCACCCGTCACCTTGCTTTGCTCTGCAGTTAAGTTAAGGGTTTTCCTTAATATTATATTTTGTCTTAGAAAAAAATGTTCCATTGTTTGTTTTACTAGACTTTCATATGCCTTTGGCTATCACTATCTGATAAAACTTTATTTGATGATTTCCTTTCCTGCACTGCTTGACAAAGGCTGACTAACCCAGATATATCTTTTCTCAAGATTTTTGCATTTTGCCTTTATCATTTTGGTTTGGTTCCTTTTGAGTTACACCATGCTATACCACTGGCTTGGTTGTGTCAAGGGACTTGTTCCAAGTCTCTCTTTGTGCTTGGTTTGCATCCTCACACATTTAGGGAACTGTTTCACATTTTTTCCCTTGGGTGTTTGCATAGAGTACTTTCCATTAATTATGTTTGAGGGTGTTGTATAGTATCTGATTTTCTTTAATTAATGGGGAAGGGCAAGGGTAGTTATGGTCTAAATAAAAGTTTGCAAAGACAAATCACAATTACACCCTCAAGTGAAATATCTAGCTAGAAAGAGCCTCCTTAGAGACACCTGACAAACTAAGAGAAAGAACACTCGATTTCAGTGTTACATCCTTGGGGCAAAGTGCTTGCAGCTCCTAAGTATTCTGTCTATCATACAATTATCACACATCCAAACAATTTGATGTGGTACACTACTGATGTCCTTATTTCTATAGTTAACAAGAAGTTTACACACTAATACATAGTGATCTAAGGCATGGGCATGCGACATACTACATAATTTACACTCCTTTTCTTTTTCACTGACCTAAACACCTTATTGCCAGAAATATTTGTATCCTACTCTTAATCTCATATAAATTGAGTCCTTCCATGTAGTCTTTAGCATACTTGGTGGATTCTGATTCTGGTTGTGGGAACAACTAAGGCACTGCTCAGAAATGGGCAGTTCAGTTCTCTCAATTCTTTATTTTTTAATCTCATGTTTTTATCTCAATACATTGCTTCTGTATTTTACAATATTGATTTTTAATTCCCTGCTTTTCTGTGGGGAGCCTTGTCGGCTCCCTGAAGCTATCCAAACTTATGTGTTATATTAGTTTAGGATCATCAGTCACAGGAGTTCGTATGCCTACCAGGAACCATGAGCCAGAATCTGGTCCCCTCAGGCAGGTGCAGGGAGCAATGGCCTATGAGCACTTTACATTTATAGTACTGTATGTCATAATTACCATCAACCGAGGAAGGACCCAGAAAGGTAGGCAAATCAAACGCCATTTTCTGGGTGAGCCCGGAGGCACCCTGACACCCTCCCTCCGGTTGGCAGTTTTTCATCGTTCAAGACCTGGAGTGGTAAGCTGCCGGGTCCCCCCTATTCCCTTATAGGGGGTGGGGGGGGGGTAGCACTAACGAGTGGAAGTGCTAGTCGCATGAAGGGTTGCTTGTTTGGTGTCTTTCTAGGGGAGTTATTTTGATCTTTTAGGATGTAGATTGCACAGGTTAACCAGACACTGGTCTGTTTTGATTCAGCTACCTTTCTGGGCCCTTCTCCGGTCGATGGCAGTTATGACATACTTTAAATGTAAAGTGCTCATAGGCCACTGCTCCCTGCACCTTTCTGTGGGGACCAGGTTCTAGCTCATGGTTCCTGGTAGGCATAAGAACTCCTGTGACTGAAGACCCCAAACTAATATTGCATATATCAGTTCTGTTAGCTTAAGGGAGCCTCCGGGGCTCTACCAGAAAACGGTGTTTCATTACATTCAACGCTGGTTTCTTATATAGAGTATACAGTATTCATTAAATGTGTTTTTATTATTTTATTTCTTTCACAGAAAATTTGACACTACTACAGTATATAAGCGGATCCCTTCCATCTTCTTGTGAACTTGGACTTGTCTCGGCCACAGGCGTAATTGGAACTGTTGAAAACAACTACCAAGGACACTGGCTTGAATCAGCCAGCAGTATGAATCAAGAAATCCTATCTTACCTCTATGGCAAAGAAAAAGAGAAACGTAAGCCTAATAAATGGAGTAAAAGGCATGATAATACAGAAAAAATGGAATGCCAGAAGAAAGAAGAAATATCGCCAAACGTGCCATCACCAAACACCTCATCACAAAACATTTCATCACAAAACATTTCATCAACAAGCACTTCATCACAAAACATACCAACAAACACCTCATCACAAAACATATTGTCAAACTCATCATTACCTACCATATCATCCCCAAACATGTCGCCAGAAAACACATCTCAGAATGAAGGAGTTTCACTGGGTAGCTCTTGCAGTTCATCGTCAGATGCTACAAATACTGTTGTGACCACCGGTGAACCTGTCAAGCGTTCTAGTGTAGGCTACAGCATCGAGGTTGAGCAGAATAGTACCTCCCTGCGGCAAGCAGATGCAGTGTCTGTGCTGCTTATACCACACCATCCTGGAGTTCAACTCAAGTTCTTCAGAATTTGTGATGAGAAATTTTTCAAAGATTTTGTAAGTATTTTCTGTATTGTACAGTATGTAATATTTGTCTGATATAAATGCATTGGTATAAAAAATAATGACGTACATAGAAAAGGAAAAGAAACGTAAGTTCCCTTAGCCATTGCCTAGGTTCACCCAGAGCATGACCTCCCTCAAGCACTCTTGAAGATGTTTCCAATAGCAGCAAAGAACTTTACAATTTGTCTTATCACCTTGCTGGAAAGAGGAAACAGGAGAGAGAAAGTTCAATCCACTTCCAAAAACAACAGTATGGAAAATATGAGTCTACACACACACCTCTTTAAGGATGATTATAATTGGAAACACAGGACATGTCAGATATATATATCTGTCACCTACCAGATGGATAACTACTCATTGCAAACACCAATAGATGGCAGCAGCATCCCTAGAGTAATGTCAGAGGAGTAGGCCATACTCATTTGTTACCTGGCAGTCCACCCAATCTGCAAGTAAGTACAGTACAGTGGAACCTTGAGTGATGAGTGCCTCAATCTACGAGCATTTCGAATAACGAGCTCACCACTCGGCAAAAATTTGTCTCGATTGACGAGAGACAAATTCGCTTGATTAACGAGAAAAGCACATGGTGCTTTCTAGCATTCTCACTGGTTCTCAAATTCTCGGACACCTCCGACGATGCAAATAACTTTTTTTTTTGTTTTAAAGATGCTAACGATGCTGGGATGTAAAGGGGTGACTGCAGCAATGTTCCAAAGCATTGATTTTTGTGTTTTAGACAAAATTAGAAAAAAATAAAAAAAATTAAAAAAAAAATAAAAAAAAAATGAACAAATTTGAAAAAAGGAAAGTCATAAAGGTTCGTTCAGTGTGTGCCAGGTAGGCTGCTCCATTATTAATAAAAAATGAAAAATACAAACCAAATTGAATAAATATGAAAAATAGAAAAAATGTCATAATGGAGACAATGAGTCACAATAACGTGGCTGAAGTATGTTGACCAGACCACACACTAGAAGGTGAAGGGACGACAACGTTTCGGTCCATCCTGGACCATTCTCAAGTCGATTCAATCATAATGTCATAATAAAAATGTCATAAAGGTTTGTTCATTGTATGTCAGGTAGGCTGCTCCATTTTCTTAAAAAAATTAAAAATAAAAAACAAAAATTTTACCCTTTTCCCAGTTCTGAAGGGTAAAGATGTATAGAATCCACCCTGTCTTCCTGGTGGATTCTATACATCTTGATTTGTGTCCCTAGAGCCTGATGCTTAACCAAAGCTACAGCTTCAGTGAATGAATGATTTATGGTCTGAACATATTTCACCATTGCAAAGATCATTAACTGTACTAGAATATGTAACAATTTTCTGAAATTTTACTTTTAACAAGTATTGTTGTTGAAATTCCACTGCATGTAGATTTGCTCCACTGAAAGTCTTCTCATAATTTTAATTGCAAATATCGTATGACCAGAGTAAAAGTCCTATATTATATCTATATTTCCTTTGAGCCAAAGTTGTTTGACTAAGACTAATTTCCAGTATAAAAAATGTATTTGAATTTTCCCACTTTGGTGACTATTTTTTGGGTTCCTATTATTGGTTCCCAGTTGGATTATTATATCCAAGCATGTAGACCTCATCTTCAGGAAGACATAGTTGCTTTGAAGAAAGTTCCACACAAGACAACAAAATCATTCCAGAATTAAGTTGACTCTCATACCAGGAACTGTTGAGGGCCACAGGGCTAACATCACTGCAAACCAGACATGACAGGATGTTAATCCAAACAACTTCTTCAAAAGGTCAAATGTAAAACAAACAAGGAGCAATGGTTTTAAGCTCAAAAAGCCACAATGTAGAACTATAAACAGCAGATGCTTTTTCACTCATAAGGCTTTGGAACCCTTGGAACTGCCTATCCAATAAAGTTGGATAGGCAGAAATTAATTTTTGCTGGCTTGACAGTTTCGTATGTAGTCTTCATTTGCAATAATAAATGTGTGTAGAAAGCGCGAAGATTATTTCATCAAATATGTATGAATGAACAGTGCTGAATGAACATATGAGAAAGTATGCGAAAAAGAGCATACGAATATGAAAATATTTGAAAATATGAAAAATATGAAAATACTCGTTAACATGTTAGCAGTAATGTTCTTCACTGGTAGTACATTGCAGTGTACAGTACCACCAGTGAAGTGCATTGTCATCAATGTGTTAAAGAAGATAGGGTAAAAAGCTTAATTTCCAGGGACCATTCCTGGAGACTTCAATCATTTTTATTTTTTTAGCGTAAAGATGAGGATGCGTGTTGTGAAAACCTCACCATCACTGCTGATGAGCTCAACCACTTGACATCTATGTCACATGATGACCAACTCAAAGCTCTACTGATATTTGATGCCGGTCTTGAGGAAGGATTCACTGAAGCCATTATTCAGTCAGCTTTGCTCAGGTAAGTTTTCTTTTTCTAAAAGATTGATTTGTTATTTTTGATGAGCTACAAACTGATTAGGCTGGAGAAAGACATCACCTTTAAGATTATTTTATTTTTTAATTTAATAATGTATTGCAGTGATTCAATGCATTAACGTTTTGTTATTTTCAGGCAAAACCATAAACTGGCTCTTGGAGGTGGTGTTGCTGATAGTGTATATACTGGGAAGAATGCTTCATTCAGTCAGAGTAGTTTTGGTATAGCCGTATGTGGACCAAATGTTATGGCAGCTTCAGTCGTTATCCCAAAATATATTAATAATCCTAAAGGTTTAGTTGAATTTATGAAAGAGGTGAGTTGATTTCCGCTATTCATTGTTATATTACATTTTTTGTTAATATGTATATCTACAAAAGTAGGTATATTTCATGAGCTTAAGTACAAATAAATTATTATTTAAGAGCTGTAAGCTACTTAAACAACTCCAGATGGAAAAATTACCAACTTTTACCCCTAAAATTCTGACATAGAATTACAACAGGGCTTGAATAAAATGTCTTTTATTTAATAGCTAGCATTTTGATTTGTACAGAATTATCATGAGATCCTAATAATAATAAAAAGATGGAGACAAAGATGTAGAATGCAATAATAAAATGGGTCATTGGTTCAATAAATATAATTTCTAATCTAACACATACATGAGGCAAGAAAAATAATATATAATTAATGATTACTTGCCTTGTTTTTCTCAGGATTACTAATTTCCTTCAAGCAGTATCTAGTTTTAATGTGCTTATGCTTTCTAGTGAATTTCTTCTCAGTTTTGGGTTGATCTCCGATTCCTAAGCTATACTTGCCTCGTAGCGAGAGCCAGATTCTGGTCTTGGTTCCCCAGAAGGCTTGGGGTGGCCTTAGAGGCTCAAGGTGATTTCCTAAGACTTGGCACCCCAATGCTATGGCTTGGGAAGCTACCGAGTGGTCCATCAGAATAGGACATTTCATTACATGCGACGCTCGTTGTCTTTATTCATACTTTTATGTACAAGAAATGCTCTTTCTCATGTGTTAGTGCAAGGTGATTGTTTGGACACTGAAGGATTTGATTCTTTTTTTACTTTGACTAATGTTGTGTAGGAACTACGTGCAGTGGCAGCATTAGTCAGGCTGGAGGAGGAAAGAAGAAATATGTAAGGCTAACAAGTTGATGAAAAAAGAGAAGTGGTGATGATATTAATGAGTGGTCATAAGGAGTATGGTATTGGTACTTGCACTGTTTCTCATAAATGACAGCAAAAAGTTCAGATTTAAAGTTTTCTACTGAGAGTACTCTGCACAGTGTATGCAAAATCATTCAGTAGTGCAAGGATATTTAGAAATAAATGTATTGTTTATGTTAAGGAAAAGGATAACAGTCATTATTATTGAAAATGGGCAGAATTGAGAAAAAGCCACAAGATGCACAGTGAGGGGTTGGGTATAAATTGGCTAATTTGATTGAGAGTGCAGTGTACTAAATAGGACAAACAACAAAATGGAGCAGTGTTACTATGTATGTTAAGAACAGTTACAAAATATTATCGTACAGTATTGAATTGCATTCATAAATAAAATTGGTATGTATTATACTATACATTTCCGGGGTAAGCCCGCCCTTGTGCCTCCCTGGAAGTTCCTTACAGGTATGGTGTGGCATGTGGATATTCCCTCTGAACCCGTTGCATTGTGTGAATTTCAGGATTGTTTGTTGCCCATGCCATGGGGTGACGATCATTCATATAATATTAATATACACGTGGAAGATACTGGAGGGCCAAGTACCAAATCTACACAGTAAAATAACAATGTACTGGAGTGAACGATATGGAAGAATCAGTGAAGAGCAGGGGTGCCATAAGCACAATCAGAGAACACTATAAACATCAGAGGTCCACAGTTGTTCAACACCCTCCCAGCGAGCGTAAGAAATATTGCCGGAACAACTGTGGACATCTTCAAGAGGAAATTACAGTAGATTCTTTCCTCCAAGGAATGCCGGACCAACCAGGCCGTGGTGGATATGTGGGCCTGTGGGCTGCTCCAAGCAACAGCCTGGTGAACCAAACTCTCACAAGTCAAGCCTGGCCTCGGGCCGGGCTTGGGGAGTAGAACTTCCAGAACCCCATCAACCAGGTATCATTCATTCTGCCTCCTCAATGCCACCTGTTGGGTCGGAGACACCTATATGTACCAGAGGTATATGGGGTTTGTGCTTCCCATGTGGCTCTCCTATCTGACCCTCCTAACAAAGTTCATGCATATCAGGTGGGTACAGTTTTACAGGTTCGCTTTGCCAAACTTCAGTGTTGTAGGTTGTATGCCTGGTTGGATGCCCCAGAGCTGGCCCACCTCTCTTGTTAGGAGAGATTTTTTGTAATTTGTTTATGTTGTTGGAGTTCATTCAGCGGCTTGTGAGGCTTATTATCTCCTTGAAGTTATCGGCCCCGCAGCCCAGTCCTCGACCAGGCCTTCTTTTTTTTATTACACATCCCCAGGAAGCACCCCGTAGCAGTTAATTCCCAGGTACCTATTTACTGTTAGGTGAACAGGTGCATCAAGGTGAAAGAAACTCTGCCCATTTGTTTCCTCCTCCACCGGGGATCGAACCCAGAACCTTAGGACTATGAATCCAAAGCACTGTCCACTCAGCTGTCAGGCTTCAGTTTCTTTTCAACCTAGCAGTGCAGTGGTTTGTATTGATTCCCTGACTTTTTGAGTGCCTTTCCCAGTGAGGTCGTTGAGTGTCCTGCTTCCTGCACCTCTTGTGAAGGGGGCCAGGTTCTGGCTCTGGTTCCCAGTAGGCCGAACTGAACTCCATGGCTGATACAGTCCAGTAATCAAGGGGCCACCTCAACAAGAGGCTTCCCCAGAAAACCAGTGTCGAGTACAATATAATGAAACTCCAATTTCTGGGCCTGCCCTGCTGGCTCCCTAATTCAGGGAGTTAACAGGGGTTTGTCCAGAAATTGCCATTCCATTACATTCAAATCTGGTTTTTCCTTTGATCTGTAAATATACTGTATTTCTGTTTCAGTTAAAATCATGTGGACTTCCTGAAGACCAGAGTGTAGCATTTATGTTTTCCTGCTGTGGTCGTGGCTACTCTTGGTATCGTCGTCGAGGCAATCCCTGGTTTGATTACCACAATGTGGAAACTAAGGCCTTCAGGCAGTTCTTCCCCAACACACCCATCTTCGGCTTCTTTGGGGGAGGCGAGATAGGCCTGAACCATTTCCCCAAGTTTTGTGAGCGAGAGAAAGAAGATGAAGGGGTTCCACATAAGAAGAGAAAAAAGAAAATGTTTCACCAGTTTTCAACTATCATTGTCCTTATATCCTTTTTGTGATGTAAGTATTATGTTGTTGTTTACTCATGCCTACTACTACTACTACTCATCATTGTATATCATCATACAGCCGTAGGTGAAATTAAAATACATTAATATATCATTTTATGAACATGTAATGTTTTAGTCACTATTTTTAGTTACAATGAAGTACTGTAATTGCTTGGGGTTTATGACTGCATTTAACTTAGGTCTACAAGAAATGTTTTTCTTCTGTGTGATAGTACTGAATATTGCAATTTGATACTGAAATGCTACAAAATACTGTACCTATGGTATGTATTGTTGTCGCATCTATGAACAGAATTCTTTCTTTTGTAGGTTGTACAGTAAAAGATATATAAATCCAGTAAAGATGTATACTGTACTGCAATTAGATAAACATTTAATAACACTAATTGTGAAACTTTTCTGCTAGACATCATATATACAGTATTGATAGATCAGAATTATTTTTCCTTAATGAAAATGTGAGTGGCACAAATGTTAATTAATATTTACAATTTCTCGGTATTATACTTGATTATAATTGTTCAGGGTTATTAAAATCCCAAGTTAGTTTTTAATTAAACATGTAGAAGCTTTATTACAAGCTTGTCATAAAATATCCAGCTAGATATCAGATGCAAAACCCAGCCAGCTGTACATTCTTATTGTGCTTGATGTAAACGGTTTGACTTGCAAAAGCCTGTCTGGCCCTTGCTGGAGGCCTAGTCTATCAAATTCCTGCGAGTGTGAATGTTTGTGTGTATTTGTACTCCTATGTACTAAATGTATTTTTAAAATAATGGTTTAATAAATGATTATTTAATTATTGTTTTACAATGTATTTGCCTATATAGAGTTGAAATCAGAGAAAACTGCAAAGAACAACAAAAATACCTGATGTAACCAAGAACACCTTTACTCAGTCTTGTCTGGCTTAGTCACTTTCTTTTTTAGAGTAACAAAAAATATCATCTGCTTCTTTTATCAAGATTTTTTACATTACCATTCATAAAAAATGCTAAAGGTTATGCTGTTTTGTAAAAGGAAATTGCAGTTTGGATCAGTTGCGTTACCTGTAGATACCAAACGTCTGCAATTTAGTTTTTGGGGCGTGTAAAACCCATAGTGCAGAGCAGGTAATGGGATTTATTGCACATTATAGCCAATATATATATATATATATATATATATGTCGTACCTAATAGCCAGAACGCACTTCTCAGCCTACTATTCAAGGCCCGATTTGCCTAATAAGCCAAGTTTTCACGAATTAATGTTTTTTCGTCTACCTAACCTACCTAACCTAACCTAACCTAGCTTTTTTTGGCTACCTAACCTAACCTTACCTATAAATATAGGTTAGGTTAGGTTAGGTAGGGTTGGTTAGGTTCGGTCATATATCTACGTTAATTTTAACTCCAATAAAAAAAAATTGACCTCATACATAGAGAAGAGGGTTGCTTTATCATTTCATAAGAAAAAAATTATAGTAAATATATTAATTCAGGAAAACTTGGCTTATTAGGCAAATCGGGCCTTGAATAGTAGGCTGACAAGTGAGTTCTGGCTACTAGGTACGACATATATATATATATATATATATATATATATATATATATATATGTGTGTGTGTGTGTGTATATACTGGCTATACAATTGTTTATATTGATTAATAATTACTCTTTTATTATTATTTTCTACCACAGATGTGGCCACACATTGTAATTTTTATTGAAAGGTAAGAATTGTTTAGTAGTGATTAGGTAACTAGTGTACCCAAGTCTACAGCATGTAAACATTTTACCTTGTGTGGGGTTGTGGGTATATGAACTGCAGCAGATTTCCTGTTTGTGTTACTCTTGAAAAAGTTGGCAAACTTGTCAAATGTATGTATATGTGTATATATATATGTGTGTGTGTGTGTGTGTTTACTAGTTGTGTTTTTACGGGGGTTGAGCTTTGCTCTTTCGGCCCGCCTCTCAACTGTCAATCAACTGTTTACTAACTTTTTTTTTTTTTTTTTTCTTCCACACCACACACACACACACCCCAGGAAGCAGCCCGTGACAGCTGACTAACTCCCAGGTACCTATTTTACTGCTAGGTAACAGGGGCATTCAGGGTGAAAGAAACTTTGCCCATTTGTTTCTGCCTCGTGCGGGAATCGAACCCGCGCCACAGAATTACGAATCCTGCGCGCTATCCACCAGGCTACGAGGCCCCATCCCCATGTGTGTGTATGTATGTATGTATGTATTCGGTACAAGTGTCCCAAGCTATGAAAGTAATTTTTCTTACAGTTTTCAATGGAAATTATTTCAGCCGATTTTTGGTCTACAAATGTTACATGTTAATTTTTATAATTTTAACCAACCAAATGTCACCATAATGCTAAAATGAAGCAATAATAAAATGTTTTATATCTGCTAAAATTGTCATTAAATTTTTTGGGGGGACATCTAAAAAAAACAAAAGTAATAAAACCTATGTTAAGCGTTGCAAAAAATCTAGGAAACTAATCAAATAACATTGAAATATAGGGATACAGTAATTAGATTCATTATATACACAAACTACACTCCCCTTTTAACATATTCGAATCATTTAAAGATGCATACACAGTGATTGAGAACTGCTTGTACACAATGTATTCGATGATTAACCAGCGTACTTAGGTATTCAAACTCGTATTTTTCATGGCATGACATGCTTCATAGGGAGTGACTACTCAATATACAGTACTGCGATGTAAATGTTAGTGTAGATGGTTTAACCTTGTGTACAAATGTGCCTACAGCATACACATTATAATTGTTTTCAGTGTTAAACAATACTTTGCTTGTAAAGTACAGAAATAAGGTTAAATTTCTTTTAATATTTTTGGTAAAATACATTCGGTCCTAAAGTGGTTGCATAATAAAGACTTCAGTTTTGTAATAGTAAATCATTATTGCCTTCTGATCATAGTCTTTATTCTTTCATAGCAGTAGTAATTTATATACATTATAATATATTTTGACATCACTTGTTTACCATGAGATGATCTTTTCTCACCACACAGAGTATTTACTGGAGGCATATACTGTAATTGTATATGGGACACAGCGTATTTCCTCGGTGGCTGACAACATGTGGCATTCTTAATAATTAAGAACCCTGGAGCACACTGGCAATGGTTGACTGTTTACGAATGTACAGTAGTTGCATCTGCAAGATATTTTTCTTTGATCAATATACAGTATGCCTATGCTACATGGGTATCTACAGAGTCAACAAGATGCTTGTGGAGAGAGAGAGAGAGAGAGAGAGAGAGAGAGTGAGTGAGTGAGTGAGTGAGTGAGTGAGTGAGTGAGTGAGTGAGTGAGTGAGTGAGTGAGTGAGTGAGTGAGTGTGAGAGTGTGAGAGTGTGAGAGTGTGAGAGTGAGTGAGTGAGAGAGTGAGAGAGTGTGAGAGAGTGTGAGAGAGTGTGAGAGAGTGTGAGAGAGTGAGTGTGTGAGTGGGTGAGTGAGTGAGTGAGTGAGTGAGTGAGTGAGTGAGTGAGTGAGTGAGTGAGTGAGTGAGTGAGTGAGTGAGTGAGTGAGTGAGTGTGTGTGAGTGAGTGTGAGTGTGAGTGTGTGAGTGTGTGAGTGTGTGAGTGTGTGAGTGTGTGAGTGTGTGAGTGTGTGAGTGTGTGTGTGTGTGTGTGTGTGTGTGTGTGTGTGTGTGTGTGTGTGTGTGTGTGTGTGTGTGTGTGTGTGTGTGTGTGTGTGTGTGTGTGTGTGTGTGTGTGTGTGTGTGTGTGTGTGTGTGTGTGTGTGTGTGTGTGTGTGTGTGTGTGTGTGTGTGTGTGTGTGTGTGTGTGTGTGTGTGTGTGTGTGTGTGTGTGTGTGTGTGTGTGTGTGTGTGTGTGTGTGTGTGTGTGTGTGTGTGTGTGTGTGTGTGTGTGTGTGTGTGTGTGTGTGTGTGTGTGTGTGTGTGTGTGTGTGTGTGTGTGTGTGTGTGTGTGTGTGTGTGTGTGTGTGTGTGTGTGTGTGTGTGTGTGTGTGTGTGTGTGTGTGTGTGTGTGTGTGTGTGTGTGTGTGTGTGTGTGTGTGTGTGTGTGTGTGTGTGTGTGTGTGTGTGTGTGTGTGTGTGTGTGTGTGTGTGTGTGTGTGTGTGTGTGTGTGTGTGTGTGTGTGTGTGTGTGTGTGTGTGTGTGTGTGTGTGTGTGTGTGTGTGTGTGTGTGTGTGTGTGTGTGTGTGTGTGTGTGTGTGTGTGTGTGTGTGTGTGTGTGTGTGTGTGTGTGTGTGTGTGTGTGTGTGTGTGTGTGTGTGTGTGTGTGTGTGTGTGTGTGTGTGTGTGTGTGTGTGTGTGTGTGTGTGTGTGTGTGTGTGTGTGTGTGTGTGTGTGTGTGTGTGTGTGTGTGTGTGTGTGTGTGTGTGTGTGTGTGTGTGTGTGTGTGTGTGTGTGTGTGTGTGTGTGTGTGTGTGTGTGTGTGTGTGTGTGTGTGTGTGTGTGTGTGTGTGTGTGTGTGTGTGTGTGTGTGTGTGTGTGTGTGTGTGTGTGTGTGTGTGTAAAAATCACCACCCCTCCAATGGGTGGTCCAATGACTGGAATGGATACTCTATTTCATTTTGCACATACAACATCTAGATATGGGCAAGAAATTGGTCTGAGGCAACCCCCTTGCCAGCCCCACGGAGTCGTATGTGAGCCCTCCTCACAACAAGGCAAAACTTTCTAGGGGTGCCTTGTCAGTCGTCATTTACTTGCCTTAAATGGTCTTCAATTGCAATTTTAATTGTGTGCCATTTCAGGTCTAGAAACCATGTTGTATCTAATATTTGAAGGTGTTCTTACACGCAGTTTTAAATACAGTAATACCTAAACTTCAAATGCTAAAGCAAATGGTTAAAAACAAAGTTGTAAATTAAATTACTAGATATATTAGAAAGACGAAACCGACAATTGAAAACGGAGTAATTCTTAAATCTATGCCAAGAGTTCAAAATGGTTTGTTAAAAGCATCGAAATCTAGCAAATAACATTAACAAATATGATGTACCCTTGATATAGGAAATGCACAGAAACATTAAAATTTTGTATTGCAATAGTATAACTATCGAATTTGAATGTTGGAATGATGCAGTAGAGTTCCCATCCTAAGGTAGAAGTTATAACCATACCAGCCAAAAAAAAAAAAAAAAATAGTTCATTAAAGAAAAAATAAATCTATCAACAAATTTAACAAATCTAAATATCTGAAACACATGCTACTAGAACAGTAGGATAGAACAACAAATGTTTTACATTTTACACTGATTATAATTTCAAGGAACTATTGTTATTTACATATTAATGAAATGAGTTAGTGTTATTTATGCATTATATAGTATACAACATATAGAGTTTTGAGGTGTTGAAGGAGATGGCTTCCAAGTTAAACTTGGAGACCTTCATAACTAGGGCCGTCAGTTGCTGGTTCTTGTAGTCTGAGTCGAAGATGTGTCAGTGTGTTAGTAAGGTGCCTTGAAATTTGATCAGTTTCTTCAGTAGTCTCCAAGTTTGCCAGATCTTCCTTTACTTTGCTAGTCAGCTGATTAAGCATTGCCACAGTTACCTGAAAATGATTTTATTTGTAAGATAAAAACATGTATAATGTTAAAGCATCGAGTAATATGAAATAAGTACTCCTAATTGAGCGCCTGCTTTGGCTGTTGCCCAAGCCAACAGCCTGGCTTGCCTTGCCAGGACTCACTGGCTCTCACTGGCCTTGTGTCCTACCTGGATAAGGAAATTTGCAAGTCGTGTTGCCATGCAATTGAGGAGAGACTTTTCTCAATCCACCACCAGAATAACCACTCGGTATTAACATAATCATCAGAAACAATCACCAGGACAGCCAATTAGCCTTCTGTTAATGACTGGTTACTGAGCAACACCTGCCCAGCCCCCCCTCCCCCGCAAAAAAAAAAAAAAAACACTGGGAAGGAGGGATGTCCAGAACAGGAATAGAAGCAACCCAGTGGCTGCTCACAAAGTTATGATTTATATTACAATGGACTCCTATTATCTAGATCCCCATTTATCAAAATCTTAAGTTAGCCAAAAAGGCAAATATCCACCCCTCCTTTACCAAAGTACTGTATGTCCAGTAAATGGGAGTCCATGCCCATTAATCAGTCTCCATTCCATGATAGTATTTGAAAAGAGAAAACCTTACCCCTAATCTAACCAAAAAGTTTATCCAAGTTATTACTATAAAGTGAAAATATGGAAGCAAGTTTGCATTAATGTAAGCATCCAAAAATTACATGAATGCAATGCAGGAATTTGCAGGTGTGAGCCAAAATTAAAATGCATGGGAAAGTTCTATAGGAAGCTTGTAGTGTCTAGGAACAGGGTTTTCAAGATAGGTAAAAAGTCAAAACTAAATTTGTTTTAAATACCTAGCAATATTAAAAATCTGATACACTGCTTAAAAATGTACAGTATTAGAACACTGTATGTGTAATGTGCTTATAGACCTACATTGAATTGTTTTATTATGCAATAATCTTATTTAGGTAAATGAGCAAGTATTCATAATGCCTACATTAATTCTTACCTGTGAATTGCCCTTCTCATAAAAATATATGTAGTGATTCAAGAGTTCAACGAAAAGCTGAATCTGTGTAGAAGGATCCATGCACTGGTTAGCAATGCGTACGGCCTTCTTCAAGCATTCTAGAACCCGCTTCTCATCGCGCAACTGAAAGAAAAAGGCTATTAACAATTTCTTTCAGAAGGACTATATATGTAAAGGAAGATATATGCATGTTAATTGAATTAAGCTAATAATATTCCAATGCTACTCCATTCACAAGACCTAACATGGTAAGGTATGACACTAAAAGTAACAAATGACTCGACTAGATTACATACAGTAAAAATTGAGTAAACGGTGATCATTAATAAATTAAAAAATTAAACATTGAAAGTAATAAAATACCCATAAAAGCAAACCCAGAACCTTCCCAAAGAAAGCGATGGTACAGCCAAGCCTTAGGGAGATGCCTCAGGTCTCTGACACACACCCTTACAGACTGACTGACTACCAGAATATATAATACAATACCTCTTCCTTGTTGGTGTATTGTGAGCGTGCAGACCAAAACAGGTGAGAGCATGTTGTGACTCCCCGTGCTTGATCAGGTTTTTTCAGCAGTTTAGAAGCTGCTAAAGCGCACTGCGTTCTTAGAGGTTCATGATTCTCTTCGCTGAAACATGTTGTCTGCTGGAATGTACCCATTATAAGCGTCATAGCTGCCAACTGAGCTTTGCTATCGCTGATCTCGTCTTCATAAAGGGAGAATGCCTGAAAATTATTAAACAATTATTTTACTCTTGCATACTAATTCAAGTCAGGGGAAATGCAGAAAAGATGTGATCAAGCTAAACAGAGGAAGAAAACCCTATATAAAAAAAATGACAAGAGTGGGTGAGAAAATCTACAGGTTCCCAGGAGATATATAAAACAGAACCAGAGCAGAGACAATGGCAAGTAACAACACTGAAAGTATATTCAGTAAAGTGGAAGCAAAAGATACAACTGACAGAGCGAGACAATAATAGTAGAAGGGTCAGGCCAGGTACCACTAGAAAATAAAAAGGCTCCAGGGATAGTTAGTTAGAGAAGAGAATTCCCAGAAATGCAGAAAAACAGGCAAATGTAGTAATAATATTCAAGAAATGAGGCAGACACCAAGCCCTAAACTAGAGAACAGTGTCACTAATATAAATTTAGGAAAGTACAGGACAAAATATTTGGGAAGAGAATGGAAGAGCACCTAGAGGAGGGGCACTTTGTAACAAAGGGGCAACATGGTTTTAAATGGAGAAAAGAGAACGAACAATTTAGATCTATGGCAGAATCACCAAGATATGGCACAAGAGAGAGAAGGTTGTGTAGGCTGCAGTCAAAAACATTTGATACTGTATCTAAAAAAAGACCAGTGTATAGGATAGGCAAGCAGGAAAAGACACACTAAACTAGGTAAGGAAGTACTTCATGGCACCTCACGACTGTGACCCCTCTGTGAGGGTCACAGTCAGAGAGAGGCCAAACTTGAGTGATGCAGCATGTGAGGTCCCTCAAGATGTGGTCCTGGGCCAATGCTGTTTCAAATTTAAATACAAGTAGATGAAAAGGTATAACAACAGGGATATTAATAAGGTGTTAAATACTGTATACAGTATCAACACAAAACAATAGATATGAATTTGATAGGTTTAGATTTAGAAAAGACCTGGGTAAATACTGGTTTGGAAACAGGGCTGTTGATTTGTAGAACAGGTCATTCTACAGTTTCCTTAATTCTTATGTTCTTAATACTGTTCCTGCAAATTTTTGCAGATTACACAAAAATAATGTAAAGATTAAAAACTGAGGAGTGTAGAATGCTATGGGACAGCCTTAGACAAAGTACAGGAGTTGGTAGACAAATGACTACTATGAGTTCACCCCAAACAGATACCTGGAGCATACCTGGAGAGGGTTCTGGGAGTTGTTCTACTCCCTGAGCCTGGCCTCAGGCCAGGCTTGACCTGTGATAACTTGGTCCAACAGGCTGTTGCTTACAGTCAAGTGCAATATTAAGATGGAAAAGGGGGTCCATGACTAGAATCTAAATCACAGGAGAAAGGCAACTACAGAAACCAGGAACAAAAAAACATGGGAATGGTTATAATACCAGTACTAATGTCTGAAGCACACAGATAACATTTACAACAAACATTAGAACAGAATTTATAACCTTAAACAAGGATTCTTTTAAATATAATTTACATAGCTTTTATCAAACTAGTTCGAGAATATGCAGCATAGGCACGGAATCAACACATCGTGAGGGAAAACAAACAAACTTTTAAACACTACTTGTGCCAGAAGTACAAGGTCTAAGCTATGAAGACTGATTAAAGCATCCCCCAACAAATAAACAAAATTTAAGGGCCAATGGGGACATTATCATTCACAAAATACTGCACTGAGAGGAAAAGATAAGGTGAACAAGGATACCCATTTCCAATTCAGAGAAAATGAAACAATGACATAAGTCAAAGTTGAAAACACAAATGAGTTCAAAGTATTCATATATTGTATGTATGATCAATAAGTGTAATCCACTAAAAGAAAGATGTAGAAACCACTTTTATCCATAGATTCAAGAGCAAATACAACAATGAACTCAAATGTGGAGAGACTTTATTTAGCCTAGAGAAATAAAAAGTGAGTATAGTAAGCTCAGAACATTATTCCCTGCACTGCACCCGTGTTCATATCTGACTACCTTCCCTGGTGCAAGAAAAATTATATTTTTTTAATGTTAAAATATGTTACCTCATACACGCAAAGTTTACGGATATTTGCAGAGCATCCTTGTTGTGTCGCGCAGTGGAAGGGGTTATATAATAAAATATAAAATATCCTTCATCCATTCATTATACAATATATATATCACACTCCAACAGTCACAGTAACACCATACCGTTTTGTAAGACCACACGTGCACCCTCCTCATGAATTTACAAGTACATTACATACACATATTCACTACCTGCTTAGAAACCATTCCCAGCCGTCCTTGCCCATTACCATATCCTCATGGGAGTTCACACACATTCACCATGGTCGCCCACCTCCAGCAACTACATATCCTCACCTCAAATTCACTCTTGTAATACCGAATGTCTACCATCATCTGTGTTCATCATGCCTACACCATCTCATAATGATTTATCAGCCAATCTTGCTCTTTACTGACAATGAACTCTGCATGAGCAAATCACTGGAGCAGAGTGGGGATCCCAGTATGTATACCCAGCATATCGTGGTTCGTGGATTAAGATGCGGAGCTGGGAATATGCAAGACACTGGTTTAATCCCCGTCTTGCTCCAATGATTTTCTCAGATATATCACATCACGTTTATTTCCTTATGTACACTATATATTTCCATGACATTTTAATTTCATACACAACATATGCTTCTCATATTATCCAATTAATATTTAACATTTCACTACTGTTAGAATTATATACGTACCTGAGACATAAATTCGTAGGCAACGGTCTCATGATTTTCAAATTCAATCTTGTCAATGGCAAGAGCTCCTTGTAAGAAAAGTCTCAATGGTAGTTCAGCATACTCTGCCTTGACTAGTGCTGTAATTGTCTGATGGCAAAACTGGAAAATCTTGTGAACTTTCTTGCTCCACTTGTCATCCTGAGTAATTAAGTAAATACAGTACAGTATATGCAATCAAAAGATTTAAGTACAGTATTTCAGTACTGGACTTAGCAATGATGCTAACTAATGTTACTGTCATATGAAATTTTTCCTGTCAGTTTAATGACAATAAATGATGGCATTTATTCCATAAAATTCTATACTGCACTATGCAGTATAAACAAATAGTGTTTTCGTGACACGTGTTATCACATTTGTGGCTACATGAACGTTACATACTAATAATATTAGTGACAAGCAGCTTTGCATATTAATTACCTCTTCTCTCTCTGCGTGATATTTAAAAGCCAGTTGATAAGCTTGGAATACAAGTGGTGGCAGCGTGTACAACACTCTCTTATTGCCACCAGCACCCAGATGTTTACGAGCAGTTGTCAACATTAAATACTGTTGATCACTACTTGGGGACTGGAAAAAGTGAAGGAATCTGCAAGGATACAAGTGTATTATTATTAGTATTAGATTAGCCTTGGATAAATATTTGTCTTCAGCGGAACAATTACAGTACAGTAAACAATACTGTACTTTTATTACAGTATTCAGCTCTTTTATTACAAAGGGCTGAATCCCTATCAAAGATGCAGACGATGAATCACAATAACGTGGCTGAAGGTATGGTGCCCAAACCACACACCTGAAGATAGAGAAACGACGACATATCAGTCCATCATGGACCATTATCAAGTCGTGTGTGATATGATTTGTTTGGAAAATCAACTTTAATTGGTTGCATTCTTACTATACATGCTAATGCTACAAGAAGTGTTTCTGGGAAGTACAGAGACACAAGTTCAATCCTGCCCGCTGCCACAATATTCTCTCTTTTAAAAGTCAGTTTGGCATTTTTTTAAGTGCATGTATAGTTACGGTATTATAAATACGATATACTTATGCACATTAAGTGATTAGGCCTATAAAAAGAAAGTGCTAACCCAGTAATGCTGTTATATAGCAGTACTAGGTTATATAGCATTAGTGCAAAACAAGGGCGGATGGTCAATTTAATACTCAAAAGAAACACAGTGGAGATGATGATAAGATTTGGAATTATCTGCATTATAAATGTTTTTAATAATTTGTAAGTCCATAATAAAGCTTTAGTTGCATGTCACTAATGCATCTGTCACAGCTATAATCTATGCCACTAAACATTATTTTATCCAGAAATTTCCCTTTGGTTGGGGAGGAGGATTTGGTCATTATAAGTTTCAAGATGGCTTACCCAAACCATGCTTCCCCAACTTACTCCATTGCCCTACACTTCTTGCCAGGCACTATGCCTAGATACTCGTCCACAAAAATGGCAAGCCTGGCAACATCAAAGCATTTTAGTTTAGTATTGCATTTTAGTAAAATTTCAAAGCAATCTATTCAGTTCCATATGTACTTGAAGTGTTTTACCTTGCCAGTAGCCCCTGTTCTTCAGCTAAATCTTCTGGGTCTGGTTCCACCAGAGGTTGATCTGACTGGTCACAAATCAGTGATGCAACCATGGACAGTACTGCATCAACCTAAGACAAAAAATATCAGCATTAGTAACATTATAATTTTCATGAAGGATTTATACCGAGTAATAAAGTTTGATTAAAGTTAAACAAAATAACAGTATCCTATATTTAATGTTATTTTTACATCAATACCTGATTACCCCTTATCATTTGGTGGGGAGGCAATAGTCTAGAAAGGATAGAAAAGGACTGACATCTGACCTTTGACAACACAGCTTTGTACTGCCGTCTCAGTTCTGCATAACGTGATTAAACTCACAATGCTTAACGTTAATATTTACTTTTTAGTGTAAAAATGAAAGCTTGGAAAAAATGGAAGCAGATGAAACACTTTAGTGTTTCATCTGCTTCCCAACACTTATTAGATTGTCTAGCTATGCTGCTCTCTGCATTTTTAAAGTTATTTTTAATACAGTAAATATGATTCCTTACACCCTAAACACATCCCAAATTTGATATGAATGACAGGGGTATTAAAAGTAATACTGTCTGGTTTGAGTGTGTAGAGATATGGGTCAAGGCAGGATGAGCAAAGTAAAAGGAGAGACTACCATGAGCAGAGTGACACAAAAGACTTACCAAAGAAGAGTAACAAAGAGACTACTAAGTGCAAAACACTAAAATTCTTTGATATTGCCAGTTTTGCCATTTCTGTGGTCGAGTATCTAGGAATAGTGACTGGCAAGAAAGATAGGGCAATGGAGTAAGTCGGGAAAGCATGGCTTGGGTAAGCCACCTTGAAAGTCTTATGACCATTTACTCTTCTGAACAACTTACCTGTCTCAGTACTCCCACTTGGAATAAACTCCCACAGAATAAAACAATAAAACTCACACAAAACTCCCACTTGGAATACAGTAACAGAGAACCACTGTAACACAAACCTGTTCTTGGGTCGGTATGAATGTTTCATTTTCAACAGCATTTGTAACAAGGTAAGTGCTGAGGATCTTGCGCCCACTATAGTCTAAGAGACCAAGCAAAGGAGTGTAGTACTGTAGCTGCAGCACTGTTAGGAGGTTGTTGTAGTTGTCGGCAGGAAGACGAAGTAGGCGACTCAATTCCTTGCCCAAGGCTGCACCCGAGTGAATTCTATCAAGGGAAAAAACTTTTTTTTAATAGTTCTTTAGTGTTAATAGTCCACATCCCAAACAATTATAATTTAATTTAACAATTCTTAAATGAATTAACAAGAGCATTAAGTAATGCAAAGTCATATATTGGCAGGGTAACAGAAAAATTAAACTTGCACCATGTTATACTTGATTCCAAGATACACAACTGTTTACTCCATATTCTTTAATGTTCCAATTCAAGTTTGAATATAAATACTATACAGTAGAAATACATTCACCAAAGTGTTTATGTAAAAAAAAATGAAAACTCTTTATTGCAAAGATAAAATTGACAAAAGTCACGTATTAAAAAAATAAACAAGAATTATCCAAAAGAGCTTAACCAAGATTAACTAGCAATAATGTCTATGGCCCCTGTCACCAAATATTATAAATATGGTACAGTACATATTGTACTGTATTTAAAGGTAGCCAAAACCTATGTGAAATATGGCAAGCAATTAGCAAGAACATAGGACCCAGTTTTATTACATGAAAGGTAGCAAATACAACTTTACATGAAGAGTTGTTACGTCAACAATAAGTAATAATTATAATCAGACAAATTGTGTACTGCACATACAATACCATAATAAACATCATGCTTACGAGACAAACAGATATTGAACATCATTTTTGGGTGGGGAGGAAGTGCTATTATGTTGGATTTATTACAAGAATTTCTATAAATATGATATATATATTTCTTAGAAGTGAGATACACCCCCATACACAAAATGATCTACCTCTGGTTGGTTTGGAAATACTGCCATGGTTTAACTGTATGTAAGAAGCTCTTGACTGCGGCAACACCAGCGTTCACTCCACTTGACTTTTTTTAGTGCTACTTGATTTACTTCTTATTGCAACTGCTTTGATCTTTTGCACGTCAAACCAACATACAAAATTCCTAAGCAAATGTTCCATAGTAATTGTGTAGAAATTATTAACGATGAAAAATAAATGAAGATAATTTTAATACCGAACTGCTTTAAAAGGGTACAATTAATATATTGTACATTATATTCAGGTGGTTTAAACATAATATAACGAAGCTCATGATATGTAGGTGTGTGTTTAAACTCATTATAAGCGTATTGTGGGTGACCCTGACAGCCGAGTGGATAGCGCTTCTGATTCGTAGTCCCGAGGTTCCGGGTTCGATCCCCAGTGGAGGCGGAAACAAATGGGTAGTTTCTTTCACCCTGATGCTCCTTTTCACCTAACAATAAATAGGTACCTGGGAGTTAGACAGCTGCTACGGGCAGCTTCATGGGAGTGTGTAACAAAAAGGAGGCCTGGTCGAGGACCGGGCCGCGGGGACACTAAGCCCCAAAATCATCTCAAGATGATTTCCCTATCACTATACAGCATAGTATAATATACTACTGTACAGTACTGCACTATAAATGAAATACTGTACATATTCAATTAAACACAGAATAGTCATTTAAAGTCATATTCATTGGCAGATTTTCCTTGACATTATAAATTTTAAGTAATGGAATTATGTCTTCTTACAGACATAATAACATAGGATAAAAACTCACACTTGTGTATTTGTGAATTGTATGTAAAGATTTACACCAAATCTTTCACTCTCTTGGGTGCTTGGTCAAGGTCTGAGTGTGTGGTCAGGACGAGATTTACATATCAACAACTAACCTTACAAATGATAAAGGTAAGTAGATGTAATGTAATTTTTTTTTTTTAAAACATGTAGAATCATGGCTGGTAACAGTGCTGCAGCAAACTATAGTTGGGAGAAGGATCACAATATTGATTTTTAAGAAGGGTAAAATAATATATAAAAGTAATAATATTAGAATTAGAAGGGTAGTGGAAGGGTTTCTAATAAATACTCTGAATACTTTTGCTGGTAACAAAAGCTCTACTTCAGCTTTACTAGGAAAATGATTCCAAGTAAATTAAAATTAGATCTGAATAAATGGATGAATATAAGTAGTCCCAATAGCCACTGTCCTTGGTGTATGGAGGGCATTACAAGGGATAGCATCCAGATGAACACATCTATTATTAATAACTCCAGTTCACAGAACATCAGGATGACAGAAAAGACATCTGATCATAATTCCATAGACAACATCACCTCAGATGCATTGGCAGTCAGGAATAGAGGTGACCTGGTCAGAAGGTCAAGAAGGACTCAGACCTTGACCAAGCACTCAAAAGAGTGCAGAAGACTTGGTGTAAATCTTTACTTAAAATTCACAAATACATAAATGTGGGCTTGATCTTAAGTTATTATGTCTGAAAGAAGACATTATTACTTAATAATAATAATAATAATAATAATAATAATAATAACAACAACAACAGCAATAATAATAATAATAATAATAATAATAATAATAATGATAAGGTGCAACAAGTGAGAGGAAAGAGCAAGCAAATGGAACCGAGTGGTGTGTTGGCCAACTGCGACGAGATTATATTCTAGCACGAGATTAATTTTCTAAAGTCTATTCATGGGAAAATCCTCCTTAACATGGAGAAACAGAGTTAAGAGATGAGTTAGATTTGATAATAGTCAAGTGAAAGAAAATATGCAGAGAATTAAGAACTACATTAAATGGGTCAACTTAGTTTGTACCATTAATTTGTTCTACTGTATATGCAATGTTCTTTATGCAAGTTCAATTACTTTTGATTATTACCAACTACACCCTACAAAAAAAAAAGTGGATTTTGATAAATACAGACAAGAATACCTTCATGCACACTGAGAACTCTCTCTTACCCCTCAGTCATCCTTGTTAAGGAAAGCAATTTCAGAGAAATGAAGCTTATGATATTTGAACAAATTTGTTTTAATTAGTTTTAGGTTGATACAAAATATAACCATTTCATTCAATAGAATAATAATACCCGTTGTGCTTAGCTAAACTTTATGCCTAAATCACCTCGATACACTCCTTTTCATCTTACTCGCATGCTCTAAGGAAACAGTTTCAACATTTAGAAAGAAACAATAAGTTTTCCAAAACTATTTCCTACTTTAACCACTGTGCTGCTTGCCTTCCAAATATGGAACCCCCCCCCCCCCACTGTGCGCAGGAAATAAATTCTCGGGAAAAAATTATTTGTGTTTTTGAAAATGTTAAATACCCTTCCCTAATCACATACAGTATATGTAAAAAGAAAAATCAAAATTGTACTTACTTTGGCCGTATTGGGGTCCGGAAAATGGCGTGTGACGTCACGATTTGGTGGTCGCCCGTGACGGAGACTCCTTAAGCCAGTTGCTCGCCAGTTTCAACATGCGCGAATTGCCACAAATATTTTTTTGTTCATTTTTTGCGTACATTTCCAAATACATTTGTTTTGTTTTTTCTTGCCAATCCTATGTATAATGAACACATACACAATATTATGGCAGTAGAACATCCGTACTGTCCCAAAACACTGTTATATGTGTCACAAATGTGTCCACATATATTGCTCATATATCCAATGTTTCATGTTCATTTATGTATATTTACAACATATTTACACACTATACACTATCACACACTATATACATTCACCATCAACACACTCAGAACTCTGCGAGTGTGAGCTGCTACACCCAGCCAGCCCTCCCTCACTCCTTACACCTTACTTGCCAACATTGCTCCTCCCACCATAGTGTTATTGTTTTTATTACACTATTTACACACCTTATGTATATGTATCTACATGTTTTATTCACCATAACTATGCAAGTAAGCTGGTATTGTGTCCAAACAGTGCAGTGGCCACTATACACTGCATGAGAAATCACACAGCAGCCAGCAGACGACACTACGAATACTATGCCACCTCCTTCACCAAAAAGGCTCCTCCCAACATACTCCTGTTGTTGTTATTACACTATATACACACAGTGTATATACCCATGTACATATGTGTTCACCATAGCAAACCACTAAGCTAGTATGGTGAGCAAAACGAGAGTGGCTGCCATACACAGTGCCGCTACCTCGATTCACTCCCTCATGAAAATTCCTCCTTCCACAATACTACGCACATATGTACATGGGTATATACACACATGGGTATATACCCATGTACATGTGTGTTCATCATAGCGAATCACTAAGCTAGTATGGTGAGCAAAACGAGAGTGGCTGCCATACACAGTGCCGCTACCTCGATTCACTCCCTCATGAAAATTCCTCCTTCCACAATACTACCCACAGTGCTAATTATCACCACAATCCTGCTATTATCACAATCCTTGTCACTAAATCCTGTAAATGAATAATTGACCACAAGTTTATTTTGTAAAGGAACATAAAGAAGTCATTTGAAGATTCCTAGATGGACGAAATAATGCTGTGGGGCTGTGGCTAGCGCTGTGAACATCGTGAACAGCATTGACTCACTAATATTTGAACATTGTACACAGTCATTATCACACTCGGGCTCTTCTGTAATACTATCATAACTAAATAATACCAGTTACATATATATTTTGACATTATTAGGCAATACTGTGGTCACAAATTGAACAGCAGTGCTGTGAGCTCATGCTGCATGCATCAGCCTTGGTTGCTCTCTCAGTACTGTACTGAGGCTCTCACTCTCGGGAATGTTGCCCACGATTTAAAAAAAAAAAATGGTGTCTGTTTACAAGAACCCTGAGGAAGCTGATGTGAACCCCATGTAGCTGCGGGAGTTTTGAATCAAATGCAATACTGTACCTATAATATCCCGGAGGCGAGTTGCACCCCCCCCCCCTCCCCCGTCGAGAGCCTGCAGGCGCGTTGCACAGTTCAATGGTTAATGTATTTATATTTAGCAATCAGCTAAAATATCACCCATCAAAGTTATGATTAATGATCACCTAACATAAATATCTGTAACGTGCACCACACACACACACACACATACCAAATTCCTATACGTCCTATGTTAATCTGATTTCTTAATGCAAGTTTTAACTACCAATGTAAGTTTCCTTCTTCAATCCCTATGAAGCAATTTGGAGGCACTGTACATGTAACACCAAATTTATGTGGGGGACTGCATGGAGCCCCATCTAAAATAAGAACATTAAGTGTAATGAAATGCCCCTTTACGGGGTTTCTCAGTGGCTTTCCATAGCCTAGATATTGACACCCGATGTTAAACCTGACATGCAAGGCACCTGTCAACATCTCTCCTACAATCAGCAAGTACCATAATCTTGCACACTTAAAATTCTGGGGATCAGAATCAGCCCACACTGAGGAATCTCCCTTTCCCCATAGTGAGAAAAAAGACAGGCTACAAAAATCAAACCAAAAACATCATCTCATGGACTCCCCCCGACAGCTACCGAGGGCTTCAATAAGGTAACACACCTCACTATTGACCCCATGTACAACTGGGAAGATGCAGAAATGAGTGGGAAAGTGAAGCAAAAACCATAAAACCAGGCGAGCCCAAGCCACCCATAGCAAGCTGGGAATGTTCTTGGGATGGGAATGAAGGCAAAGGAGGAATCACTGCCTTCCCTTCCCACCTCTAATGCCAAGTCATGCACTCTGCCTATAAACACAACCACTAGCCAGAGCTAATAAAAGCTGGTCTCACCTGATTAGTCTCACCTCCCTGGAAAACCAAATGCCTAGCTTGACCACTGCCAAAAAGACCAAATTTCCACAATGAAAAAAAACAGTGTTACAGTTTTTGTTTTTTTCAGCTGTACAGATATTGAGAATGTTGAGTTAGGCCAGAATTGTAAAAATTTGTACAATTCGTTATAGATAAAGAATCTGATTCTAAGAAGGCATGAGTCTTGTACTTACTCATGTTAGGTAGAGATGATCAACCAGTGACTCTAGCAGATTACACATAGCCCTGGAGTGTAAACCTAAGGTTATGGTAAACTTGGATCAGGATTCATTAAGCATATATGCTCCAACTTTCAAAATCTGTACACCTTTCCTTAATTGTGGCGGCTTTGTTTACATTTATTTATCAGCTTACGAGCTTTGGAACAATCCAAGTTTAACCTCATAATGTTTTAGAGGTCAAACTGTTTAATAAATCTAAACAAAGCTGCCATGATTGTTGAGGGATGTACGGGCTTCATAAGTGGTTGTATAAATGATTAATGAATCCTGGCATAGAGGGAGCCCCCAGACAAAAGCATACAAAACCCTGTTCAGAGATATATACAGTACCACAAAACAGGCTCCAGAATGGGGAGCATTATAGAGTACAGTATGACGAAATACTAGTAGCTAGATTTTTAAATGTATATTAAGAAAAAGAGGAGACATGATCACAATGTATAAGATCCTATGGGGCACCAATTAATAAGAGAGGGACAAAAGGCACCTATATGCCCACATGCCCCTCACCTCACACCCACATGTCTAACACCCCATATGCCCAACACCCTTCACCCACATGCCCAACACCCCACACGCCTCACACATAACTTAAGTAAAATTTAAAATGGAAGCTAGAAAGCAATACAGTATAAGAAACAATCAAATGCTTTTCACACTTCCTTAAAACACCCAAAATTTTTAATCTTGTTACTATTAAAGTTTGTCAATAGTGTTAATAACATTTTCAGCTCTTAAATAATGCACAGTCTTCTAAGCACTTTTGTGAGTACACTTCCTATTTGCCCCCGAATGAATACAAACTCCAACAACATTTACTTACTTATCAATATTCAATTTCTGAAAAACTTCCAGTGTATTCTGCAACACTTTGTCCACATACTCTATTTCATCTGGATAGCATTTCTGTGCCAAATTGACAAGGGAGACTTGTAAGCTAACAGTGTCCTCCATGGGCATATCTGGTCGGGACTAGAAAAAGAAAAAGTTTTATTGTGGTGTTATTCTTGGAAAACAAGACACAGTTATTCACGATACTAAGATAAGTATGAATACAATAAGAAGTTTGAAGAGGAAAGACGATTATGTGAAATAATGAGAGTTAAATGAAACATATCTGATATTGATATATGGAGTCCATTCCATCCACAAATACACTAAGGAAAGCCATTCTAGTAATTCTATTCCAGTAAGAAGAAAAATGCAAGAAATCACAAAGTGTACAATGCAAAAGTTATAAATAATTTAATAATCAATGAACAAAATACTTATCAATGGTAATAATTGTTTATTAAAACTTAAAGTGAGAGAGAAGAATGGCAAAATAATTTCCGACAGATACTCTACTGACACGCAGACAACACTTGCCTCCCACTTCCTTCCCTCTGTAACCCCATTCACCCCTTAAACTTTTCAGCCCCCAGCCATGCCAAAATTCCTAACAAAACCATTTTTATATAGAATTATTAATGTTGTTGTAATATAATAATATTACTGCATTTGATTAACGCTTTGGCATGCCCGGCAGGGCACCCATATCCTTTCGGAAGGTGCGATTTGGATTTGATCTGAATAAGATTAGGCAAAGTTTTTTTGCATGACTACATTGACGTCATCAGCCACTTTGCACGTTTTGGTTTTATGACGACAATACCGTCATCAGGACGCCAAAGTGATTTTTTTAATACAGAAGTCTAAGAATGAACAAATCCACAGGGGCCGTGATGAGGGTTTTAACTTACGCCCGGGATGATCCCAGACGTTGCCTTAGTCAACTAGGCTACGACATGGTCAAAAGAACTGCAACCGGGAATTCCACTGAATTCAGTTGAGATACTTAGATATGAGACCACCTCATATGAATAGGTATCATTCTTTACCTAGAACTGGCCATTAGTGAGTGAGCTACTTGGCTCTCACTGTGTAACCACATGCAACTTACAAGAGAAGATTATTTTGAACTGAACCTTTCAAGGTCATTCCAGCCAGAATTCTGCTTTCCTCCACTAACTCCCTAGCACCAACAGAATCCAAAAGGAATGTGTGAAAAGATCAGTGTTGTTCCATTGCAAAATGTCCCCTGCCCAGGCTGGTATGATAGAGGGATAGCTCCCAAAAAGACCGGTGCAATGGATGCTGCATAAATAATTTGCCTTATAATGCAGTTAATTTTATTTTTATACAACTTCACTGAATTATATCACCTGAATATTCAAGAGGGAACTACTCTCTCCTCTATAAACAGCAAAACTGAGCTGATGAGTGCAGTAATCAAGTTATAGCATAAAATAGATCACCTTGATAACTTGGGAGACTTGCTCGGAGAAGATTTCAAATAGTTTGATATCATCAGGGATTCCAGTTCCATCTTCACGATGAGCAAAATTAGCCAGACGATCTATAAGAGATATGATAATATTCTTGACATTGACTTCGGCATGGAGCTCAGCACAGGCTTTAAGAAATGCACTTAGTGTCTGAAGGTGAAATTCGTCTGGAAACACCTGGGTTGGAGAAAAATAAAGGAAAAGTAGTAAATTTTAATTTAATAAAACTACAAAAAATATTAATTTTTGAGTCTTCAAAGAGCCTCAGTTGTAAGAAGAAAGCCTAAAAAATACTGTATCAATCAAAATTTGTAATCAGTTTCCTTCACTGTAGCTTATCAGTTTTTGCTATTCCTCAATTACAGTAAGTGGCAACAAAGAACATAACAAGAATAGAGAGCACAGGTCTGCCGAGGCACTACCACCCTGAAGAAAGAACATTAAAACACCAGCATTAAATGTAATGAAACACCATTTTCCGGGCGAGCCATGGAGGCACCCTGGAGCTATCTGGCTAATATGCAATTCACTAGTCTAGGGCATTAGTCATAGGAGTTCAGCCTACCGGGGACCACTAGCAAGAACCTGGTCCCCTCGGAGAGGCACAGGGAGCAATGGCACTGGAAAACCCCTCCTGTGGTTGAGGGGCTTTTATCTACCATCAACTGGGGTTAGGCACCCAGAAAGGTAGGCATAACAAAACAGACCCCACATGGTAAGAAAATTGCAACCGAAAACCGAACAGAGGCAGAACTCCCTCAATTTCCAAGGAAACAAGCAAACATCACACCACGCCCGCCTTCCCTTGGGAGGGGGGGGGGGGGTCCTGGACCCACTGTGCCAGCTACCCAATCTCAGTTCGGAGGCTAAGCATCAAAAACAACGTAAAAACCGCTGACCGGAGGGAAGGGAGGGAGGGTGCCAGGGAGCCTCCGGGGCTCGCCCAGAAAATGGCATTTTATCACATTCAATGCTGGTTTTCTGTGGGAAGCCCATCTGGCTCCCTGGAGATACATAACCAAAGATAAGAAAAGAGGGACTTACCTGGGAGGTGGCAGCCACTCGTCTGTCAACTCGAAGTCGAGACACCTGGCTGCAACCTGCGACCCAAAGCTACACATGAACACCCAGGACCAGTAATGCTGACCAAATAACAGGCGGCCAGGACCCTGTCCGACATCCAAAATCCCCGCACCGGAATATCAGCCCAAGACATTTTGCCGATGACAGCAGCCAAAGCAGCAAACTTCCGAACGTCATGGGCATGAGGATAGACTGCAGGCTGGCTAAACTTAATAACCCTGTGGATGATCTGGTAACGCTGGTAACGCTGAAGAGCCACAACCGGACACAAAACATGATCAGGGAGCCGGTCGGCCGAGCGGACAGCACGCTGGACTTGTGATCCTGTGGTCCTGGGTTCGATCCCAGGCCCCGGCAAGAAACAATGGGCAGAGTTTCTTTCACCCTATGCCCCTGTTACCTAGCAGTAAAATAGGTACCTGAGGTGTTAGTCAGCTGTCACGGGCTGCTTCCTGGGGGTGGAGGCCTGGTCGAGGACCGGGCCGCGGGGACACTAAAAAGCCCCGAAATCATCTCAAGATAACCTCAAGATGATGCCCCCCCCCGGCCTGACCAACCAAGCATCAATGAGCCAAAGACCCCTCCGGAAAGCAGCCATCTCATTCTGTGCCAGAAAAGGAGAAGGCTGAAACCGAACAACCCAATTACCAGTACCAAAAGAGCAGAAACCCCTGCAACGGATGAGAGCATGAAGCTCACCAACACGACCCCCAAGAGGCCAATGATAACAGAAAGAGAGCCTTTGAAAAACAACCTTGAACCGAAGGAGCCACCACGAACCAAGGAAAAGTGAGATAGGAAAGCACCCTGTCCAAGGACCAGGATGGCTCAGGCGGTGCATGAGCAGGACAGAGGTGAAACAAAGCACGAGAAAGCTTACAGAACAGGGCAGAAGTGACATCCATCCCGAATGTGAGCTGAAGCAGCTCCACAAGCGCCGCACAATACGAGGCAACAGTATTCGGCATCAAATGACGGTCCAGGTACAGACAGGACAAAACCAGAATGAACCGAAGAACTGAAGTCCTGTTGCAGAACTGGAACAAGATGACCCAATGCAGTGAAGGGGAAGGAGCCCGCCCCGCCAGTTCTGAACCCCTGAGGAGGAGGAGCCGCCTAACACCACCCCAGGCCGGAGGACATGACCTGAACTGCCCACTAAATGTGGGACCAAGCGTGGGCAAACAGAGCAAGCCTCCCCTCCAGTGCCTCGCCAACTGGGCGACCAGCGAAGGGACTGGCGCCGAGAGAAAAAAAAGAGAAAAAAAGAGAAAGGCAAGAAGCCGACTTGTGAGCAGTGCGAGCACCACGCCAAATAGACAAAGACGGCACCTGCACAAAAGCTGCACCAAAGGCCCACCCCGACAAGCAGAAGCCATGACCCAAGAAGTGCAGTCTGTAAATTAGGAAGACCCTGGAACTCCAGAAGAGGCAAGTCTGGAGCGCACAGGAGGTAACCACCAATTGCCACCAGAACTTCCAAAAGGGAAACCCAAGAGGAAGAAAAACCTCTGAAACAAAACCAAAGAGCCCAAAGGAACCTGGAAACAAACCTGGGGGGAGCTCAAACCACCATATTTGCCAACAAAAATGCATCACAGAAGGAAGGGCCAAACACAGGACCCAGACAGAACCCCCGGCCAAAACAGCCAGAAACGGATCGAAAACCGAGGGTCAAAAGCCGTGGGAGCAAGCAGAGCAAACAGGCCCGGACACTGGGCCCAAAAACTAGGGCCCAGAACCCAAACAGAACCGGTTGCAATTTTCTTACCATGTGGGGTCTGTTTTGTTATGCCTACCTTTCTGGGTGCCTAACCCCAGTTGATGGCAGATAAGGAAAACCCCCAATGTCCCCGGTAGGCCGAACTCCTATGACTAATGACCTGGTCTAATGAATTACATATTAGCCTGATAGCTCTAAGGAGCCTCTGGGGCTCACAACAGAAATGTATCCAGGGCTAAAAGCCAGTTCCCTTGAGCTCCTCTCCTCACCCCCATACTTCCTGAGAGAATTTGCACAGGAAGTAGTAGACCTGGGCTAACTCATTTCACCATGCACAGCAACAATGGCAAGAGGCAAGCTTCAGTGAACATGGCCATAGTGTGTTGGCTCATGAAAAACATCAGGAAACAAAGCATGAGAATTCCATCGATAATGATGGAAATCCCCGAAAAGCTATGCATGTTAATGGCTTTGCAAGAATATAAAAATGCCATTCTTACGTAATCTCACCAACTCATTGTACCTTCTTGTAAATAAAATTATTATTATTATTATTATTATTATTATTATTATTATTATTATTATTATTATGATACAAGGCTGTCTTGAGACAAAGCATGGAGAAAGGAGTGGCAGAGCCTCTAAGCTTGCAGCATAACGATGCGACTTCCACTGAAAAGCCAACTTCTCATTTTTAGCAAGAAAAACAGGTGGATGAGCAGTATTCTTACTTCGTTGCATCGTACTGCTGTTTTGCCAATCGTCTCTATCAATATGTCGCATTTTTAATGGAATTAACTAATCTGTTAAAAATGCAACATATCTGTAAAAATTAACGCACTGTAATATAAATTTTTTTAAACTTCAGCCTTAACACGATGGGTGGATTGCTTGGGTTCCCAAGTTTCTCATTATGGAAAAAAAGTTAATTTTTAGCAAATCAAGAGAACAGGCTGCAGTATGACCCAACCAGATCATTTGAGAAGACCTTTTTTGTACTGCTACAGTGTCACTCCGCTCTATCATTGGTCCTATCCACTGTGACCTTAAATGATCTTGCCTTATGGAAGATCATTTAAAAAGAAAAAGATGAAAAAGCCTTTACCTGGATGATGCATTCCATTAAATATTCTTGAGAGAGTGGATCACGGCAGCTAACAGCTTGTTCCAAGATCCCTGGAAGAACCATCTGAAAATTTATGAAATGGTTTATTACTAAACCATTAAAATCTAGAAGAAATTAAACAGTTCCCAAATTCAGCAACTCTCAATTAAACAGAAAATTATCCAGCTCCTCCCTTCTCAGAGTTCTTGAATTATTTGAAAATCTAAATATCCACCTTTCCATACCCTATTACTGGATGGGTGGCTAGTTAATGGATCCACCAACACTAACCAGAAAACTTCAACTAGTCCCACAATACACAATGTGGGACCATCATTGTGCATCCAACGAGAAGCATTGAACATAGAACTACTGGACCATATGCTAGACTTCCTAGGGGAGCAATGCCTGAAACCCTGTTTGGGCTTTAGTTGAAAGCCTCAGGATCACTAGAGGATTCAGTGGAATCCCAGGTTGCATTGCTGTTGATCATGTTGTGGTGTAGTGGTCTAGAGCATGGGATTGGGAGTACTAAGGAAGAACTGGATGACAAACGAGAGGGCCTCATAATGGTTATGAGAGAGATTATGGTAAGAGCTGACAAAGATAAATCCCGATTGTTGGTACTGAGGGACTTCAACTTTAAGGCAATAGACTGGAAGGCCTACGAGGCAAGAACAGAGGACATTTGGACAGGCCGATTTGTAAACCTCATCTTGGAGACATTCATGTATCAACACGTCAAGCAGGCCGCAAGAATGAGAGAAGGGGATGTTCCGTCAGTACTGGATCTAGTATTCACCAGGAAAGAAGAAGAGGTATTTGACATCCAGTACCTTCCTCCCTTGGGAAAGAGTAATCACATCCTCTTGGACATTAAATACGCTATGCGATATAATCTAGTAGAGAATGGGTACAGTGAAACAGTTGTTAAACTCGATTTCAAGAGACGACACTATGGGGAACTTAGAAATCATCCTGTAACTACACTTAGGTAATTACACTTATGTAATTACTAAGTTTGTGGGTTTGAGTCTTCCTCATGGCTCCAACTGATTTGCTCTTTGGTCCCACAATAAACATAAATATCCAAACCAAACAAGCCTATAAAAGCTAGCCATACCTAAAGTGAAATATGAAAGAAACAAAATGTTTATTAATGCAAGCATCCATAAAGACATGAACAAATTTGTATATAACGGCAAGAGTGGCAGATTCTCAGTAAAAGGGGCCGAGGCTCATGTCAATGGCATCCATCAGCCCTCACCAACTCGGTCCTGTCTGTTGACACATCTCTGGTCATATTAGACCTATGTCATCCCAAATAATGTGAAAGATGGTAAAAATGTAATGCCAATTACCACAAGAATTGCACACAAAATGTGTTTTGTGTAAGTACAGTACTAATATGGGCCTCCATGTCAATATAAAGTAAGGCGGCGCGGTAGCGGGGCGACTGGGAGAAATATGGTGGCGGGATGCGTTTCCATTACTGCCAATTTTTCCCATCACCCCTGTAACAAGCTCAGGAGCTGACACGTAACCGCTCTCTGAAGAGCAGAGGGGGGACTCGGGGTACTCATGGAAGGGGGACCACAATAGTGGGTACTGTACTACAATCTCTCATAGTAATCAGACCCGTATTTAACCTTCCATCATGTGAGGAAACGAGGGAATAAAGCAGCACATGTCCCTTTGAGTGGAAGATGTGATGGATGGATAAGTGTATTTCCGAGTATCTTTAACCTTCCTTCCCTACACGGTTCTCCTACAGTATTCTTCTGGGTCAATGCCTCCCTCATCCCATGAAAATTTAAACTGGTTAATAATAATAATCAATTATGATACTTCAGAAACTAACAACAGCACTGCAGAAAATAATTTTACTTTATTTATAATAACAGTGTAGAGCAAGAAGAGTAAAGAGTAAAGCAAGAAGAGTAAAGCGTAGAGCAAGAAGAGTATAGAGTAGAGCAGGAAGAGCATAGAGTATAGCAGGAAGAGTATAGAGTAGAGCAAGAAGAGTATAGAGTAGAACAAGAAGAGTATAGAGCAACAAGACTAAAGAGTAAACAAAAAAAGGTAAAAGTAAAGAATGTGATAAAAAACAAAGCTATAAACTCAAGAGAACTTAAATGGTAGCTGAAATCTAAACACTGGAGTTGTTGGGAGTGTATTTACTTACCCGCTTATATCTGTGCACATCAACGAACTCTAACTGTGACAAGCGGACCAGGTTAGTCCCCACTAAAATACGCAACTCTTGCCTCTCACGCTCTCTCTTGTCTTTGTCCCTGGAATGTCCCTGGTGCTGCATCCTCACCCACAACTTATTCATCTCGGCAAAGTTCATTAAAATGAAGTCGACACTATCTGAGATCTGTATCAAAAAATTAATAAAGCCGTTTAAAATCAACATTATGCCAGAACACTTAGCAGAAAATGCATGGAACACTTTTCTCATACTTTTTTGTGCAGTACATTGAATTATGTAGAAGAGACCAATAAAAATGCCTAAACAAATGAACACATTATAACTTTGGAAGAAATAGAGAGACCCAAGTGGTTTATTGAAAAACTATAGCTGGAAATTTGTGATTCATCTTTTGCATAACTGACAAATTTGTGGGAGAGACTGAATAACTTTAGAAAAAACTAGCGTTGAATGTAATGAAATGCCATTTTCTGGGTGAGACCCGGAGGCTTCCCAGAGCTATCAAGGCTGATATGTATCTATTAGCTTTCTGGCATCAAAGTGCATGGAGTTCTTACCTACCAGGGACCACGAGCCAGAAACTGGCCTCCTCAGAAAGGCGCGAGGAGCAATGGCCTATAGAACCCCGTGTGGTTGGGAGCATTCTATGTCTGCCTTCGACTGTGTCTGGCACCCAGAAAGGAAGGTGCCCCAAAACAAACCCCTATTTTGGTGAAAATATTGCTACCAAAAGCCGAACGAGTGGACAGACCTTCCTAAATGAAAATTAGCAAACGAACATGACGTCATCACGTTGCTGCGTGTTACGAACCTGGGTTCTTAATTGGCACTGCCAAGAAACCAGGCTCAATAGAGTCCTGTTTATATTCAGGCAGAGACCATTCACTTAAGTATTTTGTAGTGATAGGGGTTTATGTGTGGGTTTTTGATTAAGTAAATTATAGAACATTAAGTGATAGGTTGAATTATGTAGGAGGGAATTTAGTTAAGTATTATACTTATGTTTCTCAAGTCCTTAAGTGCTCAACTTGGTTGATGATTCCACTTCCCTGCCAGATGTAGGAATAACCTTGTTGCTCACAGAGCTGGTATACTTTGTGTTAATTGAATATTAGTATAATGTAAAGCTAAACATTAGTTATACTTATAACTGTTTAAGTAGCAAGTAAAGGTTTGTCTTGGAAGACTAGTAATTGTTACTGTATGATCAGTTTAGTCTGATCGATCAGATTCAACAACCCGCACACCATCTTCATATTTACGAATGATCTCGTTTCTGCTCTATGGTCGTCCTTACATGGGTTTTCGTATATTGAGCCTTACACTGACTTTCCTGGGACTCATGGGATGATATATAATAATTACTTTAATGTTTAAAATGCAAAAAATCACCACAAAAGCGGAATTTCTTATAGGCGCGATCGTCACTAAGCGGGCAGCTGTAGTAAACTGAAGCAGGTCGGCCGCATGACCGGGAATCACGCGCTCGGTCGACCCGAACGTGTACCAACAAATATCGTTAGTTGACGACACCATCATATGTTGAGTCGCATTTTTCGATGAAATTTACATCATAACTTGAAATTATAGTAAGTTGGGGCAATCGTAAGTCAAGGTGCCACTGTACTCAAAGACAAAGAAAAACACAGGGACTTACCCGGGAGGCAGTTAGTCCTCACTCCTCAACGTGAAGTCGAGACAACTGGCTGCAATCGCCAACCCAATGCAATGTAGGCCCTACCAGATCCAGGGACATTGACAAGGCAGTGAGCAGCCAGGAGCCTGTTCGACCTCCAAAAACCCCGTGCCCGAATGTCAACCCAAGACATGTTGCCAAAGACGGCAGCCAAAGCAGTAAACTTACAAATGTCGTGGGCACGGGGATAGACCGCAGGCTGCCTAGACTTATCACTATCGCCCACTTTGGACACCGCTCGTGTCCACTTTTTTTCTCTCGAGTCCTAGCAGTGGACTGTGCTCGCGTCCAATATAAAAAATATTTGTATAAACTTCATTTTTTATCCGATCGACTTGGGGATAGTTTTAAAATGTGCACCTTTAGAGAGCGCACAATTTGATACCATAATGAAAGATGCAACATGAAACTTGATGTCAGAACACTTGAAAGATTATAAATACATTTTTGGTCAAAATTTTAAAATATTTGTTAAAATTCTATTTATTGCTCTATTATTATGAGACTATTTTTAAAATACACATCTTTTTATTGCGAACAATTTGATACCAAAATGAAAGATGTAACACGAAAATTGATGTTATTGAACTGAACGAGTATACACATTTGGCGGCGATGTGCAAATTGGTGTTCGTTCCCGGAAAACTTTAGGCTTTGCTAAAGCGAGTCACGCTTGGCTTTTGGACAATATATGCATATACAACACCTGCAGGGAATTTAATTGCGAACACAATGATACCAAAACGAGCCATGTAGCACGAGAATTAAGGTGAGAAAACTGAAACGAGTATACACATTTAGTGTCGCTGAGGGCTCGCCCGCGCCGCCAGGACTAGTTCATGCAAACGCGCAGAGTGCATGCCCGGGACGCGACAGTGATAATAACCCTGCGGACAACCTGGGAGACCCGAGCCTGAGAACAGGGAAGGAGGAAAACCGGGTCAACCCAAAGCACATCCCCAGCCACCGAAGGTGTGGCGTGCAAATAACAGCGGAGAGCCGCAACCGGACACAACATATTATACACCCCCGGCCTGACCAACCAAGCATCAATAACCCAAGGACCCCTTCAGAAAGCAGCAGTCTCATTCTTCGCCAGAAAAGAAGACAACTGCAAACGAACAAACCTACCGCTAGGACCGAAGGAGCAGGAACCCCTGCGCTGGAGGAGAGCATGCAGATCCCCGACCCAACCCCCAGAGGCCAATGAAAAAAAGAAAAGAAAAAAAAAAAGAAAAAAAAAAAAAAACCTGAACCAAAAGAGCCACTATAAACTGAGGAGGAGAGAGAAAAGAGCACCCAGTCCAAAGACCAGGATGGCACAGGAGGCGCATGAGCAAGCCGGAGGTGAAATGACGCACAAGACAGCTTGCAGAATGGGGCAGAAGTAACATCAATACCGAACGTAAGCTGGAGCGGCTCCACCAGCGCCGCACAATATGAGGCGACAGTATTCGGCATAAGATGTTGGTCATCTTATGCCGAATACAGACATAAGATGACCTTATGCCGGTCATCTAGAACAGCCATGAAACGAAGGACAAGACAACCCTATTAGAGACCAAAGTACACCTACTCAGCGATAGGAAAAACCGGAAGACCCGCCAGGAAACTTCATACTGCCACTGAGACGAAACACACAGGTGGGAGACCAACAACGAAGCCACCTGCGCCCCATGCAAGTGATGATAGACTTGAGTCAGAAACTCCAGATGCGAAGACTCAGGGAGAGCGAACCAGCCTCGTACCGAACTGGACCTATCTGCTGAAAGAGGCAGAGTTGCGGGTAAACCCTCGGGTTCGGACACCGAGCAAGCAACGCCCGAAACCAAGGCTGGGCCGGCCACCATGGCGCCAGAAGGACAACTCTCCCCTAGTAAGTCTCCAAGCGAGCCAGGACCTAAAGCAACAGCTGAACCGGGAAAAAGAAGTACAGGTAACCCCATCTCGCAGAGATCCACTTCCAGTGGCCTATAACTGGAATCAAAACAGGAGCCAGAGGCACATCACCTGTCAGTATCACATCAGCCAAGAACTGCTGGTTGACTTGTCGGTGCGATGGTCTGGGGCTCCTCCTTTCCCCCTCCCGGGGAGGTGGGGGTTGCGCAGACAACTGTGCGGTAATGTGATGACATCATGCTCGTTTGCTAATTTTCATTTGGAGAGTTCTGTCCACTCGTTTAGCTTTCGGTAGCAATATTTTCACCAGAATTGGGGTTTGTTTTGGGGCGCCTTCCTTTCTGGGTGCCAGACCCGGTCGATGGCAGACATAGAATGCTCTCAACCACATGGGGGTTTCTATAAGCCATTGCTCCTCGTGCCCCTCAGAGAGGGGGGAGGGGGGGGGGCAGGTTCTGGCTTGTGGGCCCCGGTAGGCAAGAACTCCATGCACTTTGACTGATGCCAGAAAGCTAATAGATACATATCAGCCTGGATAGTTCTGGGGAGCCGACGGGGCTCCTCCTAGAAAATGACAGTATTTAGGCAATGATTTTTCATTTAAGGTATAACATGTACAGTATTGCTGAATTATCTTTCAGAGATAAATTGTTAAAATCATATGCAAAAAACAAATTCTAGGTATTTTTATTTGAATGCACTATGCACAGCAACACTATACACCCTGTGGTGTATTGGACTAAATGTGCCAATTGATCACACAAAAAATAAAAACCGTGCATTTTTATGCACTATCAAAAAGTGTTTAAATTTTGCTCCTCTTGTCAACTGATTCCATCTATATGGCATGGGAGATATCAAAAAACATCACAAGTTGGTGTAGCATTTGCCAACAAACCATTATGATTCTTCAGCAAACACAAGACAGAAGGAACTACAACATATGAGGGATTATTAGAGGGGCGAAATAAGAGAGACATACTTGGGATCTGGGTAAGGAAAGTTCAAGTCACTGATGGCTGATACTAACAACAGTGTTCAGAGGCCCACATGGAAGGTTTTAAACCTAAAAACTTATCACATTGGCCCAAACATTTAGAAGCCGCTTGGAAGAAGAAGAAAAAAGTGGAAATTGCCCTCCAAATTATAAATTTGCAATCCATGAAAGAAGTGAAAAAATCAGCACAAGACATGATGGACTACGTAGCCTATCGAATAAACTCGAAGCTGATGAAAAATGTATGTCACTTGTAAAAGAAAAGTGAACCCATGAAATATAGTAGCCATTGGTATTTACAGGCAGTGCTTACCTATCAGTGACTACAGAGGAGTAAGATTACCCGGCCTCCTAGCCTTTTATATGTGGCATGCTAACTACCCCTCTCAACCTTAACATTTTCTTCATATTTATTTTTAAATTTGTGGCTGGAATTGGCTTCAACAGCCTACATTAATACATTCCACTTTCCTACCACCCATGCAGGGAATGAGAACTTCATTACATCTCTTCGATTCAATTGCATATGCGGCTTCCATCGATGTCCCCTTTACCCTACCTCTTTTTCAATTTAAACAGGCTCTCTTTATCCACTTTATAAATTTTCACCAAGATCTTGTACATAGTTATCATATCCCCTATGTTTCCTCTCTCCTCTAATGTTGTGAGGCTGAGTTCTCTTAACCTGTCCTCATAGCTGAGGCCTCTAGCAACAGTAGCAAAAGAGCAGTATTTGAATGACATCAAAAACCAAGGACTAGAAAAAAAACTTTCATAACCAAATGATGAAGCTTCACCACTACCTGCCTCCCTACCTCCAGTTTGTATAATCAACCCATCCACAAGATGCAACAAATGCACTAAATATGTTCACAACTGTATAATATCAGGTTTGGTAGAAGCAAACACTATACACACAGTTTCTAATGTGGCTACAGAAGCCAAATAGACTCGGGAACCTGTATACCAATTGACTGACAATTGAGAAGGAGAGCCAAAGAGCCAAAGCTCAACACCTGCATTCAAAATTTAAGGCAACTATACAACAAAATTACATTCAAAAATACAACTACACAAAAATATACTATACTCACAGAACCTGATGGAAAATCTTCCGAGTTGTGTCCAGAAGGAGGGTCATCAACATCTGGCAAAATATTACGACTGCACTGAAGGAGGTAGTTCCTGAAAATCATAATGTAAGGCAATGACACTGTAGTACTGTACATATGGCAGTACATATGTACATTATCATACGTCAGGCTGCGAGCAGCCGCGTCCAACAGCCTGGTTGATCAGTCCGGCAACCAGGAGGCCTGGTTGACGACCGGGCCGCGGGGACGCTAAGCCTCGGAAGCACCTCAAGGTATGGCCATGTGCAGTAATCCTTTATAACCATCATTTCAAGTGTATTAAGCCAAGCCCACCAAATATTTGATGTACATTCATCCTTGAATGTTTAATAAACCTCAGAACAGAACATCAAACACATAACACATGTTAGACAAACCTCAAGAATAGTCCACGAAGGGGATGCTGTACTCCTCTGCACATCTCCACTAGATCCTTCAAGATATCACGCTTGCACGTTTCGTTTGTTTTTATGTACACCAAGCCAACTGTGATCAGCAGATATCTGTTTATAAATTTATCATATCAGCAAAATTTTCCACTGTATAAACTCATGAAACTATAAATCTGAAATCTGAAGAAATTCACTATTATAATTCCCATGTGTTGCAAGTCTGTCCAACAACATTCCATTTAATGGAATCATCTGATGAAGAGGAAGATCACCAATACAAAAATTACAATCTTTGTTAGATTCTGGTCATAATCATTACACTTTTAATGCAGTATTTCAGGCAATAAACACATTTTTGTAGCCTGTACTATATTTTGCAATCAAAACCAAATTACAATATTTTGTTAAATCTTTAACAAAATATTGTATTATACTATGCTGAGCTGCCATGGGTTACTTTACTTTAGAAATAATTAAAATAAATAGAAACTTGACTTACAGTCTAGGTACAATATTCCCAGCATACTGAACCAGTTCATATAAGTCGGCAACACGCTGGCCCTTCTGAAACTCATCAATGAGGTACATTTCCAAGTGACGTAGTTCATCACAAATGCACATGTCTGGAGTGAGTTAGGGAAATGCATTTACAGCCAAATAATTACCTAGCTATAGAAATGTAAGTGTTGGAAGTAAGTTAAAGGAGGCTTGGAATATTGAAAAATCAAGCATAGATGCAATGAAATGCACTTTTCTGGTGAGCCACTCAATAGCTGCCTGTAGCATTAACACTAGGACTGCCAAAATATCCTCCTGATACAACTTGATCCAGTAGAGGTTGCAGAGGCCAGAACAACAATAACAATGCAGCTGAAGCCTGATAACTCACAATCCGAGAGGGTGGACTGGCAAGCACAGAAGTCCTAAAGAGGCAACCAACACATCCACAAGGGTGAAATGACTCATGCACCCAACAGGCAGACTAACGGATAAAACAAGCGATCATTTAGACCTCAGTACATCGAATCGCACTCAGGATGGCCGCATACAGCAGCCTCAAGCATGAAGATGGCTGAGGCAACCATAACAGTTCACTCAAATCTGTGACCCGATGACTGCTCTTTTTCTCCCTGGGGACCAGTGATACTGGCCTACTTTACCATCCACAGACAAGCAGCTAGGCCAGGTGCAGGGAAACATCTTAGCTGAACAAACACTAGTCCCGGCAACATGAACCACCCAGTGAGAGAAGGCATCTGCTGCCTCAGGTAAGAACAATAACTTCAACAGAAGCATACTCTTGGTCAAAGTGCAAAGCCTGATTACATTGGAGACAGAACCATGCATGATAGCTACACAGCTAACTAATGTACTATCACTCCCAATTAATAGGCGATTAATTGGCTTCCATTTTGGAGCAAATCCACGTACTTCTCAGGAGTCAGATGACTCGAGACGTGTCAACACAGAAGAAATCTCAACCCCTCGAGAAGAAGCTTTGGTGAGGCAAGGGAGATACAGGCTGGCTATCAAAGATAACCCTAACACAGCTCAACGAAAATGTAAATTCAGAGCACATGCATGGTTGGTGGCACAAAACACAAACAAAGCAGGAAACAAATAAAAAAGGCCCCATGCTGAATAAAACATTCCAAGGATGGGCCAACACCACATATCTGGAATCATAAAACTTAACGGGCCAAAAGAGGTGTGACCCTGGCTGCCCCAGTGAAACGAATGAGGTGGCTGGTTGCCAGGGACACCAGGTGGCCCTTAGGCTACAATCTCATGGCTCCTGTTGGGCTCAAGTGGTTCTCATGGGCCTGAAGCAAATTTGCTAATACTTGGCAGTCCCAGTGCTACAACCACGGAGAGTATCTGGGGGCCCTTCCAGAAAATAGTTATATATTGTCATCTAAAATATCATTTGAAATTTTCTACTTGTTGACATACCTGTCTGTCTGTCTCTATCGCTCTCTGTCTCTCCCCCCCCCTCTCTGTCTCTGTGTATTCACCTAGTTGTGTTTGCGGGGGTTGAGCTTTGCTCTTTCGGCCTGCCTCTCAACTGTCAATCAACTGTTTTTACTACTATTACTACTGTATTACTATTTCTTTCTCTCTCTCTCTCTCTCTCACCACACCACACACACACACCCCAGGAAGCAGCCCATAACAGCTGACTAACTCCCAGGTACCTATTTACTGCTATATAACAGGGTCATTCAGGTGTAAGAAACTTTGCCCATTTGTTTCTGTCTGGTGTGGGAATCGAACCCGCGCCACAGAATTACGAGTCCTGCATGCTATCCACCAGGCTACCAGGTCCCTAGTCTCAGTCTCTCTCTCTCTCAGTCTCCCTCTCTCTCTCCCTCTCTCTCTCCCTCTCTCTCTCCCTCTCTCTCTCCCTCTCTCTCTCTCTCCCTCTCTCTCTCTCTCTCCCTCTCTCTCTCCCTCTCTCTCTCTCTAAAAAAAAAATACCATAAAATTAATAAATTATAACAAAAAAAACCCTCCTTATTTGATTAATCTTGAACAATTAAATCTTCATATAAAAGGATACAGAGTTCATAATAGGTTTTAGGGGAAAGAAGTGATGTTCTCAGTTCTCCAAGCATATTTGATGCATGTTTCAGTCCATCCATTAGGCGACCCTTGTCTAAACATCGTTTCATTTGGAATGCCTGGCCTCGAACTGCTCCCATCGCTTCATCGAGAAGTTTATCTTGATCATCCATTGGAGAAACCATGTTGTCTATCTGATCAGCCCTACAATATGAAAATAATGGTGGTTACATTATTATACTGCCATTGCACCATCACAGCAAAATTAATTAATCATGTGATTTTCAGCTTTCATCTTTAAAATTACCTACCTAGTCAAAATACATATTGCTCTACATAAATGCCATCTTTCATGCTCATGCTATAGAGAGATGTGACCTTATCACAGATCTAACCTTATTTCTCCCACTTCTCATTTAACTTCTTTATGGGCTATTTATGCCCATGCCACATACTGGGTGGCTTAATCTTTATCAATCAATCTTTAACTTCTATTAATTAGTGAATATGATACAGTAATTCCAATTGTTCCTTCCTGCTGCACATAGCTTGGTAACTTGCCCCTGGTGCTACTCTGTATCTGCTTGGTGACAAAGGACAGTGGGCTTTTGGCAGCAGATCTCATATACGAATCAAATGGGCGACTTCATGAGGAACCATCACCCAGGTGCTGCTGCCTGTCATTGAATCCCACCACCCTCACGCAGACTGTGGGGATCCATGGGATTTATCTGTCCAGCAGCACCATGCCACTTGACATCACATGCACCTTGTAACCTTCACATTGTCTAAGGAGGATCCTTTCCGAGTGATTTCCTGTATGCCAAAATTCATCAGTAACCATTGAGGCACATATGAGTATATTACCATTGACTACATAAAGGCAGCGCACTACATCAGCTGCCCCAAATGTTTACCCGCCAGTGATGACCCATTTTCTATTCTGCATACAAAAAGAAAACCACTGCAACCAGCCTAATCATCTGCACCATTGGCTGCATTATTGCTTTCACTATACACCACCTTCACAGGTGGCTTAGCCTCATCCTGCACAGTACCTAACCCCTCCACCATCTACAGTGGCTGCCCAGTCTCTGGTTCCCTTCACCCTTCTAGTTAGATGACAATGACAAAGGTAACTTCAATCTTGAGGGCTTCATGACATGGGATTGACACACAATTCACCGACTGCCTAGTTCCTCAATAATATGTCCTTTGCTTATGGAGGAGTACCGAAGTGTCCTGCTAAACACTAATTATATTAGCTCTGATGTGCAGAGCATGCCTTATTACCCTGATGTTTAGAAAACAATTTTATGAATTGCATCCTTGGAAAGGGCATAAATAACTGAGCTGGTGGGACCTTCATAAGTCTAAGAGGCTTGCTGTCCTTGACTATGAGAAACCATAAAGAGGGCTAATCAATAAAATTGTACAAAAATGCTAGGAAACCAATCACTAAAATACTGTAATACTATTTGGATAAAAACTGCTGAGAACAATAAGCTTGATATATTGAGGTCTCCCTCCCTAGACAAGAGCAATTTTGTATGCCTGTGAGTACCTATTCAGTTACTGGTCATATTTAATGGTACTTATCACAATCAAGAATTCCAGGTTCGAATCCTGGATGAAACAGAAATGGTTGTGCGCATTTCCTAACACCTAATGTACCTGTTCACCTAGCAATAAGTAGGTATCCAAGAGTTAGTCAACTTCTTGTTGGATTGCATCCTAGGAAGAGTCAGTAATTTGATAATCTGGGGGGGGGGGAGGACCTCGATATAAGCCTAATGTGTTTAAACCACACACTGGCTGCCTGTTCCTCAATACAATGCATTATTATTATTTGTTATTTTGTTATTACAGTATTACCCGATAGTGATTCATACATTATTCACAGCAAAACACCAATGGCTTGCTAAATTCATGACAAGTTTTGCTTTAACATCTGTACAGTATTAACCACTGTACTGCACAGAGCGCCCTACTAAGGTGCTCCGAGAGTTGTGCTCTTTTGTTTAATTAGACTATATTTTAATGTTTTTTAATGTTTTCATTACTCTGTGTTTTGAAATGAAAATGGTTGAGTTTGGAAACATTTAGACATTAACTTTATCTGAACATTTATAAAAACAAAAAAAAATATGTCATTGACAAATGCACTATGAAGCGTTTGCCAAAACCAGTGCAATGGTTAAGCAAACATCCATAATTTATTTGTATTATGCCTAGCAATAATAATACTATTGTCAAAATAAAACAATCTTGATATACCAATGTGACTAGTTTTAAGGCAATAAACACTGTACATTTATTTGAAACAAAGTTGGAGATATAAACATGTCCACCCACTAATGGACATGGACTAATTAATTATATATATATTGGCTAAACTCATATTACTTATATACAATTACTCAATACAGTATTTAAAACCGATGTAATTCATGATACAGAACACTGTCGCAGGCATGTAAGAAATTAATGAATCTAGTACAGTCTCAGTAATCCAGCCAATTTAAAATACAGTACTGTATCGTGTATCATGTGGGAAGACCTTCGGAGCAGGACAGCGGGACTGAAGCAGCATCCTGGGCAACCCAGAATGCTGGTCCAATCCCACCCTCCTGCTCCAAAAATTGTTCTCACAGCTATACTGTATCATATTATTGTGATTCAATGTCTATTTGTGTATTGCAATATGTAATATTGGAATAGCTATTAATGTAGGTCTCATGGAAAACTTTTAACACTGGAGGCCTAAAGGGATGAACTTGAAATTAAAGTAAATTTATTAGAAATAATCAATACATTTCAATCATTATAAAAAAATAAAATAAAATATAATTATGGCACTTTCTTGTGTAAGGATAGACTGGGAATAGTAATGTTTGAAGAAAATGAAGATGGCAGTGGGAAGCATCGCCAGTAGGAACGCTACCTACTTACATTTATTGAAGTCTTGCTTAAATCTGCTCCAGAATACTGCCACCAACTCTTCTCAAACACAAAAAATACATATTAATATTCGATACGTTCACAAACATTAAACGAACAAAAGAAATGTACATATATTTTGTTATCAGTGAGCCTCAAGTTTCACCTCGATCTGAATGGAAGGTAATTTGCAAGATAATTGTTTAACTAATGAAATAGATAATAATGTGACCTTCCAAACAACTACTGTTTACCACAAATCCGCAAGCACCCTTTTCAATTAGGCAGACACAATACACATTAAAGCAAGCATAATGCTCGATATACAAACTTCAATAATTATCTTTTTGCAAATAAAATAAATGTACTGTAATTCCTGACATTTTAATTCCAAATGTTTTTTTTTGTAATTAACTTCACATATTGCAATGTATATTTCTGGAAAATTCACAAACATTTGTCAAGTATTGGAGTAAATGTGAGAGTGTAAAGTGCTCTCCACGACCAACCGGGTGACAGCTACATATTCATCACTACTGTGTCACTGTCACCAACACTTCATATAAACAAATCACTGCCACTACAAACAATGCGATGAGGAGTCAGTAACTAGATGAAGAGGCTTTACAGTACTGCCGTCTGGTATATGTTGAGCAGCAGTATGCCCCCCTTCATGGCATCAACACAACCTCGCCCCTACCGCCTCACGTCCCACACTACGGCACTTAACCTCCGCCAGTAAGACAATAAAGGCTAGTGGAGTATTGCACTGCTGTGGTGAACATTCGCCTGCAGCAGTACACACTTATCTTAAAGGATGAGAGACAACTAAACCTTTTTATCAGTGTAAATAACGAGGAGGGGGCGGGAGGCGGAGACGACCACTGCTGTTTACCATCACCTGACGCCGCGTCCGGGTCCCCAGCCACGACCCCGACCTCCGACACTTATAACCCCTCAAACTCTCCCAACACATACACTTCCTTCTCAAAAGTAGTTAAATAAATATGATATATTTGTACTCTTTTCGCATGTGAATAATTGTAGTTATTGGAGTTGAATTGCATATGTGAATGTCTCTCCCTTAATGATATTTTTGTACTCTATTTAGCTTATTCGAACGTTTGTAAATTTGTTTTATATTTGTGACACCTTAAACATATATATGCGGTAGTTTTATGTGACGTTTAGATAATATAAATGTTTCTTGTACTTTGAGGAAAATTGAAAAGAAATTGACGTAATTCGCTTCTAATGCAGAATGAGCCAATGATAATTAAGGAAGTGCGTTTAGTGAATTGGTATTAGTTGAACGGTAACCAATCACAAGCCCAGCGAGGCGGCTTGGGGGTTATGAATGGTGGATGAGGCAGGTGAGGGGTTGTGATTGGTGAGTGGAGCGTGAGGCGCCGCGTCGACACGGCTGTCAGGCGAGGGGTTTGTTTACGTCTCCACGGGAGCGGCTGCCACACACTGGCGCCGCCGCTACCATGGCAGGGAAGGATGCTGCCGCCGCCGACACCCTCGTCGCCTCCCCCAAGCTGCAGCTCCCCGTCATAGAGGAGCTCAACTTGTATGTCAACTCGAAGATTGCCAAGATCATAGCGGCTGGAGTAGTGGTGTGCTTCATCACCTACCATGGCTTCTTGCATGCAGTTGATGGCAAGTCCTTCAACTCCTGGTTCTTGTAGCTGTAATAATAATAGTGTACACTATACCCGTCTGTTGTCTCTTCTTATATATACTCGTCTGTTGTCTCCTCTAATATATACCCGTCTGTCCTTTCATCTAGTCTGTCCTCTCGTCTGATATACCCCGTCTGTCCTCTCGTCTGATATACCCCGTCTGTCCTCTCGTCTGATATACCCCGTCTGTCCTCTCGTCTGATATACCCCGTCTGTCTTCTCGTCTGATATACCCCGTCTGTCCTCTCGTCTGATATACCCCGTCTGTCCTCTCGTCTAATACGTCACATTTTTAACAGACTCGTCCAAGCCTCCTAAAAGGTAGAGTTGTTAAAGTTGTTATTGCACCCTAATGTTGTTTTCTGAGAAATGGGTTTGATATGTTTGATGGTCTAAATAGGTTTAAATGTCTCCGGTTTGGCAAAAAGCATTGCATTTTTGCAGTTTCAAATCACGAGAACAGGCCGAGTATAGACCCTTGTGTTGACGTTTCTGGAGGTTGAATGGTACTGCATTTGAATTAGAGTTCGATTGTTATTGTATGATGGTTGTCAACATTAGAACTCCTGATATGGCTAATTGGTCTATCTTGCAATAAACTATTCACAAACACATTGGTGGGGATAGGGGGGGACTTCTTTGCAATACATGTAGCAGTAAATTGTTCTCTCTTCTTTTTACCATTTGCTAGTCTCTTCATCCATTGGAATCTATATACACTACTCTGCAGCGTTCGACCCTGTAACCTGAAGACTCTGGTCCCCAGACGCATGTAAATGCCCAAATGTTAATAGTAAATGCATTTGAAAGTACCTGGAAAGGGATCGCCTAGATGACGATGCACAGCCAGCTGATCCCTCGTGTAAAAGGTGGTTGCGATACATACACCAGTGTGTCTTTTTAAAGCACTTTTTCCCAAATATAAATATATTGGACATCAATAACTTAGTGCAGTGGCCAGATATACTGGCTACTTTACCTTGGCATTTACAAATATTCATTTGTTTGGCTATGAGTCTCCTGGGGCCAGCATTCACCAAGTGGTGGGAGAGTCTAGGAAGATGGTGGTGGGAGAGCCTAGGGAGATGGTGGTGGGAGAGCCTAGGGAGATGGTGGTGGGAGAGCCTAGGGAGATGGTGGTGGGAGAGCCTAGGGAGATGGTGGTGGGAGAGCCTAGGGAGATGGTGGTGGGAGAGCCTAGGGAGATGGTGGTGGGAGAGTCTAGGAAGATGGTGGTGGGAGAGCCTAGGGAGATGGTGGTGGGAGAGCCTAGGGAGATGGTGGTGGGAGAGCCTAGGGAGATGGTGGTGGGAGAGCCTGGGGAGGGGGAAGATGGAGACCCCCTGCAACCCCCTGCCTGCATGCCTCTCACTAGTTTATCCAAGCTTTCTTTAAGTTCTACTATGCTAACGGCATTCCTTTGCTCCTGATTCATGTGATCCTTTAATGACATAAACCTTTTCCATAAGGTTGGGTTTACAGTATCTTCCCCCCCCCCTCCCACCCCTAGCTGTTCCTTTGAAACTACAGAACACAATAGATACACTGGCAAAATATGGCTTGCACTTATTTCACAAGAGGACTGTTATCCCCTGGAGGGTAGCTCCTGTCATGAGATGTACTAATTTACTGCACCACTCTTGAAATTGATGGTGACAGTGGTGGCTGTGGGTGGGAGCCGCCACTATGGGGTGTGCAGCTCGCGCCCCCAGCCACCTGTACTAGATCCGGGACTCTGTAATACCAGTTGTCTGTTGTTTTATTATGATTTTTACTTGCCTTTCATTACCCCTCCTTTTACTCTTCACTTGTCACCTATTTTCTTTAATAATCATCATACAGTATTGGCATCTATTATTTTTCTTGGAGGGGAGAGGATGGTTGGAGATGCTGCGGGACAATGAGAAACATCAAGGGATTTTTATATAAAACTAGAGAGAGAAAAGGGGAGGGGAGAGAGAGACAAGTGGGGGAGAGAGAGAGAGAAGGGGGGAGAGGAGGGAGGGAAAGAGAGAGAAGGGGGAGAGAGAGAGAGAAGGGGGGGAGAGAGAGAGAGAAGGGGGGGGAGAGAGAAAGAAGGGGGAGAGAGAGAAAGAAGGGGGAGAGAGAGAGAGAGAAGGGGGGAGAGAGAGAGAGAGAGAGGGGGGGGGAGAGAGAGAGAGAGAAGGGGGGAGAGAGAGAGAGAGAGAGAAGGGGAGAGAGAGAGAGAGAGAAGGGGGGAGAGAGAGAGAGAGAAGGGGGGAGAGAGAGAGAGAGAGAAGGGGAGAGGAGAGAGAGAGAGAGAAGGGGGGAGAGGGGAGAGAGAGAGAGAAGGGGGGAGAGGGGGAGAGAGAGAGAGAAAGGGGAGAGGGGGAGAGAGGGGAGAGAGAGAGGGGGGGAGAGGGGGACAGAGAGAGAGAGAGAGAAGGGGGGAGAGAGGGGGACAGAGAGAGAAGGGGGGAGAGGGGACAGAGAGAGAGGAGAGAAAGAGGGGGAGAGGGGGAGAGAGAGGAGAAGGGAGAGAGAGAGAGAGGAGAGAGAGGGGGGGGAGGGGAGAGGGAGGGAGGGGAGGAAGGGAGGGAGAGGAAGGGAGGGAGAGGAAGGGAGGGAGAGGAAGGGAGGGAGAGGAAGGGAGGGAGAGGGAGGGAGGGAGAGGGAGGGAGAGGGAGAGAGGGAGAGGGAGGGAGGGAGAGAAGGGAGGGAGAGGAGGGAGGGAGAGGAAGGGAGGGAGAGGAAGGGAGGGAGAGAGAGAGAGAGAGAGGAGGGGGAGGAAGAGGGAGGGAGGGAGAAGAGGGAGGGAGAAGAGGGAGGGAGGGAGAAGAGGGAGGGAGGGAGAAGAGGGAGGGAAGGAGAAGAGGGAGGGAGGGAGAAGGGGGGGAGGGAGAGAGAAGGGGGGAGGGAGAGAGAAGGGGGGAGGGAGAGAGAAGGGGGGAGGGAGAGAGAAGGGGGGGGGAGGGAGAAGGGGGAGGAGAGGGGGAAGGGGGGAGGGAGAGGGAAGGGGGGAGGGAAGGGGGAAGGAGAGGGAAGGGGGGAGGGAGGGAGGGAGAGAGAGAGAAGGGGGGGAGAGGGAGGTGGTGGTGGTAGTCATGAAACTTAACCAGGTAATCTTCACAGGTGTGGTCTATAGTGGAACAGGTGTTTGTTATTACTATCATGTACTATCCACTTATCATGATCAGGGCTCTGATAACTCTTTTTCTCTCTCTCTCTCTCTCTCTCTTTGTGTGACATTGCATTGGAACTGAGCTGTGTTGTTTACCATACCGTTCATTTCATGAGTATAGTTTTTTTTCATTTAGTGTTTTGTTTTTCTTATTTCAGTGATTGGAACATCAGATCATTTGATGTTCCCAATTTTCTTATGGGAACACCAGATCATTTGGGAATGGATCGGACGAGGAAGTGGGGAATGGTGAGGAGGACGAGGGGACAGGGGAGGGGGTAATGGTGGGGAGGACGAGGGGACAGGGGAGGGGGTAATGGTGGGGAGGACGAGGGGACAGGGGAGGGGGTAATGGTGGGGAGGACGAGGGGACAGGGGAGGGGGTAATGGTGGGGAGGACAAGGGGTCAGGGGAGTTGGGGATGGTGGGGACGAGAGGACAGGGGAATGGAGAATGGTGGGGAGGACAAGGGGACAGGGGAGTTGGGGATGTTGGGGAGGATGAGGAGACTGGGGAGGGGTGAATGATAGGGAGGACGAGAGACAGGGGACAGGGGAGGACGGGAGGGGAGGTGGGGGGGAGGACGAGGACGGGAGGGGAGAGGGTGGGGAGGACGAGGGAACAGGGGAGGTGGGAATGATTGGGAGGACGAGAGAATGGGGTAAGGGGGAATGGTGGGGAGGATTGGGAAATGGGGGAAGGTTGCTGTGGCTCGGCAACGCATGGCCGGGTACAGCTAGTTATTAATAATAATAATAAATAATACTGTAATACTGTATTGTAATAATAAAGAATTAATAATAATAATAAATACAGGTATATAATACATAGTAATAATATGCAAAATTATTAAAATATTTTAAAGACATTAAGCAGACCAACAGTTTTAATTTTGGTGGGTACAATTTTATCATTCCTTCACATTTTGAAGGGAAAACATTTTATTCACGCAGATCCTGATATTGCAGAGAGCGTGTCACCTAGAGGTGCAGATGATAAACTTGTGTAGGCATTGTACAGTGCAGTACAATGTATACTTTTGTATACAGATATATAATGCATTTTTTGTAACGATTACAAATGTGTACAATACTTGTACTTTGTTTTTCAGGTGGGGATTCGTGCCAAAGATTACTGTCAGATGGGAGGTTTCAGGGTGCGTTGGTGTGGCAGCCCTATGGCTGTATGCTCCATACATACTCTAATACGTAAGTATGCCAATAGTTAAATATATACATACTATATGATCAAGGAAGATATGTTTATTTTGCATTTGTTTCTTTATTTTTCCATATTCCACATTTACTTTTAAAAGGTACAGTATATCAAGAACTCTTTTAAATGATTCTTTCCAGTAAATTGGCTTGATGATTTTTCCTGTTATTGCCTAAATTACCTATTTCCAGTTGGAACTGTATTGCCATTAAGGAAGGTATTTTAGGTGTTGATCATCCTTTTATGAGAGTATTATAAATTTGTCTCATCACTTAATATCTAAAGCCAGTTTCAATGGTTTTAAGAAATTTCATTTTAAATAAGTACAATTTAGCTTATCTGTGCACCTAGATTAAGAATAAAATGTAAATGTGGTTATAAAAATGAACAGAATCATTGCATTGAACGACAAAATATTTGTAAATTGATGCTCGAATCTTGCAGACATTTCTGCCACACAACTACACCTTCTCCCGTTCTCCCTTGTTATAGCCTGTGTTCATTATACAAAATTTATCTCACTATACTGCCTCTGCGTCCTGTGATCATTGTGCCACTATTTATATCCTGATACCCATTTTGATAGCCCATGATCAAACTGTAGTACAGTATCTATTTTTTTTAAATTTTGATTTCAATATCTCTTCATTTTGTGCATTGTGTATGCATAGAACAACGTGTGCTCATTCATATTTTATAATAGCCGAGATAATTTTGGCTGAATTTATTTTCTGTACAGTATGTTCTTTAAACAGTGGAATTTTGTTTTTAAAACTCTTCTAATTTATTTTCCATCTGTTTGTTTGAGTATATTCTGCAGTTTACCTTCCACTACCAGTTTTAGTTGTATTTTGTATAACTAGGATACACCAAACAAGCTCCATTCATCAATTTTTGTAGTTATTTTAAATTTAACTACAAATTTTTAAAGTCGGTAATTATATGTAACTGCTGTATCTCTAATTATTATTTTTATTTTTTGTATTTCAGAGATAGTCGAAGGTGCATGAGGTATGTTGCTTTTCTTAAGCAAGACAATCACATTTTGTTTGTAGGAGACTCCAGAATAAGGCAGTTGTATCTCGCTATGGTTAAACAGGTAATCTGGATTATGTTTGACTTCATTTTTCCTTATGGTAATGGTCTCAAAATATCATGACAGTGTTTTCTAAATGTTACTCAAGACAACTTTTATGATTAATAGTTTTATCTGTTATCAGTAAGATATTTAAGAAAATAAACTAAAGAATGAGTTTATTTTCACCCTCTCCTAACCACCACAATCAAGCACAAATTATGATTCAACCACAAGTATTATACCCTCCCTCTTACTCCTCTCTCTCTCTCTGTATGTCCTTATTATAATTTGTTCAGAAGAGGTGATAATTACATTTTGTTTGTGTGTGTTTTCTGCATTATGATATGCCTGATATAGGTGCCTGGGATACCACTGTCGATTGTCTGCATTCATGCATTCAGAACATTTGGTCTTTAGTCATATTGTTTGTTGAGATAGCTAGGACTTTTCTTTTTTTATTAGGGTTCTTCAGCTTTTCTTTTTTTAATTTCAGAATGTTGTTCTTAAACTTTTTAAATACTTGTAGCCATGTTTTATTATTACTGGCATACAAGGCCAGAAATACCTCCTTTGACCAATTGTGGCAAAACTTTTCTACCTTAATTGTGCTTCTAAAAAAATACATTAGTCCATCTACTTAGATTGGTTGGTACAATGTCAGCCTTGCTTCTTGTAGGTTCCATATTCAATTCCCATTGGTTCAAATGGTTGAGCATCATTCCTTCACTCCATCTTTATATCCCACCTATTAGTCTGACTTCATATTCAAGTGTTGTACTGGGTGCAATAATCATACTAACTTCGTGCTTTCGCCTGATAATAACCTTATCTTGGGAAAGTAGTCTGGTTTTCCTTATTCCTTGTATAGATATTTTATGGAAATGTACTGAGCATTTTTTCTTTGTGTGCATGTCTGTACAGATTGCAGTGACACATCCGAAGTTTCCCGATGCAATGCACGAAGATATGCGCTACAATGACACCAACCTACACCTTAATATAGAGTTCCTGTGGAGGCCCCTGATGGATCAACATGTAGTCAAGCTTCTTAGCCAGTTAAAGGTAGTAGTTATCTGATTGTTTATTTAATAATTGGCAATGGTTAGAAACATTGTATATAGTGCCATAGTTGCATGAATATAAACTGTAGCCAATTATAAGCTATAGCAAGAGTTTTTGAAATTTGAGAGAAATCTTGGACATCGTTTCTAAGCTTCACCCTGAGGTTAGGCTTTTCCTTTAGAGGAAAGGCCTGACATCAAAATTATATTCACATTTAAAATTGCTCTTAGTATGTGAGATACGTGTTGTATTAGACTAAAATATGTTGTTTATTCATACATATACTCTACTATCATTACCATGTTGGTTAGTTTCATCTTTGTGTTGTGGCGAGTGACTTTTCTCTGTGATGAATTGGAGTATTGTGTGCTCCTCGCTCCTAACTACTGTACAACCCATTTTAAAAAGTTATTTGCCTTGGTGGCGGATGGCAAAGAAAAGTAAAATATAAAATGTAATAGAAAATTGGATTTGCCATCAGTGTTCGGAACTGATTGTTAGATTGGCACTGGAGTGCCCTGAATGAAAACCTACTTAATTTTATGCATTTAAATGTAATTGCATGTGCACTTTTAAATAAATTGTTGCAATTATATATATCTTTTATCTATGTATAACAGATACATAGATATAACAGATATTGTATATACATTTTCTTTACAGAGAAAAAAGTCCTTACCCAAGCTGATAGTGATGGGAAGTGCCACACACAGCATCAAGATTTTTAATGGCTCAGCTCTGGCTCTAGAGGAGTATAAAAAAAATCTTACAATTCTCTCGTCGGTAAGTTTGTGTTATTCCTCTCTGTGGGTTTCTCTTTGTCATCCTTTATTATTTTATTTATATATACAAGAGTTCTTGCATTCTTGTAAAGCCATAGCATTTTGGGTTTATATCTGGTGAGATATACATTTATTTACAGATTTGTTTGCAAATGGTCTAAGCCATTTGCAGCCATCATTACTGTACAGTACTATGTTTGCTCCATTTTACCCCCTAATGGGGTGTGAGGGAGGTAATTTAATATTTTTTTAGTTACAAACTTGAAAATTATCATTTATAACTCTTATATTCAATTGTTGACAGGCCTTACACCAGATAGGCAACAGAACCCAGTTGCTGTGGATGTTGCAAGATCCAGTTGTGCCCGAGAGACTGAAGCCCGAGAGACTCGCCATAACCAATGATCAGCTGGATCTCTATAACATGGCAGCTATGGAGGTAAACAGGTGTCATGTGTGATTTGTAGACAAGTTCAATTTTCGTGTGCTATAAGAGGGCATAGTATGACATGCTGTTTGAGGAGATATGTTACCCATAAATATTATGTTGTATACTGTATAAGTAATCTCCACAGTACAATCATTTCTGGAAGATCTCATGCAGACCAAAGTTATCTTAGTATGGAGAAAATAGAATGTATTCCTAAGACTTCTGATATTTGTCTTTTTCATGCTTCTCTAAATAAATATTTTTTATAATACTGTACATTACTGTATAGTATTACTAAATAATCTACCACTTTCCATCCACAAAATTTAATTGCATAATAAAGCAAAAATTGCAATCCAAAAATCCATACATTTGGCTCGAACTTCATCCTGTACTTACGTGATTATAATTTAAAAAGGCTTCAAAATTTTCTATTGATTGCAATAGCTACCTGATTTTCAGGTAATCGTGCTAATCACAGGGAATGAGTATGAATGATAAATCATTGACGTGTATGATAATTATACACTATAGAATTGTAACAGTATTAACAAAAATCTGCAGGTTCTTTACAACACAAAGGTGCGCATATGGTCGAGCTCACGACTAGTAGCTCAGGGAAGTATTGGAGGCTTTTCTGATGGCATACATGCTGGAGAAGTAACAATAAAATATGACACACAGGTAAGTTCAGTTGACTTTTTGTACCCATGCCCCATAAACTATTTACACTAACATCAGCCAGTGCATAGTGATCACTCGATAACCCAAATCTCAATAACTCATAGGAAATTAGTTACTTATGTCTTCAGATACTCCGAAGCGAGTGTTAAGTATATGAATGAGATGTTGGATTACATTGTGAACAAAGCTGAAGGTGCATGCTTATGTTGGTAAATATTGTCTTCTCTAGCTAATTGATTCTTAGTATATGTGCCATTTATGTGGTGGTTCAAATTGTTTTTCCTGATTTTTGTGCCCAACCATTGTACTGTATTTATAAGTTTTGTGTAAAAGATTCAGTATGTATTTGCATTTATAATAAACCTTGGTTGCAAAACCCTAAATTTGTGTGCATGTTCGGGCACGAGTGTGTGTGCACCAACTCCCATCCTTGCATGTCTTGCTTTCAATTCATTCCTCCTATCTAGGCCTTCTCGTCGTTCAATCCATCTCTTCATTCCTATTACCTTACCAAACAGTAAACATGGAAATTTATTTGTGCTCAATACATCTGGTTGGGTTTCGCTTATTTGTGCTGCAGGATCGAGCTTCAGCTTTTAGATCCCACCTTTCCCGCCGTCAGCTGCCCACTGAAATGATCACTCGCTAACATGTCGCATTACATCTATGAAGTTGCAAATGTAGTTAGCTAAAATAACACTAAAGACTGGAGAGCTTTCAAAAATTTGAAGAAAGTGCAAATTTAGTTTCAATATTCAAGGGGGGGATACATATAAAGCACTGTATTATAGACCAGCATCAATTAATCCGTAAACTGCGCATGGCGTATATGTACACCATGAGTAACATGTCCCACCGTGCACATGGCGTATATATATATACCCCATAGGGTGCCAGGCACAATTCAAATGGCTACACAGGGTTCACATCAGCTTCCTCTGGGCTCTTGTAAACAGACGCCATGTTTAAAAAAAATCGTGGGCAATATTCTCTGGTGTGAGCGCCACAGTACTGTGGGAGCAACCAAGGCTGGCGCATGCAGCATGAGCTAAAAGCATTGCTGTTCAGCTTGTGACCACAGCATCGCCTAAAAATGTCAAAATAAATATGTAACTGCTATTATTTAGCAATGACAGTATTACAGATGACCTCTGACTAATAAAAATTACCAGGATTGTGATAATAGCAGGATTGTTGTGATAATTAGCTCTGTGTGGGAGGAGTAATGCTGAGGGAGGTAGGGAAATAGCGTCGTTCACTAACTGTGTGGCCACCTGTTATTGTCTGCATTCACCATACCAACTCAGTGGTTCTCTATGGTGAACACAAATGTAGATACTTATATATAATGTGTGTATACAGTGTAATAACACCACAAACAGTATTGTTGGGGGAGAAATTTTAGTGTGCCTGACCTTGAATGAGTAAGGGAGGCAGTTGCCACGGCAGTTTGGCTTGTGGTTTTAGCCATAGTGTTTGGCTTGTGGTTAGAATTCTTACATTCTTCATCATAGATTTTTATCATTATTCTCATCATTATACTCTAACTTCATTATTAATCGTACTCCTTATATATTCTGAACTTAATGTTCTACTGTTTGTATACTTTATGCTCATTTTACTTATTACACTCTTATTATGATTCAGATTCAATTGTTTGATTCCTTTTATTTATTTGGGTAATGTTCACTAGTCGTGTACAGTATATAATGAACCCCCCTTTATCCGGATCCTTATTTTCTGGAATCTTGGATTATGAAGACATAGAAATTTCCAGTTTTCCACCATTAACAAGAGCATATCTGATTACTGTTTTTCACCCTCTATTACCCATGAAGTGTCGGTAAATTTTGGCTGCAGAGGACACTTATTTTTATCAATTATCTTATAACTTCATTAGTTTCCTACATATACATAGCACATTTCTATTTAAATATAATTACAGGTACTTTTAGCATGTCTTAAAATAAATAATGAATTAAAAACAAAATTGTCACAAAAAATTACTTTTCAATTTTTTATTTGATTATTCAAATTTTCAGTTACCCGGAGGTATGAATTGGTTTGCATAACTGAGGTTACTCTGTACTGTTGTTACATCAGCCTGTATTCATTGTACTCTGTGAACTCATTATAACCCCTGTACATGGTACATTATCATACAACTATTGCACCCCCCCTTGTATGTTTTGCGCCACTCTTTATATATTGGGTTATCTTTCGTGATCACACTCTGCATCGAATCATGAGACTAGTTTACTGTTATTTTGGACAGATCATTTAACTCATGTCTAGCCATGTTCAATAATTTAAACAGCAGTGGACAAAATTGCATTTATGTATCAGAAGATGTGTTAAATACATGCAGATTGCTTTTTAATTACAGCATTTGTGTTACCGGCAAGGCTTTATTTGATGAACAATAGCTTTTCTTTGCAGATACTAATGAATTTATACTGTAATGACCATCTCAATTTCAATGATGGTACTTGCTGCAACTCCAGAGAAGCTGTAACAATAACCCAGATTGCTACATTTGCTGCACTATGTTCTTGGTGGGTATACGGTACTTTATTTAAAGAAGTTCGTCAGAGACTCGTTGTAGATGTTTTGAACACAATACTTACAGAGCACACACTTGTACATTCTAGTTGTACACTCACTTGTAATAGATCCCCCACAATCATTGATCTATTCACGTCTTTAAGGCTCTTTCACTGTCGATCCGAAAATAATATATCTTGTCCTGTCAGGTATTTGTAAATTTATGGTAAATTATGCTTCATAACTCAGTGTCACAAATGTTTATTAATGTCATGCAATCTGATGAAAATATCTAATGCCACAATGAAGTCTTCAACATCTGGGGAAGTTATTGACACCTTTCTTTTTTTCTAGATGAGCATTAAAGATCATGAGGAAGAATATTAGAGAGGGACAGTGTCAGGAGGACGTGCGATGTTAGAAAGGTGTACTAAATAACATGGACAGATGTGGAGGGCAAAAGTCTGTTAAACGCTTGATTACACAAATAATGATTGTGTTGGGGGACAGGCAGCCAGGGTATATATACATGTTAGAATTACATAGATGTCCCTCCCAAAAAGTCAAACTACTGACCCCCCCCCCTTTCCCCCCCTTAAGGAAGCAACCCCACAACAAGCTGACTGACTCCTGGGTACTTACTTACTGCTAGGTGGACAGGAGCATTAGGTGATAGGAAACACTCCCAACAATTTCTGTCCCGCCCGGAATATGAACTCAGACTTCCCAATTGGGAGTCAAGAATGAACCCGACTGTATCACCTAACTGTGTTACCGTTGAGAAATATGATACAGGGGCTATGCCATTGGAAAGAATGGGGGATAATGGTGAAAAATTGGATAATTGTCTGCACTTGGTAAATATCAGATTACAGGTTGAAATTAAGATGTCACTCTAAAATTCATCCATAGATCATGGGAAATGGTTTCAAATGTATTTTCATAAATGACGGCAACATCAGGTAGAGAAGTTTGGGCTGTACTCGCCTAGTTGTACTCGCCTAGTTGTGCTGTGTTGATGGCCATTGAGCATAGTTATAAAATTCTCAGGCTGATTTTCATTTTGAATGTTGAGTGGTTTTCATAAACCAGCCACAGACCTATCTTTTGAAAAATACGGGAAAAGTATGTGAATGTCTGGGGGGTGAGGGTGAAAATTTTGTATAATTAGGGTTTGCTTTCAACATCCAACACACTTTTTTAAGATTTTAAGGTTTAAATTAAGATTTTATTCAGTATCTCCTCGCCTTCCTGCACTTGTTCACATGTTCACCATGTCTCCTCACCTTCCTGCCCTTGTTCACATGTTCACCATGTCTCCTCACCTTCCTGTCCTTGTTCACATGTTCACCATGTCTCCTCACCTTCCTGCCCTTGTTCACATGTTCACCATGTCTCCTCACCTTCCTGCCCTTGTTCACATGTTCACCATGTCTCCTCACCTTCCTGTCCTTGTTCACATGTTCACCATGTCTCCTCACCTTCCTGCCCTTGTTCACATGTTCACCATATCTCCTCACCTTCCTGCACTTGTTCACACGTTCACCATGTCTCCTCATCTTCCTGCCCTTGTTCACATGTTCACCATGTCTCCTCTTTTTAATCTCAAATTCACTTAAATATTCTTTACCAGTCTACCATCACCCATTCATTGAGACTCAAACTATAGTGATAATACTGCAGTACATTAATAAATGTTAAGATAATTGTAACAGAAATAAAGATTAATTTAAATAAATTTAAACAATTTATTTCTGTATTCTGGTAAAGAAATTTGTTCATATATTCCAGCCCGATTATCTTGATAGCTGTGGCTGTTAAGCAGTGGTTCTGTGTTTCTCACCACGTTAATGGTGGTATCAAAACGTCGGCATCGGCTGGCTCAGACTCGACCCAGTCTCTTGTCTTGGGAAACAAAGCTTCCAAGAAGAAAAGTGATCCATCTTCTCAAGATTTCTTGATGGCCCTTGGAAAACTTGGACTCATCATGGGATATTTTTTTTTGTGTGACAGGTATATTGATTTTATATTGTGTATTCTTAGAGTATTTGATCTAATAAGATAGTATGAAAAAAGAATCATTCACATTTGTATTGATTTAGGCATCGGTTAACCTTTGGCTTGAAATCATCATATCACAAAAGCAGGGATGAAATAAAGAAGTGGTCTGTTATTTTCAGTTACTCCCTTGGTTAAGAATCTCTATGGTATAGATAGAATTCAAGAACAATTAAATAAAGCAATATTCAGATACTGGCAGCATAGGATCTTGACAGTTATTTCCGAAGAGTAAATATAAGGTGCAAGAGTTGCTCTGAAGATAAGCTTTCAAAGCCCAAATGACCCTCAGAGATGCATCCTCACTTGGCATGACACGTCCAATTGAGACTTCACAAAAACTTTAAACACTTTCATACTCCAACTTGTTTGTTCTTCTCATTTTTCTGGGCTATGTGTTCATTTTTTAGGTAGGCACAAACCCTGGCAAAGTCCAAGGTAGATTCTATCTTTTATGCAGGAAGAATTTAAGGTAATAGATCCCCACAATCACCCCTTACCTTTGTTGTTAGAGATTGGAACCTGTTTACATTGCATAGACATGGACAGTTGTTGGGTGCTATGTACTTAATGTAAATTTTAAACTTTTGTTAAATTTTTTTGATGCTATTTAACAAAACATCATTTTATAATAATATTTGAAGTATAATTGTTTATATTGGCAAAATGTATAGTATAATGGGTAAATACACTACTTGATAATGGGTCCAGCATGGACCAAAACGTTGTTTTCTCAATTTCTGATGTGTGGTTTGGTCATCAAATAATTCATTTTTAATCGTAATCTCGGTAAAGTGTTTACGAACCTCTATACTTTTATATAGTGTTTTCTGGTTTCTAGAACAAGTTTGTTCATGAAGGAAAACAAATACTTCTCTCAGTTGAACTTCTTGTTGCCTTTGGGGTATGTGTTTGCTCTTGGCCTGTTCTTCACGGAGGATACATCACAAACACGCCTCTTGCACCGGGATATGACAGACGAATGGAAAGGTAAGCATCTTGTATGCAGTCCAGTATTTGTTCGTGTTTATGAAATCATGTTTAGCTTTCAATTTAGATTCAATTATCTTGACATGTGATGTGCCTGTTTCTTGTACCATCATATGATTCTTTGGAAATGAATTTATCATTAATGTTCAAGATAGGCTAGCCTAAGGATACGTTTTTTGATTGTCCTGAAAGTGTGGTCATGTGTTGATTGTTTAGTCTAGTGCAATGTGGTCATCATTAAATGAAAATGTAAATCTATGTTTTACATCTATTTGAAAACCAGTATGGTTCCAATAGCCAAATGATTTCTCCCAGGAGTCATGGGAGGCTACAAAATAATTTAAAGTCAGACTGACTTCAACTCCTGGTCCCTCATTACCAAATGATGATGACCATACTTATCTAACCCAATATACTCATCTTCTCTATACATGCGTGCGTGTGTGTGTGTGTGTATATATATATGTATATGCAGAATAACCACATGTGAAAAATAGAAAATGCTAGTTTTTCACATGTGGTTATTCTGCATACTTGATCAGTGTTTTTGTGATCATTGTTGCATATATATGTATATATTTATTTATTTATTTTTATATTATTTTTATATTATTTTCACTTTTGCATATAAATAACCTACTTCTGAATATATTTTACATAGAAAAATTACATCAAAATCATTTTTGTTTGTTCCTGGCACCCATCACAACTTACTGCTAACATATGTTTGAAGGGTTGACATTTTTGTCCACACCAAAATAAGCATTATATGATATGTATTTTATAATACAGATTTATCATTTCATAAAAAAATACAATTAAGATGATGTTTTTGTTTATCCAGGGTTATAATTTTGCTGATAGCTGCACTTTTAGGAGTAAGCAATCAAAACCTAACTATAATTTTTAGGGTTTAATACAACCATTGTTCTGTCTGATTCATTATTTATAACCTGTTCTTCCATCGTAGGTTGGATGCAGCTGGTGATACTCATTTATCACATGACTGGAGCCTCGCAGGTTCTACCAATATACATGCACGTTCGTGTTCTTGTGTCTGCGTACCTGTTCCTCACAGGGTATGGTCACTTCTCTTACTATTGGAGTGGCAGAGACATGGGCATTGTCCGGTACTGTCAGGTGAGAAGCTGTCTTAATTTGGAAGTAAAATCGACCGCTGTATAATTTATTGATCTTTATTAGAAATATGAAAATGCATACGCTACCAAAAATATTAAAATAAAAAATCTGCTCGTGTTATTAATCTTGCCTAATACATTTTTTTTGTACTAGCCATCTTTTCCAAAATACAATACAGTATATGTTTTGGACTGTACAAAGGAATATTTTACTGATTTTTCACTTGTGCTACAATGTGAAAATGAATAGGCTGCCCAGACATTTCTATACATGCCTGTATGTCGGTAATATTCGTAATGCAGTACAGATCAGTCAAGTGCATTTTGCTTTGTATCACATAAATGACTACAGATAGTAGATTCAAATTTGGATGGTGTATCTCGATTCCTTGGATCTTGAGAATGCACCTGTCCAGGCAAGCTCATACAGCCTTGTGGAATATAAAGAGAATATAAATAAAATAGGATGAAAACTTAAATATTTTTAAGGAGGCAATGTTTTATAATGGTTTATGTTGTAAGAATAAAGAGTAGAACTAGGTATGGAGTTATATGAGCTGGAGTTAGAGGGACCGTGACAAGTTTCTATTGGAGTTACTGGATCAGCCTGGCTGTACTAGCTAAGTGGACCTATGGACTACAAAGACTGACAGATTAGGTAATAACCAAGAGAGCATGGCCCTTGGCTGCACAGCCTAAATGCCTGGGCCTGGGTTAAGATACTTAGCAACCCTCATGAGGAACAGTAACTTTAGAACAGCCCACCAGAACACACCTTCAAGACAATTGAATCGTGCACATGCTGGTTTGAGAAAAGCTTCAGTGGGATGCATGGACAGTGAAACCATACACTGTTGTATTATAGACCAACACAAGAAACAGAATGTCTGAATAAATCAATTAACACTTAAGGTGAAATACTTCGCCTACCTGAAAATAATTCCGGGAAAAGTGATTGAAAGTGAGACGATAGTGGACGTTGGGTGGTGTTGGTGACCAGGCAGTCTAGCAGTTGGTAATTAACAGTAGCAGAGTATTAAAGTACCTTGTGGTCTGACACTGTTACGGACCCGAGCCCAACGTCCGAGCACGGAGCAGTGACGACCGCGCCATCTGTGGGTCAGCTCCCGAAACCCCTTCCAAATGGACGACGACACCTGGTGAGGACGAGGTGTACTGGCCACAAGGGCTAGTTTCCAGTCCTGATTAGCTCGTAACACAGCCGCTGCTGACCTCTGGCGAGGTGGAGCTTAGACAGCAACGCCATCTAGGGAATGGATACGTCGGGCGTTTGTGTCTAAGCCTGTAAGTGAGGTGCTTTAGTGTGTCCCTGTTACTGATGACGTGTCTGATTACAGAGTCGACCTGGGACTGCTGTAGTGGAAGTTGGATCAGTCTACCCAAGGCAGCCGTCTCATCACCAAGTGTTTGCTGCAGCAGCTGTGAGTCGCCCCTCGGATGAACACTGTGGTGTTACCCTGCCTGTGAAGCGGCAGTTGAAGGATTGTCATACCCGGGACTGACTGGTGGAGACGCTTAACCACTGGGGTGTTGTGGAAAGGAGAGTGATCTGTGGTATCACATGAGGCTCCTGACTAGGGCGCGACCCTAGTATCGCTCGTGGAGTGGCCTAACCAGCGTCGCTGATTTGGAACCTGCCAGCTATCTGCTGGACTTGTGGTTGACGGCCTCCACGACGGTGCCCCCAGTGGAACTGTGTTTTGGCTGGCCTGTGGCCGGGGTAGACTCAAGATTCTCGAAGGATTAATCGTGAGGCCACGAGAGCACCAAGAGCTTGGCACCGTGAACGTCCAGGGTCTTCAGAGGAAGACTACATCGTGTATTATAGTGTTTATACCCCCCCCCCCCGTGTAATCGTTTATATCTTATTTATTGGTGACGGTGATAATTATATTATATTAAGTTTTTGACTTTATTTCCCTTCCCCTTTAATTTACTTGCGTTGCGGATCACATCCCTTGAAAGCCACTACTGGCTTGGGGCCGGATTCCCTTCCTCTAACAACATCAGAGTAAGAACCCAGTTGCGACCCGAGAGGGCCGTAACAGACACCCAACCCATAAATCTAAAAATGAAAAAACAGTGATGTTTCAGTCCATCTTGGACCATTATCAAGTGGAGTTAGATATCTTGTTTGTGGGTAGAGTGTCAACTCTTCAGCCATGTCATTGTGACTTGTCATCTACCTGGTGGTATCTCTGATTTTAAGTGTTGCATGGGAGAGGTTTTGAGATTGAGAATTCTCCAGTGCCTCCTTTCCTGCAAATGATCGTGATAGTGATATTTAGAAAAGTGTCTGTGCTAGAGGCTTTGAAATGGGCACGCTGACACGTGCTGGTTATACAATGTCCTTGGAAGTGTGGGAGCTTGCCAGAGAATATAACTGACCGATACCTGCCTAACTGACCTTTTATTTTGGGGCACGTGATTATATGTATATAAATAATAATCATGTATGACATCATTATAGCATGTGAGATTATAATCATTAATTTCTGCTGCAACATAGAAAAATCCGCGAACTTTTATTCTTGTAAGGGATTACAGTACATTTTAATTTTGATCCGCCTTTCTAATGGGAAGGAGTTCCAGATAATAGGCAGATATATAGGCTGTAAGACTGTCATTTTTAAAAACTCTTTATGTAGAAATAGTTTTTATTTTATTTGATAACCAAATTCTGAATGATAAATATGTGCTATCTTTTCTGAGCTGTTCAGAACGTGGTTTAGGTTATTGCATAATTGATGCATATGTAACATTTAGAATGATCATGTTTGTATATTGGAAGTGTTTGTGTATCAGGGTGTTCAACCATGGTGCATCATGTCTAATAAACACATTACCTTTTCATGTGGACTGTACCTGTATTTCCCAAAATCATCACATCTCTATTTTTAACTTTTTGCTTGCAAACATTATTATTGCCAAAAGTTCTCACTGAATTAGAAAATGGAAATTATTAGCTTACCATATGTACCTTTAAAAATCATTATTATTTAGATTGCTGTACTGTGTATACATACATTAAATTAAAGTTCAGTGTGACTTACTGAATTTTCTTTTAATTTACAGGTAATGTTTCGCATAAACTTCCTGGTAGTTATACTCTGCTTGGTTATGAATCGACCCTACCAGTTCTACTATTTTGTACCACTAATATCATTTTGGTACACCGTAATGCACGTTACTCTTGTAATACCACCACGCATCACTCGGCCTGCACATGCAAATTCTGAAGCTTCACCATTTAATTACCTATACAGCATCATTAAGTTTGTTGGCCTTGGAGGATTTATCACCGTTTTGTTCCTGTCAGAGGTTAGTCAATTTTGGGGGTGGAGGTTTTAATGTACTTTAATGTATTAAAAGAGGTTAAGATGTGCAATGCCTTAGAACAATTTATTTCACTTTGAAAGAAATTTCTGCATGAAAGAGAAATAAGCAATGAGGACAAGCTAAGTGAACTAAAGTACAGTAATGACTTTGGAAGTGAGATAGATAAGAGGCAATATGGTGATGGTGTAACAGATGCTGAAGGGAAATGCAGTCATTCCCAGTTCAGGCACAACAGAATGATGGGACACAGGTGGATAGTTGGAAACATAAATGAGCCAGAGAAATATGTAGGGAAATACATGCATGCAATGAAAGTGATAAATAAATGAAATGTGCTTGAAGTAGAGGTGGTGAAAATGGCGATATACGCAGCTTAAGTAGCAAGTTTGATGAGTACTGAAAAGTTACTGAAATATTGTGCCTAGAGTATAGATACTCTAGGAACAATAGCCGAGAAATGGAGCTCTAGAGCTAGATCTTTTGCTCCTCTTTGATACAACTAGGCAAGTCTTTTTTTAGTATTATTACTATTCTTTTCCCCGTGTTGGATGTCGTCTTGGCTTTTCTATAACTCGTTTACTTACCGCAACCAAGTACAGCACTGTGTGCTCGATCATCATTTTTAAACCTTATTGTACAATTGAGAAAAGACCATTATGCCATATGTATTTTAATACCCTTAGAAATATTCTTACTATATATAGCTGTACCGTATCTTTTTTTATTAATAAAAGATGCACGTTTTGAAGAAATTTTCATGCATATATTTATTTAGTGTTTTTTTTCCTTTGCAGGTCTTTTTTGAAAAGATTTTTGTTATGCGACCTTGGAAAGCATTATTTGTTACAACAGACGATGATATTCATGAGTGGTGGTTCCGATGGCAGCTTGACAGATACAGGTATTTCTTACCAACATGTTGATGTATTTTCTTGGTAAAGTTCTGCATTTTGTTTGGCATTATGCAAAATAGTTTTATTTTCATAAAAACTAAATTATAATTCAATTTTCTATACAGTAATTCCAAATATTTGTTCTCAGCCTGCTGTATGGTATGATCTTCTCACTGCTGTACAATGGTCTTGCTCAGTATAGCCTTATAGATGATAAGAGCGGCTCAAATTTAATGGGTGGTCGTTTAGCCTTGCTGGTATCCTTCGTAGCCACCGTCTTTATTGCTTCCTATTCTACCATGACATTCATTTGCACCAACAAGCCAGACTGCAATGAGATCCACCCATATGTGGTGTGGGTGCCGGTAAGTAGATGTTCAGTTTTTAAATGTTCACGTATGCATGTTCATTTATTGTGTAATGTTATTGTTTGCCAACCATAAACAAATGTGTAAAGTTAGAATTGTAAGAGAATTTTAGGCATTATCATTTAAGAAACTAAATAAAACCCAATTTTTATTATGTAGAATTCACAGTTTAACATCCATCTTGTGAATTTTGTGCTTTTATTTTTTTATGCAAATGTAATTGCAGTATCACGATGGTTGTAGCATAGCAGTACTATCCTCGTTTATTCCATCCATCCATCATTTATTTACATTTCTGTGGGGAGCCCCTATGGCTCCTTGGAGCTATCGGGTAATGTGCAATACTTTAAACCAGGTATGTTCTCGGACACGTCGTTTCTTCGTTGGGGTTTTGTGACTAATGCTGGCCAGGGGCTGTGAGGTCCTTCCTTCCGTTGGGCTCACAGCACTGTGGGAGTTCACGGCAGTCTGGCTGTCGCTTCGTAGGGTTTGGGTTGTTTAGGGTTCAACCAGGTGCCTCCATTCAGACTGTTCTCCGGTGGTTCATTGCCTGAACTGCAGCAGGTTCTCTTCGGTCCTTGCCTCTTTGGGGCTGGTTGCTTTTGAGTGACTCGTCTGCTGGTTTCTCGAGGTTTGGCTCTCCGTGCGGTTCGTATCTGGGAAGTGTCCAACGTCATGGCGGATGGCCTGTCTCGATTCTTGTCCACAGAATGGACGGTCGATGCCGACTCCTTCAGTTGGCTCTGCCACACGTGGACCTCTTCGCATCTGCGTGGTCTCGGCATCACCCGATATGTGGCTTCCTTTCCTGACCGCGGAGTGTTCACGATGGATACCTTTCGGCAGGACTGGTCGGGGTGGGGTTTCCTGTACCTCTTTCTTCTGGTCCGGCTGTTGCTCCGGGTTCTAGCTCTGTTGGAGTCCTAGCACAGGAGAGTCATCCTAGTGGTAGGATGACTCTCGGATCTTGGTGGCCGACAAAGCTTTGGTTTCAAGCGCTGGTTACTCGGTGTGCGAACCCAGGGCATTTTCCGCAGCTCCGCCTCTTCCAGCAGATCGTTTCAGTCCGGTACATGGCTGGTTCAGTCTTCTCCTCCGCTCTTCACATCTGGTCTTTTTGATGTGGGTTTATCACCGTCTATAGGGTGATCAGGTGGCTTCGTTGATGTTGTCCCACCTGAAAGCTTTGTCTTGGTGACAGTATGAAGTTTCCTGGCGTTCTTTTCGCCATTTTCTCTTTCTTCATAAGTTGTCTTCTATTTCTGATCGGGTTGTCTAGTTCTTGATCTTGAAAAAGTCAAGACAGTCATTTGATGCTGGATACTATCACCTTGTATCATATGGCGCTGGCGGATCCGCTCCTGCTTGCGTTCAGGGTGGATGTCACTTCTGCCCCGTTCCGTAAGCTTTCTCGTGCTTTGTTTCACCTACAGCCTGCTGGTTGATGCCTGGTTGATGGGGTTCTGGGAGTTCTTCTACTCCTTACGCCCGGCTCGAGGCCAGGCTTGCCTTGTGAGAGTTTGGTCCACCAGGCTGTTGCTTGGAGTGGCCCGCAGGCCCACATACCCACCACAGCCCGGTTGGTCTGGTACTCCTTGGAGAAAACCGTCTAGTTTCTTCTTGAAGATGTCCACGGTTGTTCCGGAAATATTTCTTATGCTTACCGGGAAGATGTTGAACTATATAGCACCTCTGCTCTTCACTGGTTCTATTCTGCATTTTCTTCCATATCGTTCACTCCAGTACGTTATTATTTCACTGTTTAGATTTGGGACCTGGCCCTTCAGTATTTTCTATGTGTATATTATTTGGTATCTCTCTCATCTCCTTTCTAGCGAGTACATTTGGAGAGCTTTGAGATGATCCCAATAATTTAGGTGCTTTATCTTGTCCATGCATGCCGTATATGTTCTCTGTATTCCCTCTATTTCAGCAATCTATCCTGTTCTGAAGGGGGAAGTGAGTACTGAGCAGTACTCAAGATGGGACAACACAAGTGATTTGAAGAGTATAACCATTGTGATGGGATCTCTGGATTTGAAGGTTTTTGTAATCCATTCCATCCTTTTTCTGGTTGACACAATATTTGCTTTGTTATCCTCTCTAAACGTTAGGTCGTCGGACATCATTATTCCCAAATCCTTGACATGCTACTTTCCTACTATGGGCAGATTCGGTTGTGTTTTGTACCCTGTATTATATTTCAGCTCCTTATTTTTGCCATACCTGAGTACCTGGAATTTATCACTGTTAAATATTTCAGGAGGCGGCTGCTCATGCGCCGCCTGTGTCGTCCTTGTCCTTGGACAGCGTGCTCTCTCTCTCTTCTCCTCGGTTCGTGGTGGCTCCTTCGATTCAAGATTGTTTTGCCAAGGCTCTCTTTCTGTTGGTATTAGCCTCTGGGGGTCAGGTTGGTGAGATTCATGCTCTCCACCAACGCAAGAGTTTCTGCTCATTTGGTCCTGGTGGTCGGTTTGTTCGGTTGCAGCCTTCTCCTTCTTTTCTCTTGAAGAACAAGATGGCTGCCTTCCGGATGGGTCCTTGGGTCATTGATGTTTGGTCAGGCCGGGGGTGCATAATGTGTTGTCTGGTTGCAGCTCTTTGCCGTTACCTGCGCACCTCGGCTTCTGTGGCTGGGGGATGCGCTTTGGGTAGATCTGGTTTCCCTCGTTTCCTTTCCAGAGCTCAGGTCTCCCAGGTCGTCCACAGGGTTATTAAGTTTAGCCAGCCTGCAGTCTATCCTCGTGCCCATTACGTTCGGAAGTTTGCTGCTTTGGCTGCTGTCTTCAGCAACGTGCTCTGGGCTGATATTCAGGCGCTGGGATTTTGTAGGATGAACAGGTACCTGGCCACCCGTTATTTGGTTAATATTCCTGGTCCTGGGCATTTGTGTATGTTGCTTTGGGTTGCAGCCAGTTATCTCGCCTTTGAGTTGAGTGTGTGGCAGCTGCCTCCCAACTAAATCCCTCTTTTTACTTACCATTGGTTATGTAGCTCTACGGATCTGTAGGGGGCTCCCCACAGAAAACCAGCATTGAATGTAATGAAATGTCATTTTATGGGTGAGCCCAGGAGGCTCCCTGGTACCCTCCCTCCCACCCTTCCTCCGGTCATCATTTTCATTTTGCTTTTGATGCTTAGCCTCCAAACTTAGGTTATGTAGCCAGCGCGGTGTGGCGGCGTGGTGTGACGTTTGCGTTTTTCCTTTAGAGTTGAGGGATTTCTACCTCGGTTCGGTTTTCGGTTGAAATTTTCTTTCCATGTGGGGTGCGTTTTGTTATGCCTACCTTCCTGTGTGCCTAACCCCGGTTGATGGCAGATAAGGAAAACCCCCAACCACGGTTTTCTACGGCCATTGCTCCCTGTGTCTCTCTGAGGGAGCACATCATGAGCCAGGTTCTGGCTCGTGGTCCCTAGTAGGCTGAACTTAATTGACTATTGCTATGGTCTAAAGTATTGCACATTAGCCCGATAACTCCAGGGAGCCTCCAGGGCTCGCCCAGAAAATTGTATTTCATTACATTCAACGCTGGGTTTTTTCAGCATATTTTTCTTAGCTTGAATTTACTGCCATTTGTTCTTGATGTGTCAAATTTAAATAATTGTTTATAAATTTTATAAATTCTTGTTACATTTGTCAAAATGTGATTACCACATTTTGCATGTGGTAATCATGTTACCTCATTTTCCCTTCTGCCCATTAGTTTGGCATATACAATGCCTATAGTGTGTGTGTGGATGTAAACATTTATAAAACAAAAACTAATGTTTATGTTTAATTCCAGATCTTGGGTTTCATTGTTCTCCGCAACATAGTGGGTATTCTGAGGACTCGCTACTCTTCATTTTTTGCCTGGTTTGGCCGCATTTCCCTTGAACTGTTTGTCTGTCAGTACCACATATGGCTGGCTGCCGACACACATGGTGTTCTAGTTTTAATACCCTCATATCCGGTTGCAAATGTCCTTGCAACATCATTTATATTTATATGCATTTGTCATGAGATTCATCACATTACTAATATAATTACACCATTCTTGGTACCGAATGATTCCTTAAGGGCGGTACGCAATCTGAGTGTTTTTGTATTTCTTTTAATGGCAATCGGCGTCCATGATGGTGTTTTTTAAGTGTATCCATTGATGAAGTGGCTTCATGTCTACCATGTTGTCAGCGAACACGGGTAGGAAGTAATGGAATAACAGCAGCAGGTGGAGTAGGTAGGAAATATAAGGCATTCCATTTGTAATAGAAAGTTTCAGATTTCAGCCTGATACTTTAAAGATACTGTACTGTATATTAATACATACTATATTGGTATTTTTATGATAGAACTGTACTGGACTTATCAAATTGACCCTAATAACTCAATAACTCATAAAACAGTATTATATTTATTTATTTTTCACTATTACATGCAGTTTTCATAGTGTTGGACAGTTATATATCATTTTGGAATTTTTATATTCACACATGGTTTTATATATACAGTATATATATATATATATATATATATATATATATATATATATATATATATATATATATATATATATATATATATATATATATATATATATATATATATATATTATTAAATATGACCGAAAAAGTAAGATTAATAATTCTAACACGAATTTTCTCAATCTTTCGTACATTTCTTTTCACTGTTGGAGGTAATTCAAAATTCATTTTTATTTCTAGTCTGACGCGACACGAGCGCATTTCGTAAAACTTATTACATTTTCAAAGACTTTAGTTTACAAATACACAACTGAATAGAACTTACGCATCTCCGATTTCGTTTATATCTACATTTGAGTGAGGTGGATGGGGTGAGGTGGCATTAATAGGGTATTAATTTCATCAACACAAGACAGAACAAGAGGTGGCATTTGTTCTGTCTTGTGTTGATGAAATTAATACCCTATTAATGCCACCTCACCCCATCCACCTCACTCAAATGTAGATATAAACGAAATCGGAGATGCGTAAGTTCTATTCAGTTGTGTATTTGTAAACTAAAGTCTTTGAAAATGTAATAAGTTTTACGAAACGCGCTCGTGTCGCGTCAGACTAGAAATAAAAATGAATTTTGGAGAATTAATTTTTGAATTACCTCCAACAGTGAAAAGAAATGTACGAAAGATTGAGAAAATTTGTGTTAGAATTATTAATCTTACTTTTTCGGTTATATTTAATAATATATGTCTACAGGAAAGACTGCTACCAAAATATACAAATAAATATATAATATATATATATATATATATATATATATATATATATATATATATATATATATATATATATATATATATATATATAAAAAATAGCCCCTCCTCCTGTTTTGGTAGTACATATACCGATGTATAACCCAAGTAGAAATCTGTATGATACTATTGAATTTTGACAAACTGGAAAAGATTTTCTATTTGTTGCAAAGACAAACTAACCTAACCTAACCTTCTTAGGCCTAATATAGTACATGTGCTATACAAGGCCTAGAAAAATGTTTATTTTTTAGCTTTATTTGTTCAGACTATAAAGTGAATAGTACAAAATTCTAATTGCTTAGTACGTCAATGTTTGTACAATGGCGCACATAGTTACAAAAACTACTATTTTGTAGTAGTTTTTAGTGTAGTAGTAGTGTAGTAGCAGGAGGATGGGTTGGTGTGTGTGTGTGTTTAATATTTCTTCTGCTGAATTGAGCTATTAGCTCTTGAATCCCGCCTTTCTAACCAAAACAATTTTCCTCTGTTATGTCTAATTCATATATTTCTTTCTAAAACACACACACACACACACACACATACACACTACATACAAAATAGTTACAGGAATTGATAAAATCGACAGGGAAGACTTCCTGAGACCTGGAATTTCAAGAACAAGAGGTCATAGATTTAAACTAGCTAAACACAGATGCCGAAGAAATATAAGAAAATTCACCTTCGCAAATAGAGTGGTAGACGGTTGGAACAAGTTAAGTGAGAAGGTGGTGGAGGCCAAGACCGTCAGTAGTTTCAAAGCATTATATGACAAAGAGTGCTGGGAAGACGGGACACCACGAGCGTAGCTCTCATCCTGTAACTACACTTAGGTAATTACACACACACCATTTTCCAATTTGTAATTGGAAAATTTAACACCATTTTTGTCAGTACTGTAATTTCAAAGAGTTATATGACAAAAGAGTGCTGGGAAGATGGGACACCATGAGCTTAGCTCTCATCCTGTAACTACACTTAGGTAACTACACACACATTTGAGAGGCAGGACCAAAGAGCCAGAGCTCAACCCCCACAAGCACAACTAGATGAGTGCACACACACATATATACATATATACACATACATACGTACTGTATCTCCCGAGGAAGCAGCCTGTAGCCGCTGTCTAACTTTTAGGTACCTATTTACCCTTAGGTAAGTGGGGGCATCAGGGGTGAAAGAAACTTTGCCCATTTGTTTCTGCCTCGGCTGGGAATCGAACCTGGAACTTTAGAGCTACGACCCCCGAGCGCTGTCCACTCAGCCGTGAGGCTCCCAGGGGGTGTGTGTGTATATGTTTGTACAGTATATATATAAACATATGTTTTTCATTTTTACAAATGTACTACTGGCTTAGTGTGCCAAATTTGCACATATTATAATTTAAATATTTTTTGTTGTAAAATATGATGGTTTAAGTAAATCTACATAAAATATTCAAATTACATTCCATAAGACATTGTTCATTGTGAATCCATTTATATGTAATACACCACTGTTCCACTAGCATAATTTTGGTCAGCATTTTTACTTGCGTTTAAATACAGTGAGCTCATTTGTTATCGTAACACAAATTTTCATGTACTGTAATGTATCTATATGCTCTTTGATTCCTCTTGTGCTGATATCCTCATTATTTTTATTAATGAAACTTGATGTCTATATTTCCTAGCCTAATCCCGGTATTAGGGCTGTTATAAATCCCTTCTCTTTTAAATACATGCTTCTCTAATCCTATGACATTTTAGTTTTGTAGTAGCCTTTACTGTGAACTTTTTTATGCCTGATTTTTCACTTGTTTTCTTTGGGCTGTGTTACTTTATTAGAATCATAGATATCTTCATTGTTCTCAGAGAAATGCTATTTTAAGAGATGTTGTATGAAAACGGGATACCTTATTATATACCAGTATATATGTATCAAAAGACAGACGAAGACATACATAAAACATATATGTTCTTTCTGAGCTATCACATTTGGTTGCCTCCTAAGGTAAGAGTTGCTGTGTTTGTAGATAACATTTTGAATCACTAGGCAAGATGATGTTCTTTCACAAACCTCGCAGGTAATTATAAAACATCCCTACAGACTAAGGTAAAGTACTAGAGGGGATCACAGATCACTTAATCCAACCCATAATGATCAACTAAATATATATTCATAAAAGCTTCAAGAATTTGCAAAAAAAAAAGTCTTCTAATGTTGCAAAGAAGAGGCCCCCTCAAACTTTGTGTTTGGTGCCTGGTTGTCTGCCCTACATTTATTTTTAGGTGGTATCGCCATGTGCAGCTGAATATTCCAAATTCTGCAGCTACTCACATTCTCCAATCTCACTTCATAGCTATTGTGTATGGTGAATTTATAACTCCTGACATTTCAGTGCTTTGTCATACTTTCTCTTGAAGCTGTGAATGGTGGCTGCTTCCATCACCTCTGGCTCGAAGTATTGTATCAATGGCTCTGGTCTATGGTTTAAAGATCGTATGGTTTTCTTTGTTGAATATGTTCACCCCGGTTGCAGTCTTCCAAGTTTTTGGGAGTCATCCCAGTTGCTAACAACAAATTAAAGGCCCTAGTTAGAGGGTTACATAGTGTCTTTGCTCTCTCAATATCCATGGAAAAAACTAGTCGGGTCCAACTGCTTTCCTTACATTTATTTCTTTATCTCCTCAGTTACTATCATATCATCCAAAAAGACTTTTACCCTTCCAGCATCACTTGTACCAACCCTCCAGAATGGCTTGATCTTGATAGCTTGTAATCTGCTGTTGAGATTACAATAATCTTAATGAGGGTCTGCTTTGCAGATCTTCAGATTTTTTCTATTTTGTAGTAAAATTTGTTTTATTTCTTGTTGATTTACTGTGTATGCATTTTCCAAGCATTTTTAATTCTGCCTCTGGGTTCCTTGCATTGTCTGTGGAACCATGAATTAATCTGGGTCTGGATTAGGATTGGGAGTTCGTGGATATGAGATAAAGCTACAGGGTTGGTGTAGCTTTATCGCATATCCATTTATTAAATTGATAGTGTTAATAAGATAATTAAGCTGAGACTCCTTGTGCATTGTAATTTCTAAAACATAGTCTCATTCTTGTGCTCCCTGCATTTAACTTTTGTCACACTGTCATCGATACTAATTATAGGTTTCATACTGTATATCCAAACTCATTTTAAATTTCACATTGTATATATCTAAAGCAATATTAAGATTCAAACACAAGCCTTTTTCAGAATACAGCACTATTTACTCATTGTACACCTTACTTGTCTGCATGCATCACAGCTTTTCCACTTGTCTGCATTCATCACAGCTGTTGAACCTTACTTATCGGCATGCATCACAGCTGTTCCACCTTACTCATCCGCACGCATCATAACTGTTTCATCTTGCTCATCTGCATTCATCACAGCTGTTGAACCTTACTTGTCTGCATACATCACAGCTGTTTCTCCTTACTCATCTGCATGCATCACAACAATTCCATCTTCCACGTCTGCATACATCACATCTGGTTCCACTTTATTCGTCCATATACTTGATAACAAAGGTTGATACAGCTCATCTTTGGTAAACTCGTCTTTATTTCACATTATTCACTCGTAATTAACTGCCGCATAAATAGTAATTTAATTAAAGGAATCCTTAAATAGTCCTTCCCCGCACACTGCAGATATAAATCATATCCCAACTTTGTTTCCTGCAGTTCAATGAATGCCCCACTGTTCTCAGTCGCAAGAGTTTTCTAACGTTTCATGGTTCAGGAATCTTGTTACGTAGTACATATACTACATGTTTCTCATGTACATTATTATATACTTTCTGTGGTATATTTGTTCAACTGTAAATGGGAGATGCTTACCCATACCAAAAATTGTAATGAGGGAATATTTTTTGTATACAGTATATTAAATACATAAAAAAATTACAAGCTTCCCCTTTTCCTCACATACATGTATAGTAATCAAAAATATAAATACAGTACACAGATGCACTTCAAATGCAAGAGGGAACAGCAGGTGACCGGCACAATCATTTTGAATTTGCGGGACTTAAACATACCAACAAGGTGCGTGCATTAAATTTATAAAAAAGATACAGGGAATGAGACATAATACAACATGGAAATAATTTCTCACTCACCAGATGGACTACTGTAGTTAAGTCACACTGAACAAAAACTGAGGTGCCCACCTCACTCAAGAGTGCATCCGACACACACACACCCTCAGCCGGTTAAGTCTGGATTCCCTCTGATGTGCTGGAGGTGTGGGGACATGAACCCTATGAAAATGCTTGGGAACTCTACACATAGGCATAAACATTCTCTAATATACAATTTAACACGCTTGCAAACACCAACAAATGGAAAATAAAATAAAACGAATTACTTGTAATATTTTTAACTAAATACAAACTCATATTTACATTAATGACAATAATAGCTATAATATACTGCACAAATCATTACAAAATCAACATACAAACCCCAAAATTTTATGAAAAATAAGATAACATGAAACACATTATTTACCTTAAATGGTGAAATTAACATGCAAGGCAGAGAAAGCAATGAAGAGGTATAATAACTGGAGAAAGTGATTGTGGGGCAGTTAATGCCACATGAAGTAGTGTATCTCTGCCTTGGGTAACTTGATTATCTTCTCCTTCATTTCTAAGGTAACTGGATGTCTCGTTCTTGGCAATGAATATCCACTAACATTTTTCCTCGTCTTATCAGCTGTTATTGAAGGGTATTTTTCTTGATACAACTGGAATAGCATAATGCACCACAGGTCAATACTTGGCACAAGAGTACTGTTAACGGGGGCAGTTTGGGGGCGTCTTGTAGTATTGTACTTGCGAGCAGTGCGGACAAAAAAGTAGCACTGTGTATAATGTGGGGGGTGACTGGGTGGGTTCGTATAATGGATTGACAAACTGCAATGGGGGACTTGGGAGGCTGTTCAGATGTTTTGTTAGTTGAGGACCCCTGCTTGGGGAAAGAGAATATATATGTCTATATTTTATTTATTTATTTATTTATACTGTGTATATGTATATATAAATAAATAAATAAAAATAGTGTTTACTGTACTTGGTATAGACTAGATAATTCTTAATATGCTGCAATCAAACATACCATGTTAAACATTCTTTCTTAATTTATATTTCTTGGTGTAACTAGTCAGGTTTTTGTAGCATTATTATATATATTAATAGTACTGTATCATCACTCGGTGTTTCAAAACCATTTTTGTATTATGTTAAGATGTGATAATTGAACTATAATTTTTGTAAGATGTTAAGATAATTAAACTAACCAATTAAGTTATTTCATCCAGGGGTGAAATAACACCAGTACAGAACTATACTTTGTACCCAGATTTTAATACTGTATGGGTATGGAGTACTGGGTCTCATTTGATAAATTTTTCATCAAACACGATTACACTTTTATACACAGCCAGTAAGGTAAAGGGAATTTTAAACAGTCATTATAGGGCACCTTGACATTAGCGCCTGACTATAACAAGTTATTTGAAAGTTGTCATTCAATATTGATGTTGGTAAACAATATGTAATCATCTGGTTAGCCTCATCTGACTGTATTATTTTACATAATTGGTCACTGACATAACCAAAGTATGCATTTGATTGGCTTTGAGTTTGACTGTAGCTGCCATCCCTAATCTATAGCTGGCTGTTCACAGTACAATGGTGTACCTGGTTTTACACCTGGATACGCCCTTAATATTTTTTAACTTTGTTTTCTTGAATATTTTCTAATACCTGTAATATAATCAGATATTTAACTTGACACTTTGTGAACCTTTAGTGACAAAATATTTTGTCTAAGTTTGATCAGTCAGCTTTATTGTGAATTTAAAAAAAAAATGTACAACTAAAACTTTTACTATTTTCTGAAGGAAAATATTTGTTTGTGTTGACGCACCGCATTTGCTTATATTTGCTGCACATACATGTATGTCCTTTTTACACGTGCTGCACAAGCAGTATAAGGATTTATGTTTTGGGAAGTTTGGGTTTTATTATCTGTAGCCTATGATGGCCAGATTTAATGATGTAACAATTTCAGTGTCAGTTCAAGCTATTAAATACTGTGCATTATTGTGTTTAACATTTTCTATTGCACTTTGAGGACAGTGTAGCTTCAGGATATAAACTGGTGTGAGTGGTAAACTCAAAATTGTGGACACTAAATGTAATATTCAATTTTCATAGTTTAATATTCAATGACCTGTTGCTATATTTTCAGTAAAGATTCAGGTGTACAGTATGAGCACTGTACTTAAGCTCATTATAAAATACAGTTCAATACTGTAAGTGTTTACATAGTTTTATATTTTTAGGTACAATTGTAAATTCAGAAAGTTATTCCAATATATATGTACAGTAGTATCTCTGATCTTTTTCTAGTTTTTGGCTAATGGCAGACTTGCCATATTATATTGAATATGATTTGTACAGTATAGTGTTTTAGGTTCAGTGAAGTGTGATTACATTGAAGCATTTATAGAATGAGTGCCTTTGACTAAGCTATATAGTGTAAAATAGAGTAATGGGAGTGTACACTATCAGTGATTTATATCACCTTGTATCTTTCATGTGATAAGTCATCTTCTCAGAGTTGATTTTACTGCCATTGATACAAGTTAAGCACCTTATATTGCTTCAGTTAATTTTCTATAAAGAATAAATACTAAAGAATAATATGTATTTTTAACCCTCATTTCATATCTTGGCACAATTATTGTGGGCTCAAAAGGAAAATTCTGTATGGTAAAATGCTGTACAGTGTAGGTAATGTAATAAAAAAAAAAAGAATGATACAAATACAAACATACAAAACTCAAATATTATTCAAATGTGAAATGCACAAAATATTGACACTCCTCCCATGCAATCACAAATCAACGTATAAAGTTGTGTGAGGCTAACCCCAAGTGCTTGGCCACCATCCGTGGACAAAGGGTCAGATTAGTGTAACTTACACAATAGATACTATGAGGGCTGAATTAAGACTTGAAGGGCTTGAGCACCTTCAAGATATGGAGTCAGAGCAGCAGCACATAATAGCTGTGTACTGTATACCTAAGCTTTTATATAAGAATAAAGCATATTCACTAGTAACACAAGCTACTATAGTACCTAGTATTAAAAATGTGATCCTTTTGGTATATTTGGCATATGTTCTAAACATTTCCTACTCATTATGTTGCATAGTATGATAGAACAAAAAGTGTATTATACAGCTGGAATAAAATATTGTACTCTCTGAAACAAGTTTCTTCCATTTTGTGTTAGTTATGACCAGAATATGCCTAAATAGAATGGTATAGAAAATACTTAAGTATAAAACTTAGATACAGTACTGTATACAGTATTAGAATTGAGTAATAAAGGCAAAAAGTACCTCTGAATCATTACATTAATATTCTGTAGAAAAGGGGGAGGAGGGGAAGTAATTGCTATATATTATTGGACCACCACTCGTGGGGCCCCTACTATTATGTAGGCCACCATTATCTCAAAGGCCCCTTACTATTTCGTGGGCCACCACTATCTCATAGGCTCCCATTATCTCAAAGGCCCCTTACTATTTCGTGGGCCACCACTATCTCATAGGCTCCCACTATATAATAGGCCCCCCACTATCTCATAGGTCCCTACTCTCTCATAGCCCCCTGCTATCTCATAGGCCCCGACTATTTCATAGGCCCTCTACTATCTCATATGCCCCCCCCCCCAATGTCTAATAGGCCCCTACTATCTCATAGGCCCCCGCTGTCTCATAGGCTCCCACTGTCTCATAAGCCCCCCCCCCCACTGTCTCATAGGCCCCCACTGTCTCATACGTTCCCCACTGTCTCATAGGCCCCCACTGTCTCATAGGCCCCCCCACTGTCTCATAGGCCCCCCCACTGTCTCATAGGCCCCCACTGTCTCGTAGGCCCCCACTGTCTCGTAGGCTTCCACTGTCTCATAAGCCCCCCCACTGTCTCATAGGCCCCCACTGTCTCGTAATCTTCCACTGTCTCATAAGCCCCTCCACTGTCTCATAGGCCCCCACTGTCTCGTAGGCCCCCACTGTCTCGTAGGCCCCCCCACTGTCTCGTAGGCTTCCACTGTCTCATAAGCCCCCCCCCCCCCACTGTCTCATAGGCCCCACTGTTTCATAGGCCCCCCACTGTCTCATAGGCCCCCCCACTGTTTCATACATTCCCCACTGTCTCATAGGCCCCCCCACTGTCTCATAGGCCCCCCACTGTCTTATAGGCTCCCACTGTCTCATAGGCCCCCCACTGTCTCATAGGCCCCCCACTGTCTCATAGCCCCTCACTGTCTCATAGGCCCTCACTGTCTCATAGGCCCCCACTATATATATATATATATATATATATATATATATATATATATATATATATATATATATATATATATATATATATATATTGTATAGATATATGGTATATAGGGGGGGGTAAATATAGTAGTGATGGAAGGCGCGCGCAGGGCGATGCTCAGCCGGCCGGCCCGCCACCATACCAGCTGACCCACCGCTCCTGGCCATCTTGCGTGAGTCTCTCCCGGGGTTTTGTCTCCCGTTGCTTCTTATTTGTCCAGGTCAAGAAGTTGGGAAGTCCACACGGCTTGGAGGAGTGTAGTAGGTGCTGTAGTAAGTGGTGTGGAGGTTAGGGGTGAGGCGGAGGTGTGTAGTGGTGGTGGGGGTGAGGTAGCAGGGCCGGCCTCCCTCTTGCTGGCTCGGGTGTCTGCGCCGTCTCTATATTATCTCTTTATTAATTGGCGTCCTTGGCTTTCTGCCGGGGGACAGGAAGCCAGCGTGTATTCATACACGTTAGGCCTATATGGAGGTCCTCCCCTCCGTCCCTCTCCCCTTCAAGGTCGAATTACTAACCCCGCCCAGGATGCAGCCCCCACAAGCTGACCAACTCCTGAGTACCCACCTACTACTAGGTGAACAGAGGCATTAGGTGATAAGAAATGTGCCCAACCATTTCTGTTCCGTCCGGAATTCGATCCTGGAGTTCTGGATTGTGGATCGAGAACGAACCCTACTGTGCCACTGGGATCCTTGTTAGGGAATTGTCACCTTCTTCAATGGGTGGAAGTGGTCGTTGACACCTTGTGATTGATCATGTCCCTAGGGGGTTGTATTGATCACGGGGTGGGGGGGGGGGGGACATTGAGACCCACTTAATTTGTCATAACATATTTTTACATCAAGGTTAAATGTTGTTTTATAACAGTATTAGCATAATATTTGAAGGATTACCTTTTCAATTCACTTTTTAATTACAATTTAGGATTGATATTAGGTTGAATAATGGGTTTTCGTAGCCTATGGGTGATGGATACGATTGATAAGACGTAAGAATAGCGGAAATGGTTAGTAGGCAGAACACGATGCTAGACCACATTACTCCCACATCGGTGTTAACTACGGTTTAAATTCCATGTGCACAATACTTTAGTATGTATTGGACTATATTTTGAGGTAAACTGATATAACCATTGTTTTTTCATGTAATATTTTTTAGCAATGAATGTTTTATAATTTGCTTTTTAAAATATTTTAACTGGAGACAAATTTGCAACTTCAGCTTTTATTTTGGAATGTGTTGCAAATTTCAGGAACTGTATTATGTCCACTGCCGTCATGTCATCCGAGTTGAAATTGGAAACTGCTCCTTTCGATCCCCGCTTCCCAAATCAGAATCAAACCAAGTAAGTGAAATGTCTTTTAAGTTCTTTACTCATTAGTGTGCTCAATTAATAATACTAAAACAAAGCTGATTTTAAAATGTAAATTATGTGATGTGTGGTTGGTGCGCTCACTTACGAATCTTGCTCTGTTGAATTATAGCACAGGCTGAACGGTTGGTGTTCAGTGTATAGTAGTTAGTTCTGTGGGTCATGCAAGTGTTTGCTTATGTGAGGATTGTTCTAATCCACCACTAAGTCAGGGTTGTGCTTGCCTGTTTTTTATATATATATATATATATATATATATATATATATATATATATATATATATGTATGTATTAATAATCACAAAAGAGTTATTACATTCTTGTATAGCTACTAGCATTGTAACCATTGTAGCATTTTAGCATGGGAGTCGGTTGGCCGAGTGGACAGCACGCTGGACTTGTGGTCCCGGGTTCGATCCCGGGCGCCGGCGAGAAACGATGGGCAGAGTTTCTTTCACCCTATGCCCCTGCTACCTAGCAGTAAAATAGGTACCTGGGTGTTAGTCAGCTGTCACGGGCTGCTTCCTGGGGTTGGAGGCCTGGTCGAGGACTGGGCCGTGGGGTCACTAAAGCCCCGAAATCATCTCAAGATAGCATGCATAGTGTTTTGGGCTGGTCTTTAATCCTAATTATTCCCCAGTATATGACCCGCCAAATCGTTTAACAACCAGGTACCCATTCAGTGCTGGATGAACTTAGGCTACAGTTTAGGATTGGCACCCAGTCAATCCTCCCCGGCCAGGATATGAACCCAGGCCAAAACGCTCACAAAACACTGGGCGAGTGTCTTACCACTGTGCCATGGGGACCACACTAGTTCTACTTGTTCAGGACATGTACTCGCCTAGTTAGGACGTTAGAACATTTCCTTGTTATCAGGCAATGAATGTATGTATGTAAATATATATTTATGTATGTTTGCATGCATAAGTATCCGCTAGGAAAATGACACGAAAATTCTGAACATTTTTTTCATGACCAAAACGTGTCATGTGACCACCTTGCTCCACAGCATCGATGGAAAGCCAAAGCCTGGGGAAAGTCTCGATAAACGTTTAGGGTTAAGTAAAAAAGCTAGCATAAAATACACCAGTTTACTGGGGTATATAAAACAGGTGACCATAAAACAATAAAGGTCTTTACAACTGATTACCACAATAATCCAGCTTGTCAAGCTCTTCGAAATCATTAACGGGCATTAAACTGCACACCCTCGGGACTAGCTGGCACCAGGCTATCCTGGCACAGTGGTACACTAACCCCTAGCATGCATTAAACACAAGTACATGATGGTGGTGTCACACACAAATAATTAGTGGGTGAGGATTCAATATCATATCCAAGCACAGTAGCAATCCTCAAGTACCCACCTCAGCTGTGTACATAAAATCAACTACCACCACCTAGCATAAATGATGTACATCGATAGTCTGATCCAGTACAGGTACAACAGCATAATTATATATATACTAGTAGCCAATAAACACAAATGCCACTCAAATCAAGAGCGGGACATCATACGTCCGCCCATCTGAGAAATCAAGAGGGTAGTTAAAAGTTGAAAATTAACACCCCAAACTTCATTTCACAATGTTGTTATGGCTGGCACTTAGATATGTTTCATTGACTGTCTACATTATCAAAGGCTGAGTTTGAATAGCTACAAGTTTTTGTGAGGTGAAGTGAAGGTAAAGCACCTCACTTATGGGCCAATAGGCCTACGTTTCCATGATTGCTGGGGCAGCAATCATGTTTGCTTGATATAATGTCTGGCAAATGTCCAGCAGATTGGATATTACCTCTCGTCCTTCAATGCCCATGCCCTCCCTCTTGCCCCTCAACACCTCTGCTCCCCTCCTCGCCCTTTTACACCCCTGCTCCACCTCTCATCCTTCAACACCCCTGCTCCACCTCTCGCCCTGTTACACCCCCCTCGACCTCTCGCCCTTCAACACCCCCACTCCACCTCTCGCCCTTCAACACCCCCGCTCCACCTCTCGCCCTTCAACACCCCAGTTCCATCTTTCACCCTCTACCACACTCCCTCTATATCACTCAACTTCCCCTTCACCCCCATAATTGGAGGTATATTACAAATGTTGCCACAGTTTATAGGCCAAGTTCATTGAGCAAAATTTCAACTTGCCATAATATGGAAACTACCAGGAGATCCTGGATGTGAAGAGTTAATTCTCATTGCCAGTGTTCCTCAAGATTATGCCTCTTGAAGAAGACCCATCATCTTTCCAACAGTTTCTGTGAATTTTGGCCCTGCCTCCTAAGCAGGTCTGCACATTACCCAATTCTCTGAACACCTCCCTGTTCAGTGACATGGGTTAGCAAGTTCTGCCTGGAAAGAGTGTTGCAACTGGAATTTTTTTTAATCAAGGTTGCACTGAATATAATATTGCAATATTTTTATACATAATTCAGCAACCTGGTTGACAGTATATTGCAATTTTTTTATGCATACTTCAGTAGCCTGGTTGACAATTTTAACCTCTCCCTTCCTCAGCCTGTTCACTCTATTGCATTGCCTTATTTTTTTGTGTCCATTCCTTTATGTATGTATGTATGTGTGTGTGTTGTAAGTAGTGCTATAACCTGGAAAGTACTTGGAAGGGGTCAGGATAAGGATTTGGGATGGGACAGGGAAAGGAATGGTGTCCTACGTGTTAGGCTTATATCAAGGTGCCCCTCCCCACCAAAGGTCAAATTACTGACCATGCATACCCTATCCTCTGGATGCAACCTCAAAACGAGTCGACTAACTCCTCGGTACCTACTTACTGCTAGGTGAAGCGGTGCATTAGGTGAAAGGAAATGTGCCCAACTATTTGTCCCGTCCGGGATTTAAACCCATAATTCTCAATTGTGATGATATTTACCGTATTTGCCGGCAAAAAAGACATACCCTCGCATTGGACGCACCCCTATTTTGCAAGGATATTTTGTGGGAAAAATTATTTTAGAATGTTTCATCGTACATTTATTGAAAGATATTTTAAAGTGGATTTTGTACCACAACTCTTGCAATGTGTTGTCATTCACACATTGCAAATGACTGACGGGCAGATGAAAGTTGAACATTTCTTTCACATTTTTAGGATCATTTTTCATTTAGATAGTTAATAAATGTCTTAAAGTTAACACAGTTGTTAAATAATGTATGACATATCAGGTGTAGGGTATGTATACTGGGTAAGATGATGTGAGCTGCCTTTACAACTGCCGACGTATCATAAGTTTGTGATGACTCGGCTTTCAGTATTTTATTACTCACAATGATTTTCGTGCCTAATGAACTTACCCAGTATGCTTGCCCGGCTCCCTTGCCTATGCCCCTTGGTATCCCATCCGTAATATGGCCGCATTAGACGCAGGGCACTTTTTTGATACAGTACTTTAAAAAAATATATAGTTTCTTATATGCCAGCAAATATGGTACCTTGATGATACACATAATATTTATGGTTATTGTATAATTATTTAAAACTTTTTCAGCATTACTTAATGTGTGTGTGTATCAGTTATATAATTTCTTCCCAGGTATTGCTACCAGAGCTATATTGACTATCACAGATGCCAGAAAATTAAGGGTGAAGAATATGAACCATGTAATTACTTCAAGAAGGTTTACCAATCTATGTGCCCTAATGCCTGGGTGGAGAAGTGGAATGACCAGTTGGAAGCAGGGACTTTCCCTGGAAAAATTTGAAAACTTCACTTATAATGACTTGTACATCCACTTAACTTTTGGAGAAATGTTCAGATTTCCTTATGGATTGCTTCTGTGAAAATTTAGTAATGCAGTGTGCTTCAAGGCATTCCAACACTTTCTGTATACTGAGGAATGGGATTAAGTTATTAAGATTCAATGTGTACTTGCCCTTGTATAATTTGATCATTGTGGCAATTTGTTGTAGATATATGTACATTGAATTTATGTAGATAATGAAAAAAATTGATATGCTGCAACACCGGTGTAATCTAACCTACTCATGTGTATTGTACAAATAAAAGTGGTATTACAAAAGTTTTTAACTGGTTTGTCCTATGTATCTATTTTACAAAAAGGGAAGGGAGATTGTACTGTACTTCTATTTTCCCAAAAATATCATTAATCTGCATTTCATTCTCAAGTGACATTGTCAGCTTCATGCAGTTAATTAGGAAGACAAAGCGTTCTCTCTGGTTCTCTGTGTCTCGTAGACAACCAGAGTGCAACTGCAGTCTCCGATTTTTTTATTTCCTTTTGGAAGGGAAGTGTGGTGGCCCGGAGGGATATCTGTGCTCAGCGTGAGAATTGGAGACCTTTCGTTTCCACCATTACAACAACAGAGACAAGTCTTTCCTGATCTGGAAGAAAGTCTGCAAGATAGTAAGTTTGTTTTCGCCAGTCCTTCACCTCCGTGGTTCTATTGTGGCGGATCCGGTGTCAGTCACAACCGAACTGGATTCTCACTTTTAGACTATTAGACTTTTAGGCTATTATCTCCAGATCCATCTTTCCCTACACATAAGCCCCTTCTTGAATCTTTTCCCTTAGATTTTTGCACTCGTCTCCATCTTTCCAAAAACGATCCCTTATCTCTCAGAATCCCGTCTGCCCTGACCTTTACGGCAGCGGGCTAGGGTGATATTCAATGAGATGCTTCTCTATTTCCCTCCATGCACATTTCGGTATTTACTGAATATTTATAAGTGGGAGTCATCGTCAGTCCCTGAGGATTGGCTTGAGGTGGTTCTACCTATTCAGAAACCTAGTTCTCTAGGGTCATCGCCAAGGACTTCCGCCCCCATTGCTCTGAGACTGGGCAATCACTCTTGAACGTATAGTCAATGTGAGTCAGATAGGGAGAGTTAGTGATAGCATTCCAAGAACCATTTCTCAATTTGGCTTTTGCAAGTGTCTCGGCACGATTGATGTCATCGTAAACTTGGAGTTTGTTCATACTGCCTTTGCTGCGAAGACCTCCATTGTTCCCGGCCTTTTTTTACCTGGAAAAAGGCGTATACACCACCTGGAGATAACCAGAGCCTCAAATGTTTATTCGGGTAAAAGTACATACATAAAAGATGAGTTGCAAACATAATGTTGGACTTATAGATAGAGCTAGTACAGTACATACAATACCTAAAGCCATTAATATGCACAGCGTTTCGGGCAAGGTGTGGGGGAAAAATCACCTGGACTAAAACTTAATACTAATCGAGATAAATTATAAAATATAAATTGTTGAAAAGGAGGAAAAAAAAGGATGTACATGTATCCAAAAAAGGGGAACATTGCAGAAATTAGCAATTATACAAGTTGGTAAACAAAAAATGTTTGAAAATAGCAAGACCTGGGTTGACATTTAGGGGGTAAGGTAGATTACATGGAGTTTATTAGGAAGTACTTAATTTTTTAAAGTACTGGTTGAGAGGGGTACAGCCCTTGACATGATTGGGAAAGTCATTCCACATTCTGGGTCCCCTTGATTTGTCGAGCATTTCTAGTTTGGTTAAGTCGCACCTTTTTTTTTTTTTTTTTTTTTAAATATCAGGTATATTTAAATGTCTCTGGTGTGGTGCCCATGGGTTCTGTTACAACCTTCCAGGAAGCGTTTAAGGTCAGGCTTGGCATTACAGTTCAGTTTTAAATATAGAGAGTACACTTCAGAGGATATTCAGTGATGTAATATCTAACATATTCAAAGATTTAAGTAAGGGTACCGAGTGCTGTCTAGGGCCAGAGTTTGATATTGTTCTAATAGCAGCTTTGTGTTGAGTAAAAAAGGACGTAAATGATTTTGGGTAGTAGAACCCCAAGCACCAATACCATAATTGAGATAAGGATAGATGAGAGAGTAATAGTCACCAGGGCAGGGCGAGGTAAATAATATCTGATCTTAAAAAGAATGCCAACAGTTTTAGAAAATTTTGCTATATTTTGAAAGTGGTCCTGGAAATTCAGCTTATCCCTACAGCTTATCTTCAGCTTCAGCTTAAATTCAGCTTATCGGCAAATAAAATTGGTTTGAGGTGTCAAGAGGCATTTGGAAGGTCATTAATATAGATGAGACAGAGGAGAGGGCCAAGTATACTGTCCTGTGGGATACCAAGAACATACTGGAGGCTGTCACTAAGGTGAGACTGAAGGTATTGGAGGGAGTCTACCACCTCTGTATATTCTGTATACAGAGACTGTACCCTGTTTTTTGTTTGTACCACCACATGTACTCTCCACCCCACCCTCAAAGAGCCGATGGGTATTGGATAATATATGTGAATAAAATATTAATTAATAATTACCAAAGTAATCAATTTATTATACAATTCGTGCATCCTGGGAATGGTCAGTAATTCGACTTGTGGAGCAGAGGACAGCATGGAGACCTTGTAGGACTGAGCACAGGAGGGCACGGAGACCTTGTAGGACTGAGCACAGGAGGGCACGGAGACCTTGTAGGACTGAGCACAGGAGGGCATGGAGACCTTGTGGGACTGAGCACAGATCTTGTGGGACTGAGCATGGAGACCTTGTGGGACTAAGGACAGCACGGAGACCTTTTAGAACAGTGCTCCAAATTTAGCTAGATCATTTGCTTGTAAGACGGGAATTGATTACTATCTCTGAGTGCCTCTGAACAGCTTGTGAGCAGCAATATTCCGATTAAATAAAGAAAATTTGTTGATACACTATCATCATCAAAGTGTTTGAATTGATTTGATTTGATAATTAAGATTGTAGTGAAGTCGTCAGCGAAGATGATAGCTGTTGATGGATGGCACTATTAAAATAGTTAAAAAAAAGTTATAATAAGTTTTCATTCTATGTCAACTAATGATTTAAACAACTATTCTACAGTGCATCCTGTTAAAGGTTAGCACTTCGTAGAAATCTTGGTGCTTCTCAGTAAATTATAATAAGCACTATAAATTATAGATCATTATTAAATTTCATATAATAATGATGCTTTCGCTAAACAACATTATATACAATACAAAACATCCACTAGACAGTGTGATATTGTAATTGCCAGAATTAGGCTGAGATATCGATATCTATGGCAGGTGGCTGCAGGTAATGAATCCTTAATGGTGAACATTCCGATTAGATAAAGGTTGTGCCAATTGTAAACTATGTCAACAAGAGCTGGGACACTCTCCATCACTATATCTGTGAGTGCTCTGTTATAAGTGACTTCTGACCAAATGGTATGAGGTACTTTGAGCTCTGTAATTATTTCATACACTCTGGAATATTGGAAGATATTCTTATGCTGTACCCAGATTTTGCTAATGAGGGCTAATAGATCAGTCTTACATATCTCTCTGTTCTCACCTTAGTCAGTTTTTTTTTATACAAGAGTTGTTACATTCTTGTACAGCCACTAGTACGCGTAGCAATTCGGGCAAGTCCTTAATCCTATGGTCCCTGGAATACGACCCCCACGAAGAATGGTTTAACAACCACGTACCCATTTTACAGTTGGGTTAAATAGAGGCTACAGTTAAGGATTTGCACCCAGTAAATCCTCCCCGGCCAGGATACGAACCCAGGACAAAGCGTTCGTATCCTGGCGTCTTACCACTACGCCACGGAGACTGGTGACAGTTGATGTATTTTTGTATTGAGGCAGGCATTTTCTCCCCCTGATTCCATGTATGACTAACCATCTTGTGAGAGGGGAATATTAGATGAACTTATAGGTAGTTCTTGATCTACACTGTGTAATATCTCATATAGAAGAGGGTAGCAGCACATTGCTGTGTAGACCTAATTTTCCTAATAAAAAAATACAATAGTGTAAGCTTTGAAAATCTTAAGAGAAATATTCTAAGAATAAATCTTAGATTTGTAGGAACGTCAACAGAAAACGATGTGGCGTTGGAATGTCTATGGGGTACACTTCAGCAAACAGGATTGACACGGACGACAACAAGTCACACGATGTTAGGTGGTCCACTACCACCCCAAAAGGATAGGTATGGGGTCCACTGCCACCTGTTGGATGGGTATTGGGTCCACTACCACCTGTTAAATGGGTATGGGATCCACTACTGTCCATAGGCAGTAGTGGGGTACGGGGTTCACTACCGCCACTGGATGGTTATGGGGCTCACTACCATCCACTGGATGGGTATGGGGGTCCACTACTACCCATAAGATGGGTATGGGGTTCACTACCGCCAATAGGATGTGTATATGGTTCACTACCGCCCACAGGATGGATATGGGGTCCACTACCGTCCACAGGGTGGGTATGGGGTTCACTACCCCTTGTAGGATGTTAATGGGGGGTTTACTACCAACTGTTGGATGAGTATGGGGTCCACTACCCCCTACAGAATGGGTATGGGGACCATTACCGTCCACAGGATGGGTATGGGGTCCACTACCACCCGTAGAATGGCTATAGGGTCCACTACCACCTGTAGGATGTTAAATAATCCCCATACACATCGAGTGACTAGTTGTGGACCCTATATCCATCCTGAGGATACACTGGCAGTGTTGAAGGCAGCAATGTTCAGTGTACAGGTTCCCAAGTAGGAAGACTTGAGAGGCAAGACCGACGAGAGGCATCAACATCAGAGGCTGGTGTCACGTGACAGACTTGACGTGGTGAGAGGCAATGTTGTGTTATGTTATCTCATCGTTGTAGATGTTCTTTACTACCCCGAGACTGTCTTTGTTGCCTTCCTTACTGTCTGGCTGTGGTCGTCTGAGATGGAGGTTATTTATAAGTTGATAAATCTCAAGGTAAACATTCAGCTCTAACAGGCAGAGCTGAAGAGGTTGGAGCAGTAGAGGGCGTGGAGGAAGGAGCTGGGAACCGCCTGACATCCTATAAGACTCGTCTTGAGACTTATTCCTCAAGGCACTCGAGGAGTACCTTGGGGAGACGGAGACAGGAAGAGCGAGGAAGGTGATGGAAAGTCTTGTTTTGAGGACGAGAGGAGCACCGAGGACCCATCAGGCGTAACGTGGTGATCGTCGAGGACGCCACTTGTGCAGAATAATATTCTGAACAATGT